AGCTCGCAGGGAGTAGGAACAATCGCGGAATTTTTGAAAATTTTGGCTCAAAACACCGCTCAAACCCCGCTGTCCTATGAAAGAGGATGATTTCAAAAGACTGATACCTAGCTGTGGAAGGATTTGGTTGTATGCTACTTTTCAAAGTTTAACTTGATTACTAATTTTTTCCGCAAATTATTAATGCTTCAAACATTTTTGGAAATCACAAGGAAAATTCATCAAAAATTCATATAAAAATTCGCTACCGTTCTCAAGAAAACGTGACGCAATTAAGGCTAGGATATCATCATCATTAATCATTTCGATCTTAGAACCCAATTCCTTGAGAAAGCTTTTGGACCCGGTTCCTTTCCTCTCTGTTTTGATGATCGGTGGTCATTTCTTAAATGATGGTCATTATAGGTATCATAATTAACTTATACCATTGCACTCCTCCCATTTTGACTATTTTTGGTCCTATTCCCAGACAACCCTCTCATTATAAAAATACGCTTCCAGGACTTTATGTCCACCTACCTTTCGTCCATTAAATAAATGTCCACCGCTATTTATGTCTACTAAACGTTAAGTCCAGTCTTTATTAAGTCCACATGATTTAATGTCCAACCATGAATACGTCCAAAATTGTCCAAATTGTAGACATGTTATGTCCACATTTTTTTCTTCTTATGTAAATGACAGGAACCACCTCAAAAATAAATGCTGACTACTACTACTTCTACCTTCATTCTTAAAAACATTTCATTCATGAATCAAGTCATGAAAGAGAACAGACTCTAGGAGCAGATAAAAACATATGTTCATGTGTACACTGTACGGATATGATAAGATGAAAACTAAAGCGGGAGCCTAGGAAACGCTCCAATGCCAAATTAAACATTTTTCAGTAACAGATGCAGTCAAAATTAAAGTCCTCTTTAACTAGTTATTTCGAACGCCTTCAATCTTGTAGGATACTGGGCAACGCCTCTGACGTGAAATAGTTGCTTAAAGCGTTGCGGCGCGGTAGGAAACCAGCGGCGTGACACGCGCATAGGCGCCTACAAACCTAACGGGATACTTCACGCGTTGCGCAATGCGTGAAGTATCCCGTTAGGTTTGTAGGCGCCAGTGCGCGATCTGCGCTGCTAACACGCCGCTCCGCTCTTTGTTAAGCTCTAATATTTAAACTCGCGGAGTCAACGTTTTTCAACTCATGATTTTGAAATGTTTGCACTCTCTGCATTGATTATTCCCTTTTAATTTAAACTGATGAAAAAGAAATATGTACTACTGGAAAATATAATGTGGTTTTCGTAAATATAATAGTGGTTCCGTATCAAATTTAATGATTTCCAAAGCATTCAAATTTATTCTTTTATGTTGTGGGCTTTTACTGTACTGCAGCGTGGTGTAAGCGCAACCAAACGCTCAAAATTGGACGTATTTGACTCAAGGAGGTCGATGTACAAATAAGTTAAAAACAAAAAATTGCGTGCTTCTTAGTTTTGTTCCTCTTTTATTAATTTTTGTATAGTTTATTTCATCACAACTACGGCTCATTGAGATTCATATCGATGCCATTGCTTGGAAAAGGTTTTACAAATATTTACCACGTTTTAAAAATGTAAATGTTTTTAAAATGAAGTAATCAGTTTCATTAAAACAAAAAAAGAATGTACATTTAAGGCATATTTTATATCGGAAATTTCAAGGATGGAAATGAAACCAAGTATTTACCAAAGACAATTTGAAAAGATTAGTCAAAAGAAGAAATTAAAATTTCATTTAAAATATGAGTTACGACGACAACACCTCATTCTCTCTTAATTTTCTCATTTCGATATTGACAATATAATTTTTTCACACGGACTAAAATATGACGCTTGAATTTGATTTTAGGTAGTGGACTTTACATTTGTGGACTTAACTTAGTGGACGTTTAAGTAATGGACTTAACAATAGTGTGGGCTTCAGAACTGTGGACGTAAAAATTGTAAACGAAAAGTCTGTGGACGTAAAAAAAGTGGACATAAAGTCCGTGTACCGAAAATACCCGTCCACGATTTTGCCTGCATGTCACGAATCACCGGTAGATGTCAATGAACTTTACGCAGATTTTTGGAGATTACGTCTTCAGTACTTGCTCCAAACCAAAATGAAAGCACGGGCTTCAACATGTTGAACGCATTGACGGGCATGAATGATTGTTTTTCTTCTAATTACCTACGTGCTTACTTATAGTTTAGATATTTTATATCCTTCTCAACTGACAGCTTTTTTTCGAGTCGTTTCAGGCATTTTCAGGTTTTGGCCATTCAATGTTAAACAAGCTTTTGTAAAAGGCTCGTAAAAAGCGGCAAGAAAATCCAGTGTCGCATAATTGCAACAAAAATCAAATATTTTCAGCTCGTAGGTACAGATGGAAAAATCGAGATGTGGTAAATCCGGCATGAGGAGTACGGAAAGGGTGAAGTGCCACGGACAACCAGCGCGTTTGCAAGGCCAGCCGTGAGAAAAAGACCCATAAAAGCCGCTTGATTTATCGCTTTTGAACCACGCTGTCGTGCTAAAGAAAAACGCCGTGTAAACCTTCAGGCGTTGCCAAATTTTCTTTTATAAGTCACAAATTTTCTGGTTAACTTATGAATATTTTTCCTCTACTTTTCCGGATAATTTTGTTCGCAATTTCAGCCAAGGTTCCTGAAAATTTCAAAGAAAAATGTTCATAACATTCCTTTAAAATGAACTTTTTATAGATGGAAATTTGGCGATTCTCGAATATTCATACGGCGTTCTTCCTTAGCACGGAAGCACAGTTGTCGCACTGTGGAAATGGAAAGTGGAAATTCAAAACCTGGCAAGCTCCATCGGGTGTACTAAAACTGCGCGACTGTTTCTCTTATCCGAGAGGAATCTAATAGATAAAGAGTAGCAAATCTCATTATGATAAGAAAATCGAAATGCAGAAAAAATTATCATTAAGACGTCCATGAAGCAAAGGCTGAGGCGTTCAAATCCTTTCAATGATAAACATGCTGTGAGCAATCTTGCAGCATCACCCCATGGAGTTCTTGGAGTTTTCCAATCTCCGAGTAAAGTTTATGCAAAATCGTCACAAGTCAATTTTCTTGATGGATCCTAACTCAAGAGGAGTGCACCAAATCTGAAAACTTAACTAAATTCGGGTATTATCTGTTCAAAGCTAGCTAAACGAGGAAACACTCAGTGATTTTCAACGGAAATTTGTCGATTTGTAGACCATAAAATCACAATTTTCTCTTTATTCATTTTTTTGGCAGGAAGTACACGGTTATATGTGCACGAATAAATTACAAAATAAAGTTGTTTTGTAATCTTGTTAGAGAAGAAAATATATACATCAATCATTCTAGAGTCCCTTCACAAAGGGAGTTGAGACAACGCGGCTTATGGATACCTATCACAAACAGGAATAAAGATTACACAAATCGGACGTTTTTTGTAATCTTTGATCAACTCATTCCCGAATTCCTGTCTCCATTCCCTCTCTCATTCCATTTGTTCCTTGCCGTATCCTCAATTCCCCGGTCCATTCCAGTTTATAATCTTTGCATTGGGTGAAAATGTAATCTTTATTCCCGATTGTGGCACTGTGCAGGCCTCGAATACGGAAACCAATCAGAAATGGATTCACATCGTCTTTACTCTCATTATGAAGGGTCTCTAAAACAATCAATCGATCAATCAATACCTACTAATTGAAGCCTGCGTCGTACAGCTCCTCCTCTCAAACTCCTATGCACCGTAATTTACGCTCGACTCGAGGTGCCTGGAGCTCTCTCCGTTTGCGAATTTGTATACGGTCGGGATTCTGGAGTGAAAAAATAAAAATATAGATTCACTCTTTCGGATTTCCCCAAGTTCATAAAGACAGCCGCGTCTACTTAGAATTTCTAAAAATTGCCGTACCTTGTTAGCCGAGAGCGTAGTTATCTTGGTGAGGCAAAGTCAAAGCGCCTTCAATTTCTCAAGGATGCATCACGCACATCCATTGAGTTCGAATAGTTGCATTCAAGCGTTGCATCGTCATTGACGTAGTCTCGTATTCTCGCGGTCACTAGACCAAAAGTGATTCGATTTCCACCCGTGGATGAAACGAAGCTCTCTCTCCTGTCTTATTCTCTATCCGTACGGATTTTCGAAAATAATTCTTAAGGACTACTGAATTTTCGGCGCATAATTTCGCAGACAATCTTCTCAATGTCAGTAGTTTCAGACCCTTTTTTCTCTTTAGGCTATCTTTACCCCACGCTTATGAAAGTAAATAAAAGTAGTGGTTACCAGATTAGCTGGCTTTATAATAAACCCTAAGAAATCTCGTCGCACCTTCCGGCCAATTCATCACAAGCGCCATGCGATGTTCAAAAATGTTATTTTTTTACGAAGATATTGTTCAACGAAGCTGTCCGAAAATTTCAATGAATTTTCTTTGAGCTGCCGATGAAAATCCGTGAAATTTTCAAACAGGTTCAACCAACAATTTCTCTGTAAATAAATAAAATAGCGGCGGAAATTTTGAAACGTCGCATGGCGCTAGTGATATACTCTGGCCGGCAGGAGACGATCTGGTAACCCATGTCACTCTGCAATGACAATTTTTTTTATATATTTTATTTAATATTGTCTTTTGTATTTTATATATATCGACGGTGCAAGTCGGCAATCACATAACTCGGTTTGCGATGTCGCAGACTTCCTGTCATACTTTATTTTTTAAACGGGAAACTACTCAACGATAACTCTTTAAAACTGCCGTGATTTTCCCTCTCAGTGCGAAGAAAATTCTGCAAACACTTCAAGGAATGATGTCAATTCGTTCTCTTTTAAAAAAAATAACATAGAGGCGGAGATTTTTAGACACCGCAAACGAGTTATGTGATTGCCGACTTACACCGTCGATATTTTTTTTATTTTTTAAGAACTATATTTTAGATAATGATTTTTGACTGATAATTTATGCCATTTGGCTGTTTCAGGTGGATTCACCGACGGTGGGTGTGGGAGCAGGAGTAGAATCCTCGAAGCGGGAGAAGCTTTCCTACCAGATCGTCTCGATCAGCAACAAGGACGTGGATGACGTCATCGGGTTCCTCCGCACCTTCTTCTTCCGCGACGAGCCTCTCAACGTGGCCGTCAACCTCCTCGACACCCCGGACGCCGTTTGCCACGAGCTCGAGCAGTTCTGCACCGACTTCATCCCCGAAGGTATCGTTTGCTTTCCAGCTCAGCTTCCGTCCATTAGGAAAAAACTCTGCTCAACCATTCCAATTCTGATCGCCCATAAGCGCTTTCTGAAGTAAAGATCCCATATGCGCCTCCTGAAGTAAAGAGCCCATAATCGCTTTCTGAAGTAAAGAGCCCATAAGCGCTCTCTGAAGTGAAGAGCCTATACGCGCTTTCTAAAGCAAAGAGCCCGAATGCACAAATCTATGTTGAAACTGCAGAAATGCGTATCTCGGTTTGCGGCGTCTCTCGCTTTCTGGAGTAAAGGTCTCATAGAGCTTTCTGAAGTGAAGGGCCCATAAGCGCTTTCAGAAGTATAGATCCCATAAACGCTTTCTGAAGTAAAGAGCCTATACTCGCTTTCTGAGGTAAGAGCCTACACTCGTATTCTGAAGTAAAGATCTCATAAGTGCTTTCTGAAGTATAGAGCCCATAAGCGCTTTTAGAAGTAAAGAGTCTATGAGCGCTTTCTGCAGTAAAGATCCCATAGTCGCTTTCTGGTGTAAAGAGCCCATAAGTGCTTTCTGAAGTAAAGATCCCATAATCGCGTTCTGGAGTAAAGAGCCCATAAGCGCTTTCTGAAGTAAAGATCCTTTACTTGCTTTCTGAAGTAAAGAGTCTATACTTGCTTTCTGAAGTAAAGAGCCCATAATCGCTTTCTGAAGTAAAGAGCCCATAAGCGCTTTCTGAAGTAAAGAGCCTATACGCGCTTTCTGAAGTAAAGAGTCCGAATGCGCAAATCGATGTTGAAACTGCTGAAATGCGTATCTCGGTTTACGGCGTTGTGGAATTTCTATCATACCTCATTTTCCTCGTATGGGAAATTACAAAATGTCTTTTCTTAAAAACTTGGGTGATTTTTCTCTTCTATGTGAAAAGTACCTATTCTGTGGAAAGTTTAAGGTCTGATGATGGTTCAGTCTCCTTTGAAGAAAAGGGAACAGGAGCAGCGGGCGTTTTGAAACACCGTAACCGCGATCACTCTTGCAGTTTCACCGTCGAAATGTGACAGCCAAATTGTTGTTTTTCGTCCAAGAATTGGATCGATCACTGAAAAAAAACACATTGGATCTAGAGTCGAGACTCTTGAAAACATCGACAAGAAAAAATACTGTTGATTCAATCAGATTTTTGCTTAAATCAAGAACCAAGCCTCTTAATTTAAGGATTTCGTTTTGATTGAAGCAAAAATCCGATTGAATCAAGGGTATTTCTTCTTGTCAATGTTTTCAAGAGTCTCGACTCTAGATCCAATGTGTTTTTTTTCCATTGATAATGCGAGTGTAGTGTGATATGTGAAATTGATCCGCGAATTTCTAGGGAGAATTCCTAGCGTATATCGACGGTGAAACTACCAAACCACGTATCTCGTTTGCGGTGTTTAAAAATCTACGCTCGCATTTTATTTTTTTGAGGTAGACCAAATCAATATCATTCCTTGAAATTTTCACAGAATTTTCTCCGCACGAAGAGGAAAAATCACAGAAATTTTCAAGACTGGACGTTGGGTAGTTTTTCATTTAAAAAATAAAGTATGACAGGAAGTCTGCGACGTCGCAAACCGAGATACGTGGTTTGGTAGTTTCACCGTCGATATGTGCAGGAGGCGCATTTGAAAGTGTATGCATTTATATTGAGGTATCAAGGGTATCTCTTGCAAAACCTAATTTAACCCCCCCCCCCCAAAAAAAAAAAAAAAAAAAAAAAAAAAAAAAAAAAGAAACAGACCAAATACGAGGAAAGTCAAGGAGAAAAATTTTTTTATGCGATGCATATAATCGGATTCATCTTTAGAAATTGAATCTTCAAAAATTTGAAAAATTGAAATATATTGCCTGATGGTATCTGACCTCTTGATCGTTGCAACTTTAAAGTTGAGCGAATCTGATTAACCTGTCCGTTGCACTCGGGTACTTGTAATTTATGCTAAAACTGTCGTGGATTATGCCAAGTAGCTGCTGTTGTATCGCAGCGGCTTCAGAATCCCAATGGAGAATAAGTCGTCAGTTTTTCCTGGTTTTCGCGAAAAATAACTGTCAATTCGAGCATTTTAAAAGCCACTGGACTCGATCCCGTTTTACGAGTAGGTAAGCGCCTGTTCTTCGGCAAACTGAAATAATAAAAAAGAAATTGACCTTCCAAACGTGCCTGCGTGCAGCGGTAATTTATTGGAAAAATGGATCTGAAATTTAACTCGGTGGAATTTGTCTAAAGAAGGAAAATAATTGATCCATCTAGTTTCTAAGCGGCTTAGAAAAGAGCAACTCCTTAGTCCTCATTTCCCGATTCCTGTTCCTTAGTCCTGATTCCTGAAATCATCTCCCAAGCTCAAAAAAGCTCTCAAGTTGAGGCCAAAATGGAGGGGATATCCCACGCTATCCTGAGAGTCCACCTCTACATCAAAACAAACTCTCCATGCAAAGATAGGGAGCAAATACATTGACAGCAGGGCTGCCGTGTTTTCAGTTTTGGAGTCTCCAAATAAAGTGGCAGCCCTGTCAATGTATTTGCTCCCTATCTTTGCATGGAGAGTTTGTTTTGATGTAGAGGTGAACTTTCAGGATAGCGTGGGATATCCCCTCCATTTTGGTCTCAACTTGAGAGCTTTTTTTGAGCTTGGGAGTTAATTTAAGAAGAACCAGTGGCCACATCGTGTTTCTCGCGAGCTTTTACATAGAAGAATCAACAGTCAAATCGCAAATTCCTCACACATGCAACATCTCCATTGCCCTGGCAATGAATTGGAAAGGGTCCTTTCTACACTGAAAAGTAACCGGAGTGAATTTTGATCAGTCGTCGAGTCATCCGTTTCCTCTTGCACTGTAAGATAATTTTCCTGAATCTCAGTCCATCAAGAGGAAAGGCGCGATCTTGGTGTCGTCTAATCTCAGTCCATCACCTCAAGAGCACTTGAAGACACGAGGGTTTGTTTTAATCTGCACAACAACAACACCGGCCGATAAGTGCTAATTTCGCGGCGGCGCCTGCGACAAATTGAACTGCCTCCTGCCTTGACTCAACGTGCCGATCGCGCCTTTCTTTCAACTCAACAAAACTGACTCGCCGACGAGGTGGTCTCATTAGAGTCAATTTGTAAAACTCTAACCCACTTTCGATTAATGCACTTAAGACCGCCCTCTTTTTGTTACTTAAAGTTGACATTTTATCGACTAATCGTCGGGCGGCACCAGGTAATTTCGTAGGACTAATTCTAACTGTTGTGACACTAGCTACTTTCAAATTTGCATATAAAAAAAAGCAAAATTTGTTTTGCCAAATATTTCCAATTTACCGTTATCAATTGGCTTGAATTCTTGGATTTTCCTAAATTTTTTAATGCCTCACTGGAAAAAAAAAAACACACATTGGATTTAGAGTCCAGACTCTTGAAAACATTGATAAGAAAAAATACTCTCGATTCAATAAGATTTAAGCTTAAATCAAAAGGAAAGCCGCTCAAATTAAGAGGCTTAATTGGTTCTTGATTTAAGCTTAAATCTGATTGAATCGAGAGTATTTTTTCTTGTCGATGTTTTTAAGAGTCTGGACTCTAGATCTAATGTGTTTTTTTTCCAGTGCTGCGTGACCAATAGAAAGAGAGAAAAATGAGAGGGAAAATAAATCGAGCCTCGTGAATTTTAAAGTTGAAAAGCTTTGGTGACTTTTACCTTTCGTCACAATTTTTTCTCCGAGGTTTTCTGTATACAAGGATTTCCGGATACACGCGGTGCCGACAAATAGCGTCTTATTTGCCTGCACGGCACCGATAAATGAATAGCGCTATCTTTCTTTAAAATAAATGAGATCTGATTGCAATGTTTTAATTCGCACGGACCAATTACTATAAACAGAATAATTCTTCTTTTTTGGACATGATTATTTATACTTTTCTTTTGGTTTAAACTTGATATTTTTTCAATGAGTATATTTATTAGAGGTAAAAAAATCGTTTGATTTCAAAAATATTTTCACTCTTAGTAAATAATCGAAATTTCATCGAGACTCCTGACCATCTAATCGACTAGTGATACATCTCGGTATCATCATACCTTAATCATGCATAAGCTCATGTTGGAAAAAGAAAAACATCTCGGCCACCTCCACCCGAGGCGCCTTTTGGATTGCATGCGATGGGTGTGATAATAGCTACCTGTTTCTAACGACGCCACATTTTCCTCAACCCATTGACTCCCTCCTCCCAGTCTCCTCCGACTGTACACACCCACCTCATCTTTGCGCAACGCAAACGTATTTTTATTGGTTTTAGCTTATTGTTAGCCATCAATTACAACACCCAATCGTGATAAGTAACCATGTATTACCTGGCGCGTTGCAAGATTCAACACCTTATTTCCAGGCATCGTAGCCTTGCTGCAGCGCACAAGAGTACTTTCATTGTTAGTTTTAAAAAAAATTCAGCTTAGCTGCTTTTAAAAACTTCTATTCTTTCAAATTTATACGGCAATCTCAATTTTTCTTTCAATAATCCATGCTACTGGAGTCATCGAAAAACTTGGCAAGCGAACGCGATTCAAAATCGGCGAAAACGCTCCAAAGCAACTATTCGTGCTCCAAAGCAGTGCGTGTGGAGTATTGGCAAAATTGATAAGGTGCGTTGACTTGATTGTCTTTATATTTTTTTCAACTTCAAGTCTTAAATATAATCGTTGGCTCCTCGCAAAAGTGCTTCACGGTACGCAAAGTCGGTTAAAACGCCTGAGTGTAACTATTTACGCTCCGGAGTTGTGCGTGTTGCGTATCGATGCTATTGAAGGCGTTGCCGTTTTTTCTCGAGGCCAAAGTGCGAAACCACGTATCTCGATTGCGTTGTTTGAAAATCTCCGCTCCAATGTTATTTTTTCGAAGAGAAAGAACTTTATTTTACACAGAATATTCGGCTCACAGAGTCGAACAATCAAGGAACTATCCAAAAAAGTACGTCGACTAGTTGGATTGCATTTCGCAAAAAGGAACCAAGAGTATTTTAATGTTGCTAGGATTGTGCAACTTACATAGTTGCAATGAAATTACTGAAATCATGCAAAACTTGAAAACCAAGGTAATTTTCGTCTGCAAATCATGGTCTATTGGGAGTTGAGAAAAAACTTGTTTCGATGCTCAGTTTATATCTGCAAGGAAAAAGAAGTTGCACAATTAGCGACACTGGTTCCTTTTTGCAAAATAGAATCCAATTTTCTGAGTAAAAAATGAAGTATGACAGGAAGTCTGCAACGTAATTGCAAACGGAAATACGTGGTTTCACACTTCGGCCATGGATTTCCTATTTTTTTGTCAACCTAATTACTGAGGGTGGATTTTTGTTCGTGTTTTTAGGTGTTTCCGTGATGGCTGTCTCTGACTCAGGCGAGATCCTGGGCGTGTGCCTGAACTCGATCTCACGGCGGAGCAGCGACCCTTGCTCGGAAAACGACGAGGAGTGCTCGCACCCCAAGTTCAGGAAGATCCTCCACCTTCTCACGATGGTCTCGAAGCAGGCCGACATCTTCGGCCAGTTCCCCACCGTCGACACGGTCCTCAACGTCGAAGTCATCTCCGTCAGCGACGCCGCCAGAGGCCAAGGCATTGCCAAGGCACTCTTTCACAAGTGCAGGTAATTCACACACACAATCCACCAACACAAATGGGAAGCTGGTAAATTGCGCCGATTCCCAAAGAAGCTGATTGTAAATTGCGCCAATCTGGGAAAAAGCAGATTGTAAACTGCGCCGATTTCGAAAAGAGCAAGGATGGAAAATTGCACCGATTCTGCCGTACTTTGCAGTTTTTCAGAAGGATCTGACAACGCTGTTGAGGAGAATTTTGATAACATAACGGAAACTGACTTAGAATTGATTAAGAAAAATGCTTGTAACGCGCGAAAAAAAAAGTTCAACCAAATCGACCAAAATCCAAGGCGGAAGTGCATAAATTAGTAGAGGAAAGTGATCTTGTAACTGTAAGAGAGACCCCCAGTAAGCGAAAAGCTTGCATTTTAAGTTATTTTTCAAATCACTTCACCAGTGTTGTCCTACCATCAATATTTTTAAAATCCACTAAGAACTGTCTTAGACGTAATCGGCGCAATTTTCTTTTTCCAATTTTTCGGGATCGGCGCAATTTACAATCATCGTTGTAGGAAATCGGCGCAATTTACCGCAAAATCGGCGCAATTTACCGACTCCCCACAAATGGATGTACTCCTGCCAAACGGGAGCAGAGACAGGTGGGAAAGAAGGGGTGTGCTCGCTAGTTGAGGGCCGTAAGAATGAATGGGAATGATAAAGCGCTAGTGACGTCAACGGTGACAGAGCCGGGATCGGAATCGACGTCCGGAGTCTTTAATTCATGAGCCCTGTCTACAACGCTCTTGTCACATGCCCACGGCTCATGAGTACCGCATTCAGTTGGCACGTAGTTCCGTTCGACAGCATGTAAAATCCCACTTTTCCATTTCTCCGAAGGGAATCAAGCCCACTTTAGCATTGTTCCTTATGCAGCTTTTTAGAGCACATCTCATCTTCCCCACTCGTTTATAGTTCCGTTTGGCAGAGATCCGTTCAAGTCTGGATACACCAGCAGCTTTGAATCTAAAGGTCGTATCCATAGTCGTTCTTTTCCAGAGGCGGATCCAGAAATTTGGCAACACCGGATTTCCTCCACTTAAATCGATGCTGAATAATCGATTCTTGTCGGAGCACCTGGCCTCACCAAGAATCGATACATTTCCATAGGTTTGAATGGAGGAAACCCGGTGTTGCCAAATTGCTGGATCCGCATCTGGTAGGATTTCTCCATAAGGTCCCATCTGGTTTACAATGCAATTGAAATAGGTTTAAAGAAGCTTTGCGAAAAATTTTTAGAGTGAAACTCTGCACCGGAGTCTATATACGGACCAAAACTCTGAGTAATAAGAATGCGAGCGGGATCTACGCTCTTTACGGAGCGACTTACACTGTCACGGAATGGAATATACGCTTTTTTCGGAGTGTGTCATGCGATGATTTTATGGTGCTAAGTTTTCACTTCGCATTCATATCACTCGGGGTTTTGGGGTGCTACACAGACTCCGGCACCGTATTTCACTCCTCGATTTTTAACAGTGTAGCATCATAAGTGGGACATTTTCTGCAAACTTCTGGTAAAATTCAACGGTGCATTTTTAGGAGTGGATCCTTTACGAGGGATTTCAATTAATTTCTGCTACAAAAAATACAAACTACACAAATTTTATTTTGTGAGTTTTGTAAATTTTGAGGTGTTTTTCACATATCTCAAAGTTAGTCAAAATCACAGCATTTTTACTTTTGTATTTTTTACTATTTATGGTTGGCAAAATCGTTGTAATCCCTCGTAAAGTAACTAGGCAGGTTAGATTTTTAAATACCCGGGTAAAAATTGGCAGTAGCATCTATGTTCCAAAATACCATAGACCTACAGCCGGCTGTAAGATTTCCAATAGCTCCTATAGTCGGCAACACAATTTCTTATAGCCTTTTATAGCCGATAGTGATTAAGCAACAGCCTGGCGATAAAGTGTATGCTAAACGTTACTAATTACGGATGCTAGGACTAGGTGAGTTTTTGTACTACCGCTCTCTTTTTGGGCCGTAGTATCTTGATTTATTTTGCGAGGAAAGCTCCGTACTTTTGAAGGATGCCTGTCATTCCTAATATGTTGGAGCGCCTTCAATTTCGTATGAATCGTATGATACTGTGCAATACCTCTGGTGTGAAATAGTTGCTTCAAGCGCCGTGGTGCGCTGCGGCGCGGCGCGGCGGGCGGGCAGCCAGCGCGAAACGCGCACTGGCGCCTACAAACCTTACAGGGATACTCCACGCATTACGCAATGCGTGAAGTATCCCTGTTAGGTTTGTAGGCGCCAGTGCGCCGCCGCGCGCCGCTCCGCTAGGCTCTAATATTTAATCTCGTGGAGTCAGCGTTTTTCCACTCATGACTTTGAAATGTTTGCACACTCTGTGTGGATTATTCTCATTTTAATTGATGAAAAAAGATATGTAGTAAAGGAAAATATAATGTGCGTTTTGTAAATATGAAGGTGATTCCGTACAAGCTTAAGAATTTACAAAGCACACGAATTTCTACACAATTTCTTATAGCCTTTCATAGCCGATGGCGAAAAAGCAACAGCCAGGCGATAAAGTGTAAAGCGCGGCGATAGGAACTACAGCCTGGCTGTATAATTTTTTATCGCTTCGTGTAGCCCGGCCGTATAATTTTTTCCACTTTCTACAGCCAGCTATATGATTTTCTATCGCCTTCTTCAGTCGGCTATAAGATTTCCCATGGTATTTGGAAACGCAGCTCCTTTCGCCGTTTTTTACCAGGGTAGCTATTCTCAAAACTACAATTCTTAAAGGAGACATTTCAAATCGCCATAACTCTGCTTTGGTGTGTCATTTTTTGGCGTGTTTTGCGGCAGGATTTTCACAGAACACTCATCTGAAGCTCTGATATCAATAACTCGATTTTGAATATCCCCAAGTGGCTCAGTTCAATAAAATTATTGAAATAAAATTTCGATTTATTGCACATAATAAAAATGAATTTTTTTCACCATGAAATCGCGATATTTTTTCCATCATTTGGTGAATGAGGCCCGATTTTAAACAGTCAACAAAGTGAATTGAGAAAGATAGGCAATGTGTGAGAAAGATAGGCAATATGCAATGCGATAAAAAATTGCAACTTATTCCAATACGCCGAGCATTCAATCAGTAGATAGGCAACGTACAGAATACCCTGATACCGTAGCAATAATTTTACCATGTAATTGCAATTTATTGCAATCTGTACCCCTTAAGTCGATCCTTTTGACGACGCAACGTTAACATGGGTAATGGGTAGGCAGGGAAGGTTCTCGGATATTATCATTTGCCGGTAATGAAAAAGCATACAGCGTATACTGCCATGCTAAAGAAAAACGCCGCATGGACATTCGAGAGCTTCCAAATCTCCTTCGATAAAAAGTTTATTTTTGAGGCAAGTTATGAATATTTTTCCGAGAACCTTAGATAAAACTGCGAACAAAATAATCTGAAAAATTTGAAGAAATATATTTACAAGTTTTCCCAATTTTCCAATATTTTACAAATTCTTTAATTACCCAAGGGCATTTGGCAACGCCTAAAGGTTCATATGGCGTTATCCCTCAGCATGGCAGTATAGTCGTGTGCCCACTGCCTACCTAATTGTTGAGTGCAATGACGTGACGTGCTGTGCGATAAGTAGATTGGTGCCATTTAACCCCATGGAAAATAATCGATCATCAGGGCGTTCGCGGATAACACCTTAATAATCGATTCTTCACCAAAGAAATGGAAAAATATCGATAGTCCACGTGTCACAACTCGCTACTGGTTGAGTGCAATGGACTGACGGCCTAGAGTCAAGAGCCTTTGACATTGCCAGCAATATTTATGTGATCCGGGCTGGGATCGGGAAAAGGAAAGGTCCTTTGATCGAAGCACCTGTTCGTGCAGCCTTTGTCCAGCCCAGCGTCGGCAGGTCTTCAATCTTGACCTGCATCCTACCGCCGCTCAAGCCAAGATCGCTATCGAACTCACCATGAATTGCCTATTTGTGCTCTATCGATCACGATTTTGACGCTTTTTCCTCCTTCAACCTATTTTGCGTTTCCTTCAGTGGCGTGGCGTGCTTTGCGATCTATCGATTGATCGGTCATTTAAACCTATGGGAAAGTATCGATAAACAGGGTGTTCGCAGCGAACACCTAGAAAATCGATTTTTTACCATAGCTTCAAATGGGGAAATATCGATAGGTCGCAAAGCACGCCACGCTACTGGTATCCTTCTTAGTTCCGTGCTCACCAACGCGCTGGATCAAACCTAGACTCGAGTCATATTAAAATTCAAAAGCTGATCACTTGATTGTTGCCACGTATAGCTGAAATGGAACCCTGGGCAGGGTAAGAAATTTACTCAAGTATAACAGATTGCAATAAATTGCATTTACATAGAAAATTATTGCTACTACATCGGAGTGTTGTGTATGTTGCCTATCTCCCGATTGAAGGCACACGGCGTGTTGAAATCTATTGCAATAAAATTGAAATGCGTTGCAATTTTTCACTGCACTGCGTATTGCCTATCCTCCTGACACACGAACCTCACTATGTTAATTGTTTCAAATCGGCATTTATTGACTATATGATGTAAAAATATTGTTATTTCATGGTTAAAAAAATTCATTTTTATTGTAATAAATTGCAATTTCATCACAATATTTTCATTGCACTGTGTTTCTTGGGAACCGATTCACACAAAAAAAAAACATCAAGTCAAATCAAGATTGAATGGAGAAGGGGGTCGAGAGTATACTCTTTCTCCATGAGAATAAATTGTGAAGATGCTAGAGATAAAGTTCAAAGCGTATTTCCGCATTCACCATATTTTTTCCTATAGGTTTTGAATTTTTTACATAATAGAAAATGCACGGCCACCTAAGCTTAAAGCTACTCCTAACTCATTTTTTTTCCAAAAATGAGACCTTGTTCCTCCGCACCACAGTGGGTCGAGTCAATAGGAGAGGTCGGACACAAAACTTTCGACCAAAACTGCGAATTTTGATGTTTAATTCGTCACATTTCAAATTTTAAGGAGTACTCCTGAAAGAAAATTTCACGAGGAAACCAATGGAGCCAATTAAAAACCTCAAAGTTTTGTACAAACGGAGTTATACCTAAGCGTTTAAAGTTTTCTACTTTTGTCCGACCTCCCCAATTGACTCGATCCACTGTGCGCATCTCTTGCATTTGGACGTATCTCTGCCAAATGGAACTGTGTGCAATGTAATGTGAGCCCTGTGATGCATGTATTCGTATGAGTCCCAGGGCTCATGTCTTAATGCACATAGTTCTGTTTGGCAGAAATACGTTCATTTGATCTTATTCAATTCCTTTGCGAGCTAGGGCCGTTCACTGAGTTTCGCGAAATGAATGCGAAAGGGGCAACACCTCAAAGAGGAATAGGGATTTTCCCTATCCCCCTCCTTGAGTCGCCTCCACCCTCTCCGTATCCCCCCTTTTTTACGAGGATTGCTTCCAGCAGTCCTCGTCAGTTAACCTTGCTAATAAATCGTCAAGTCGTTAAAGTGAACCTCCCCTGACCGTTTATCGAATTAACTGATTAAAAGGCGCTGTGACTGGGTATTCTTGTATATTTGATCAAATCTCCGTCATTGAGAGATCCATCCACATTGAAGTTTCGAAAATGCGCGTAACCTTTAAAGCGCACCCATAGGCGGTTCTACGGGGGTGCCAGTGGGTGCCGGGCACCCCCAAGCAAAAATTAAGTGCGGTTACCGGAACCGTGAAAGAGGCCCTCTTCTTCCTTCACCTCTATTTATTGCTTTTTTAACCAGTATAGAATTGAATATAAAAAGGACCAAATTATACTACTTTTAAAGATTCTATATTCGCTCACACAGAGTAAAAATCCCAGCAATTAATTGAAAATGTTTTAAACAGAATTAATATTGACAGCCGTGTTTTACAAAGATTCTGCTGTTTTTTTATGGTAAGATGGAAAGTTTTGCTAAAAATTTTCTACGTTGAATTTATAGGTATTTGAGTAGAAAGGAAGGAGAGAAAAAGAGAAAGGATTGGAGGAAAGGGATAAAACTTAAGGGCCGAAACTTAGGCCTCCCCTGAGCGACCTTCCCCTTCGGGACCGGTCTCCGACATTTTTCACCTCTGGGCACCCCCAAACATGAGGGTCTAGAACCGCCAATGAGCGCACCTTCATTGACTTCGTGTTGTTTTCTAGAATTCTCTTCCAAGATACATCCACTTCCTCTGCTTTTCAACGTCTTTGTCGAACTCGAAACAAATGTGTTATGGAAGTTGAGCTGGTTCTAGAAGTCTCAGTTTTGCGCCTCGCGCCTCGCTGATAATGACATCAGTGATGATATTGATATCAGTGATAAAGTGATACACCAGGAGGTGATTTTAGAAATTAGAATTGGAGGAATTTTGCTCTTTAAAATCGGCACATATTTGCAGGGCAAGTTTCTTTTCCATTTTCACTCTAACATATCCTGTTACCGAATTTCTTGTGACCAAGAAAATTACCTCCGTCGTTCCACAGAAAATGTGAGAGTCCTGATACCCAAGTCATTCAAGAAGAAACATTGACGATTAGTACCATATCGCAAAATACTTGTAAACCCAAAAATTGACAAACAGATGATAAATGTAAGAATCTTTAATATCTCACTCTATGATGTAAAATCATAAGAGTAACTCCTAACGCCCAAGAGGCATAGCGATCAGGGAGCGTGGTCCCTCTTTTATATAATAAAGTTGAAAACTTCTCAAGCCCAAGACATTAATCGAAAGTTATCTTCACATAGAAAATCGACGATATATCCAATAAACAGGTGTTTCTCATTTCAATAGCATGTAATTTTTTTGAAAAACATGGCGGATAGGCGTATGTCCATCCCTCAAAACTTAAACTTCGCAACAGAGTTCTACCGTGCTGAGCAAGAAAGCCGTACATCCATCAAGATTTTCCCTCGTTTTTTGGAACTTAACACTTTATAAAATAAAAATTGTTTCACCCATGCACCTAAAATGTTTAGGTCAAGTTCTTGATAGTATCTGCGAAAGAATGCTGTCAAAACATTGTCTCAAGGTACACAAGTTTTTCTGCTTTGATACATTGTTTCCGAAAAATTTAAAATGGCGTTTACGGCGTTTTTGCATTGTACGGCAGAGTTGGACATATTTCGAGGCAAGTATCATTCGACCGCATGTACGAACCGACGTCCGTGTCACATACACGAATAATTGAAGGCGCTCGGTATTTTAAGTCCGTTTTATACAACAACATGACTCAACTGTTACTTTTCTTTGTGTTTGTGCAGACAAATCGCCGTGGAGCAAAGGATGCCATTGGTGGAGGTGATCTGCACTAGTCACTATTCGGCGAAAGCGGTAGAGCGACTTGGGTTCCAATGTATCTACGAACTCCTTTACAAGGATCACCTGGACAGCAATGGCGAACCCGTCTTCACCCCGGAACCACCGCACGACCGGGTCAAAGTTTTCGTCATGCCCACCGCCGACCTTTGAACAGCACACCCCACGTCGTCCACGCACTCACCCGACTGCTCTCCGTTTTGCATACACAGAGAGAATGAAGGAGCGTGCACAGACATGCTGGCTTCGTTTAACTGCTAATCGTGTTGCATAAGCACGGAGAATGAAGGCGCGTGTATGGAGTGCCATATCCGACATCCTCGAACTGCATACACAGAGAGAATGAAGAACGATGGCGCGTGTAAAAACATAACTTCTTGTTACTGCTAATCGTGTTGCATACATGCGGAAAAGAAGGCGCTTCGCCAAAAGAAGCTTGAACACCGCGGATATGTACTCGTTAGCTCGAAGCGCAATATTTCTATAAGTTACAGACGACTAATTACAAACATTAGAGTGGTAAAAATTTGAATTTGAAATGTTTTTTGATCATCAGCTTTCACTTGCGAATTTTAACGATCGAGCAACCGTTACCTGAATTATGCGGTGTTTGGCTTACCTGCAGCTGCGCCTCTGAAGAGTGAGACATATCCATGACTCAACTCTGAAAACAGTTGCGTCGCAAATTCGTCATACTTAATAAGTAATTCTCGAAATGGAAATAAATGTATCAATGCCATTCCTCCGAAACCTCCGTATGGTAATATCTCCTCTGTGTAAGTGCGTAGAGTAATCTGCAAAATTCTTGATCGGTTATGTCGGTTAGTTTTGTTTTTCAAAAACTACGGAGGAGTGAAAATTTTGAATAGCTGCGACCGAAGCGAGGATTCTTACAAGTTTCTGGGTTGTATACATTTAGATTCGTGTAAAACAATCGATATTTATCGAGGCATGTTGCTTCATCTAAAATCTATAATTTCTAGTGTGTTTAAATGAACGAAAAACAGATATCGTCGACTTACGACAATCGTCATTAAGATGCATGTAATCAGATTGAGTCATCAATGTGCACTTGCACAGCTAAATTATTCTCTCATTTTTTTTTATTTCAAATGTGCCATTCACTAAAATGTATAGAGGGCTACCTATGCGAAAAGCCTCCATTTTATTATCTATTTACAATAAGTTTGATGGAGAGGAGGATACATTCGCTGCTGTGTTATTCTGCCGTGCTAAGGAAAAACGCCGTATGGAAATTCGGGCGTTGCCAAATTTCTTCTCGCAAATCACTCATTTTCAAGAAAATTTTTGAATATTTTGCTGCCAATTTCTCAGATAATTTTGATTGTAATTTGATCCAAAGTTTCTGAAAATTTCAAGGAAAAATATTCATAATTTTCAACTAAAATAATCATTTTACCGAGAGAAATTTGGCAACTCTCGAATGTTCATACGACGTTTTTTCTTGGCACGGCAGTATTGCACGTGCATGCATACGTCCTCCTTTTCGTATACCGTTCTAAAAAGAATTTCTAACAATCGAAATTCGGAATTTTCTGCTTGACATTGAAAATTGTTGCACCACGTCAAAAGAAAAATTTGTATTTATTTTCGCCGAGAGCAAAAATTGGTATAATGTTGACTGAGCTTCTCCGATGAAGTATCAAAAATATGCGCATTAAGGTTTACGCAAAATGCGTAATCTCATAGTGGCGCTAGCGTAAACTGAGGTCAACCCACCGAATATTTCTGTGACGTGACATTCAGTTTTAATGGACGGCACCGGTTTGTGATGAATTGTTTTCTACCGATGACTTGGACACTATGTCAAAATCAATTTTTGTTCCTTATTTTTTCCTAGAATTTTGAGGTTTTGTGTATGATTGCATTATCGTTAAATGTTAGTGATAAGTCTTTTTTACCATTATTATAAGCTTACTCTCCTATCACCCAATTTTTTCATGTTATTTTTATAATATACTTTATCTTTTATGATGGAGACTTTTCAGGTTGTGGCAAAACTCCCACACAAATGGAATTAAGCTTCACATCCTGAATATATATCTCGAGATCGATGAACAGGTCGAGTTGATTCAACGAATTGCTGCAAAAATTAAAAGAAATTTGTTCTCTTGGACACATGAATGTGCCAAAATATTTTCAGAATTCTCCTCCCTCGTGAGAATAATCTTCATGGGGGTAAAAAAGAATCCCTCAAAAGTTTTAACAGGAAATATTATGTATAGTTCCAAAATATGACTTTTCAGTTTCGCAATCGATACACAATTGTGCATCATGTCTCCATGCAAACTTTTTCTAGTACTTAGAACTTGATTGTACCTCTGTTTCCTCCCGTTGTTATCAGCAGTCAGTTTCTTTGTCTCAGTTTTGGAAACCTTTATTTGAAGATAAACGATTGAACTACCTTGGAACTCACTGATTCCATGTCCAAATGCCTAGATTCAAACTTTATTGTCATTATCATTCAAGAAGCTATATACCTGCATATCAGATGGTAAAAACAAGAACAGTACCTATGTATGGATCACAGATATTTAAAACAGTTCGCCTCAATTGAAACATTCATTAGCTTCATTGCCTAAAACTACCAAAAAATGTCATTCCCAGGGTGAGAAAAGTAACAGAAAATTTCAAGGAATGATGTCTCTTGATCTTCTCTCCGAGGAAATAAAGTGCGATGGCATTGTTGCGAACTGTTTTGTAGTTTCATCAGTACGTTAATATACACATTTATCTAGCACTTATTCGCTCTCAAATCGTCGAAGACGCGCACACATTTAGGTTCTTTTTACAAAGAAGAAAAAATAAGAACAATTATGAATCTCAGAATATGGATTTCATTCCTATTTAAAGACATCGCAACTGTTGACCCTAAAATCTTCAAACCTTTACACCGTATCCTTGGACCTGCAACAGAAAAAAGCACCACTGGAAGAAAATAATTCTAATACAATGCATAATGACTTTATCTTATCCATTATGACCGCTGATTCCGAACATTAGTCCATTTACTACACTTTACAACACATTAATTCACCTTTTAATTGTTGTTACCTCCATTTTATTTGTTTTTTATTTCATCTATTTTTCTTGCTTTTTTACGGCAGCATAGCCCCTGTTGATTTGATCGATATTTACAATCAAATTATTCATCAAAATTGCATCTATGTATATGTATAAAAAATGTTGTAACAGATTTATGTTACTTTTCTTTTTTCACGTGTTTATTTTTTTTAATAAAAACCTTTACCAACTGTACCTGATGACGCATTTTTGTTTTTTCTAAAAATGTCAAAAGATAATGAAACCCTGTTAAGAGGGTAGATAATGACTGTCAAGGGTCCGGCAATCCCTGTAACTTCATTTTTCTTAAACTTCCAAATATTCATTTAAATTCTAACTAGTCATTTCAACTTTTCTATATCCTATCATCCAGCCAACACCCATATAAAATTAATGACTAGACTTGCAACTGATAGCTCCACTGATTATAGCCAGCCAATCGCGTATAGGTCTCACCACCCGTGACATCATCTAGTCTGTAAAAGCGTGCCCGTTAATTCTTGGTATTTTTCCACCTTCGACCCTTGTGTGCTCCACGTAACGCCTTTTTAACCCTTCAGGCGTAGTGTGACTAATCTTTTATAAAATTTGTACTTCTATTCCAAATGTTAATATAGACTCTCCAGTCCTTTAAAATTCGTTCTTTTCCTTTAGCTCTTCCACATTCAAAAGTGCCATCAGGAGTAATCAGTCCTCCTGGTGTGACAATGACTATTTCAGTGCCTACTAAATTGTCTTAAATCTTGGATTCATCCAATATCGATGGTTAAAGGCGAGAAATACGTACCTGGGACACGGTTAAAACCCCAAAACAAGCGGGCAAAACGCGATGCATCCAGAGATTGTTTAAAAATTCGGCTTTTGTCCGGGGCAATCGCGATACGGAATGCGCCCGGGCATAATATGATTCGCCGAAAAGTGCTGAGCGGAAACCTGCGGTAAAAGTCCAGAACCACGTATCTCGGAAAACCCGATTTTTCGGGAAAGCGAAAAAACTGTCTAGATTCCTTCTCCCTGAAAGTAGAAGGGAAATAGTACTTGAAGATAGCGAGGATAAGATGCGCTTCAAGACTCTATAAGATTTTTTATTTGATGGTCCCCGTCAGTAAGGCGGATTGGTCGAAAACTCGAGGTACGTGTCCTTGGAACTAAGGGCCAACACTAAATTCCAAGATACGTGGTCTGAGAATTACTGTCTCGGACCTATTTTTGGCAGATTTTGATGGGAGTCTCAAAATAGAGTTTGACAAGGCCAGGGCTGGATTTACTTACTTGCCGCCCATGGGCCACCCCCTTCTCACTCGCTTTGAAACATTAATAAAAATCATCAGGTGAACGTGTCGGAGGGGGAGGAGTGCATAAGTCGCGGTTATTCGTGTTGGACACATTTTTTGCGAAAGCCCTGTCAATACTGTTAGCAAAAGTTCGCGGAACTTTGCGCGAGAGTTAAGTTCCGTAAACCTATCTCTGTATGGACAAGGCCTTCCGTTTTTAAGAAATGAACGAAAAAATTATGAAAGAACAAGCATATATTTGGTTTCAAACTTTTGACTTCCGCCGCCTCGCCGCGCTGACCGCACTGTGTTTGGCGCAATGCATGCAGTATTCCTACAGTCTTGTAGGCGCTATCCGTCTCACGCCGCGCCGCGCGTCGACCGCTGCTGAACGCACTGCGTATGACGCAATGCGTGAAGTATTCATGCAGCCTTGTAGGCGCTAATATGTGTTACATGCCGACCGCCGCGCCGAGGGTTTCCTCTTTTCATCTCAAGCCCTCGTCATCATTGCTCTCTGCGCCGCGCCGTTCCAGGCCAAATTGCGGGGTTGGTTTCTCTCTGAACTCGACTAATTAAAGGTACTGTCTCTTGTATCACCGAAGGACAACAAAATTATAATTATACTCTCAGGAAATCAGAGATTTTGTCACCTTTTCTCGTTTGTAATTTTTGCTCTGAATGCGATTTTTTTTATAATCTACATTTTAAAAAAATGCAAAATTTGCCGCCATGGGCCGCAGCCCATGCGGCCACCTCCTAAAGCCGGCCCTGAACAGGACTGTGTATTTTAATTTGCAGGCTCTTAGAGGATTCGGTTGGTCCCAGAACATTTTACGTTGCAAATAATGCGGATTACCGGATGCCATTTAGAAACTCACAACCAATTACTACACAGGCACAAAACTGAGCGAATGAAAAAGAAACCGGCACCTTCTAAAGTATTATTATTGATGAAATCCTCTTCTGATTTTTCGTTTGATCAGTCCCCTTCAAATACGCACGTATGCTACAGACATTCATAATAACCGCCTACTCTCCTCTCATCTAACAGTCTGTCATCAGCCATGAAAATCCGATTTCAGTCCATTTACTTAGAGCCGGCTTGACTGTCAGGGTTTTGGTAGTTACTCTCACCCTGCAATGCCTAAGCCGGGTAAAATTGACCCGACTATCTCCTCTGCAGCCGATAATTGAAATTGATAGACAAAGCTATCGATACAGGAGAGAAAAGGGATGTGCTGGGATCCTGTTGGTGAAAGCGGTTCGATGCAATGGACAAACGAGGTAAGTAATAGAGTAACTAACTGCAACCGACAAGAGACCCGACAGTTAGTCCATCATTTTCCCTCTCAGTCCAACCACCAGTTGCAATCAATGGGATCGCCCCAAACTCCCTCCCTACGTCTCCTTTTTCTATAGCTTTGTCTATCAATTTCACTGATCAGTCCGCTGGGGAACTAAAGGAGTTTTGATGCCGATACCGGTGCATGCGAGCTTCTAAAAATACATCCTACAAAAGAATCAGCCATCAAATTGAAAAAAAAGAGAGAAAAAAATCGATTATATAGAGGCCGATATACAGCCGAAGATAGAAGACACTTATTACTTATGAGCGACACCTGCATAGAGCGGAGCATTGCAAATTCACGCCTCGTGTCATCGCGCCTTCAATTTGGCAGATGCAACATAAACATCCATCGAGCACGAATAGTTGTATCTCTGCGCCGTCGAAAGCGCGTCAATGATCATTGACGCGCTTTCTCTCTATTTCCAAATTGTGATTGTTTCCGTTTGTCTTATTTGTAGTGGTAAATCGCGGGGTACATGAGCAACATAGCCGAAGATAGGACTCGAGAGCATTCCAATGTCGCTAACCTTGCAAACATAAACGATCATCTAAACTAGTTTCACCTCTACTCCCAAAAAACTATGAATTCAAGACGAAAATTACCGTCGCAAAGTTTACTTTTTGCAAAGAATGTACCTAAGTTGCACAATCCCAGCAACATTGAAATGCTCTTAGTTCCTTTTTGCAAATAATGCGATCCAATTGGTTGTTGCTGCAAAAAAAATAGCTTCCCACAACCTGCTATACAATGCTCCAGTGACCATGTAAGTTGGCCCGAGCACTAACTTTTCGGGAAGAAAGCCTCTCTCCTACCTGGTTTCTCACTTAATATCCGCCCGAGTTTCGCAGATCTTCCGTTTTTCCTCATCGCAGCTTCCATCAAACCGCAATTGCCCGGAAACTAGGACCGCACATCTTATCTGATAAAATCGTTCGCCCTTTAGACCGATTCTGCGGGGTTAGGCTAGACTGGTCGATGAGTCAACTGTTGATCTAATTTCATCACGTGAACGTAGAAGAAAAACGGGGTAAAAAATCACTAATGTGTGATCAATTTTCAAGGACAATTCTGTAATTTTTCCTACGATTTTAAATAAATTAAAACGCGCAATATCCAAAATCTAAGCTCAGATTTGGATTCCTCGTGAAAAACTGATGCGATTTCATGCATCAAATTTTAGAATAGCGTGAAGGAAAGAGGTTTAATGACGTAAAAAACACTAATGTGTGATCAATTTTCAAGGACAATTCTGTAATTTCTCCTACGATTTTAAATAGATTATAACGCGTAATATCGAAAATCTAAGCTCAGATTCGGATTTCTCGTGAAAAATTGATGAGAATTTAGGCATCACATGTTAGAATAGCGTGAAGGAAAGAGATTTAATGACGTAAAAAAACACTAATGTGTGATTAATTTTCAAGGACAATTCTGTAAATTCTCTTACGATTTTAAATAGATTAAAACGCGTATATCCAAAATCTAAGCTCAGACTCGGATTTCTCGTGAAAAATTGATGAGATTTCATGTATCATATGTTAGAATAGCGTGAAGGAAAAAGGTTTAACGACGCGAATCTGTCGTACTTCCCCTTTGAACTACGCCGCCGCCTGTCGCCCGAGTGAAACCGAACGGGGAGGCGCCACTTAGCGCCGGCTAAGCGTTCGGTTTCGTCGTGAGGAATTCCTCGCGATAAATTCTTATTCTTCCTCCTCCGCTGACCCACTGAGCACTACCCATGTTGCCACGTTGGATTCATATGCTCGAATCAGTATGTCTACGTTACGTCTCTTTCCTTCACGCTATGCTCGGGTATGATACATGAAATTGTATCAATTTTTAACGAGGAATCCGAATCTGAGCTTCGATTTTGGGTATCACGTGTTTTAAGTCAAATTTTCCAAATTCGAAAATCTGAAATGACTGACGTGGCTTAAAATGCCATCTCGGCTTCTGTTCGATGGATTTTCCTGAAATTCGGTGTCAGGGTATGATACATGAAATCGCATCGATTTCTTACGAGGAATCCGAATCTGAGCTTCGATTTTGGGGATCACGCGTTTTAAATCAAAATCTGTCAAAATTAAAAAAATTCAAAATTCAAAAAATTCAAAATTCAAAAATCCGAAATGGCTTAAAATGCTATTTCGGCCCCTGTTCGATGAGTTTTTCTGAAATTCGGTGTCAGGAGGTATTATTCGACGGGAAACTCGAATTTTTAGTCCATTTTTTTAAAATTCTCAAATTCAAGATGGCGGACGTGGGCTAAAATGCTATCTCGGTTTCTGTTTGTTCGAGTCTTGTGAAACGCGGTATCTCACGGTATTTTTCAACGGAAAACTCGAATTTTTAGTCAGTTTTTTAAAACTCTCAACTCCAAAATGTTGGATGTGGCCTAAAATGAGCCCCGGTTCTGGCCTCCGTCTCTGTTCGTTAGAGCTTTGTGAACCGTTGGATTAGAGGTACTTTTCGACGGGAAACTCGAATTTTTAGTCGATTTTTGAAAATTCTCAAATCCAAGATGGCGGACGTGGCCTAAAATGCTATGTCGGCTCCTGTTCGATGGATTTTTTTGAAACTCGGTGTCTGAGGGTATTTTTCGACCGGAAACTCGAATATTTACTATGATTAAAAATTCTCAAATCCAAGATGGCGGACGTGGCCTAAAAGGCTATGTCGGCTCCTGTTCGATGGATTTATGGCGCCCCCTTACTACATGCCTACTCTTGTATTTCTGTACAGCCGCAAATTTAGAGTCATAAGGGGCGCCTGACCGTTTATGGACCAGGTGGAGTTTTTGTCCTGAAAATTTACCCTTAAACGGCAATTCTCTTTATATTTTGTCTATGGTTTTTATGCCCCCCCCCCTTTCTCGCGGACTCTCTTTTCACTTTTCTTGCCTCCTTTTTCCTTCTATTTCCCCCCTTCTTCCTTGCTTTCACTGCCCAACCTTGTTTCCTTTTCCTTTTTTCCCCTTGTCCTTTCTTCCCTTTTTTTCCTTTTCCTTTTCCCCCCTTTTTTCCCCCCTCTCTTCTTCTTTCGTGGCGCCCCCCAAAGGCTGGCGCCCGTGTGCGCCGCACGCCCTGCACACGCTATAAGTCCGGGCGTGGATAGGAGAGACGTAATCCGGCCTCCTTGTTAACTTTTCTACCGAATCTAAGGAACAATTCACTAGCATCATAGAACAGAGAATTGTAGATTCACGCCTCACACCATTGCGCCTTCAATTTTGCACATGCAACATGGAAATCCATCAAGCACGAGTAGTTGTATCTCTGCACTGTCATCAACGCGTTAAGTGTCTCTTATTTGTGAAATTTGAGAAAGTTAAAGTCAAGTTTGTGAAATATATATAACTCGTATAATGCGTCAAGGTCAATACTCTTGTTGAAACAAGAATTAAAATTAAAAATAAGTAAAAACATGTTTAGACACCTCTTAGGCGCATCAAAGGGCGCATGTCTATTCGCGATTCATCTTCTCCTAACTTTGAAATGTTCTCTTGAGGTCAACCTTTCGATGCTTTTTGCACTATATGATGCAGAATTAACTCCTCTAAGATTATACCTTATTCTATTTCTTCTATATCCGCAGAGGGCAGAGCCCTTTTTCTCCTGCCTGACTCCATAAACATGATCGATGGTTTGTAAAAGCCAGGTACCTATCTAAATTCGAACACAAGACCGCCATTTGATTATGATTGGATTTTCGATTAAATCGTTGATTTTGTTCTACACTGGTAAAATAATCATTGGATCTAGAGTCCAGACTCTTTAAAACATCGACAAGAAAAAGTACTCTTGATTCAATCAGAATCTAGCTTAAATCAAGAACCAAGCCTCTTAATTTAAGCGGATTTCGTTTTGATTCAAGCAAAAATCCGATTGAATCAAGAGTATTTTTTCTTGTCAATGTTTTCAAGAGTCTGGACTCTAGATCCAATGTGTTTTTTCCAGTGTACGATGGAAATTACACGGGAATTAATTTCGGATTTGAAACGGATAGAGCGTTAAGTATTTCATGAATGGCCCCCCACTGAACGGCACAGGCAGCGCAAGTGATAAAGTTCAATCAAATCTAATTGAAGCTGTGTTCATAAAAACCTGATAAAGTCAAAAAAAGGTTAAAGACATTAGATTCTTACACTTTCGAGTTCTCATCAATCCTGCTGAATCATGACAAGTACCAAATTACTGAATTTTTGTAATCTCGGGTGAGATCGAGAGCGCTCAATGGATGTAACGTGCGTCATTTTGAATTTCCCGCGCAAATTTTAAATGAAATTTACATTAGCCAATGAGCGGTATTCAGTCGTCAACACTCATCATTCGCCATATCAGTGTTTTTTGTTGTGTTTGCTCGTGCGAAATTTGAAAGAACTAAGAACAAAAACATTTTTTGTGTTTCCGAGTGTTTCGGCATCCAGCATCCCGCCCGGCCGCCCGGCGAAAGTCTCTAATTTCACCTTCTTCTATCTTTCGTGTTTTTGTAATTATCTGTCCGAGGAATTTATACCTTGTGCTTTTCCAGCTATAAATAGTAAATCATGGATGACAACCAAGTAGCTGATGACGGTCATACACCGGACGACGGTCAGATACTGAACGACAAAGCACCAGAGGATTTGATGGATATTTTGGTTGCCACCGATATTCATCTCGGATATGAAGAAAAAGATCCCGAGAGAGGTAACAGTACCTTTTCCACACCTTTAAAACACAAGTTCTATACTTCCAAAGAGAAAGTATACATTCCCATGACTGTTTTTCTCTCCCACACAATCTCAAATGTCAGCTTGGACCTAGTGTCTTCTAGGTCTCATTGTCAAGAAACCTCAGTCTTTAAGTTTTAATTTAGCTCTAATGCTTCTCTCATTATCGTGCAGTATTTTAGGGTTTGAATCCTTTCTCTAGCACATCCATGGAAGACTGCACCCTTGGAAGAACCATGAGTGACGCTAAGGTAATGGTTAAAGTACGCTAGTAAATCAATTCATCTTTAGTATTTCAGAGATCATTTAATCAGTTAAGCTATTGTCGCAAGTGGATCGGAGTTTGGCAACCCTCATGAGTCCAGATTTTGAAATCTCTTTGGAGCAGGAGTGATCTCTGTCTGTCAAATACTTAAACTGCCGATGTTTGTTGTATTCAAGAGGCAGGCCCGTATACTCTTGCTTTGACAGACACTCACACTGCTAGAACTTATGTCAGTTGTTTTGGCTGTTGTTTGCTTCCTAGTTGTAGACAACTGTGCTGTCACCATTCGATGATGACTGATTAGGATTTATTAGTGTCCCCCCCCTCCCCCAATAACCGCAGAAAATAATCAAATTAGTCATAAAATCTGTGAAAATCCCTCAAATTAAGTGCTTTAAAATCTGAAAGAATCTCTCAGACTGCCGTGGATCTAAAGCCTTCAATTCCCATGTTACATTTACAAACAACATCTGCAAATCATTGAGATAAAGTTGCAATTTTATCACCAATTTATTACACAAAGATCTCTCAAAAATATGGAAGCAATTTCACTGGATGCTCTGGTGATGAAATTGCGATTCATCTCCAGCAATGAAATTCCTCTTTAATTGTGTTTTCATCTTAGTTAATTACTTGTAGCAATTTGTTCACCAAATATTTTGCTAAAATTTACTTCAATGAAATAGCGATTTTACAACAATTTTAAAGTCTTTTGGATAACTTACAGCGTCAGCAAAATTGGAAGAATCTATCAATCAAAATGCAACGATTATTGCCTCTTAGACATGGGCTTACGATGAATTTGCTCTTTGATATTTGCAGGTGATGACAGTTTCATTTCATTTGAAGAAATATTAAAAATTGCGCAGGCCAGAGGAGTAGATCTTATGCTCCTGGGTGGTGATTTATTTCACGACAGTAAACCCTCAGCACAGTGTATCCATAGGTGCTTAAAATTACTGCGGCAATACTGCTTAGGTGACAGGTAAGTGTTAAACCCTTGATGCTAATTGTGCAAGTGCAGGACGTCTCTTTTTTCAAATATATTAGTTTTTGTATCGCCAACTGTTTAAATCAAGAAACAGAGTGCGAAACTATCAAATGCAGGAACAGAAGGCGAATGGTTCATGTAGGATGTCAATGGAGTTTCTAAAGCAAGTGTCTCAGAGTCAGGCAATGTAGGAACTCAGCATCTTTTTTGGGACCTTCGGATGCTGAAATCTTTTCTTGCCTCCGCTGGGCTGAAAAATAGAAAATATCTCTGAGAATATCTCGTTTAAGAAAGTCTGGATAACTGAAGAATTGACACTCTAAAGAACTAGTGTTTCTTAAGTATTAAAACTCAGAAAAAGATTCGTTTGATCAATGGGCCCAAAATGAGCCTCCCTGTACTCTCTCTAAATCAGCGACTTAAAGATGGCGAAAGAAAGAAGGACAGGTGATATATGAGACAATCGAGAGGGATAAATGGAAGATTGGAAAATGGAGCAATACAATTGGCATAGAACAAAAATCGAAGAGAATGGGGACAGTGAGCCTATGTAAAATACATCACAGTAGATCTCTCTGCAAATGGTTTGCGCAGGTCAGATCGATCAGAAAAGAGTGTTGCTATTCCTTTTTCATTTTAAGTACCCAGCGTATCTTTAATTTTCATGGAATGTTACCAAAACATGTCAGGTCAGGGATATTTTAGACAATTTCATTGTCTGAATTATATGGCAACCCTGTTCAAAGGACTACAATAATTGAAGAAGCTGCAGCCGCTTTTGTATTTTAATGCTATAATGTCATTGTAAAGCTTCCAATTTTTTTCATTTTTCAAACCCCACTTTCATTTTTTTAAATTTTTTAGTTCAAAAAATTTGGAATCTAAGTCTTAGGACTTGTTGAAGGACATTGGTGCATCTTGCAGGAGCAAAATTTATGTACCAAAGTATTTTATTTTGCTTGTGCATCTACTTTACCTCAACATACTTTCTTGAAATCTCGTTTACTTATTGTTTGTCATCCTATGTAAATATTTTTTACAGCAAGTTCTGCCCCTCCCCTGCATTTCACTCTTGAGGCACCATTTTTCGAGCAAAAACTATGTGGCAATTCAGAGACGTTTTTATAATATTATTGCATTCAATAATGTTTCAGGCCCATCCGTGTGGAATTTTTAAGTGATCAGTCTGAAAACTTCCGCCATTGTGACTTTCCTGTCGTCAATTATGAGGATCCCAACTATAGCATATCCCTTCCTGTTTTTTCTATTCACGGAAATCACGATGATCCCAGTGGTAAGAACCAAATCTAGTTGATACTACATTACTTCACGTTTAAAGCCGATTTGCAGCTTTTCAGAATCCACCAAGTTGCCTCCACTTTTTCACCTGTTTCGCAAACTTATATATATTTCAATATGGATGATTCCATACTTTCGAAAGAATAAATCTTCCAGCCTTGTTACTGTTTTTATAAATTTTGTTGAGAAGGTCACACCCTTAAATTTGTCATGTTCCTATTAACTATTGTTTTTTAATTAATTGGTCGTTTAAAATTTGAATTGAGTCTCAATACACTTTTACTAAACTTTTATGAAAGTCCAACATTCGATCCCAACTCCCTATTCCTTCCCCTATACTTTTTAATGTTGCAAAAATGAAATCATACGATTAATGTTTTCAACTTTTTTAGAAACTTATATCATTAAAATTTAAAGAACTTCGTTCAGGTACGCAGAAATTTCCTTACCCTGCGACCAGCCTAGTCGTGTGAAATGAGAGAACCCCCATGAAAACAGGACAAAACAGGGGAACTTCTTGTGAATTACAGCATTTTAGAGATTAAAAAATTCAATTTTCTTGGTAAAGATTTTTTCTTTTCCTCCCTAAGTCTTTACCAGAGTGTGATCGTGAATTTCGTTTAAAAATGGGGGAAAGTTGCTTGAAATGTAGGAAGAGCAATTTGATTAGGTGGAAGGCTCGAAATTTTCTATACTTCTGACTTCGCTATTTACTTTAAAACCAAGTAAAAAAAGGTCCCAAAAGTACTGCAATAATTCTAATTCTGAGAATACAAATAAGGATACTGACTTGCATTTTAAACAGGCATTTAGATAATCTGGCTATAATTTTAACAAGGCCTCTCTGAGCTCAATTTTTCAAAAATTTGCAGAGCTATAGTTTTTTCATAAAATAATGTGTTGTTGCTGCCCATAAAATATTTCAGGTATATATTTAAAGTAAAAAACAAGGAGTCGGAAGTTAATCAGTCTTTAGAAATAGATTCACCAAATATCACCATATTAACGGTGCTTATTTTTCTTTTCCTCAAAATACCTGTCTTTGCTTTGAAAACATCGGCTTATCAGTTCAGAATATTCTATCAGAATTAGTTTTTGCAAATTCTTCTCTGATCTTAAAGAAAACAGGGACCGCTGTTTTGATTTCTCCTTTTAAAAGAGACCAGCTCAATAAGATGCTTAGTTTTTGAGTTTTAGCACTGATTTGGTTAATCTTAGGACATTCCGCGTGCAGCTGGGAATTTTCTAACTTCACAAGACAGGCAGAAAAAAGTAGCGGAAGCTGTTACCTTTTAGGCAGCTTATTCCTGTTTTTCTTTGAATTACACATTTTTTTCTTTTTTTCCCCCTCCAGGGTATGGGCGGATGAGCACATTAGACATTATGAGCGTCACAAATTTGGTAAATTATTTTGGCAAGTGGACAGATCTGAAGAATGTTGAAGTATCGCCGCTCTTACTACGAAAAGGGAAAACAAAAGTTGCCGTGTATGGTTTAAGCCACATCAAAGATGATCGGTTAGCCCGATTGTTTAGAGATCAAAACGTAAGTTTGCCTCCATACTTTTGGACCCTGAGACATTGCCAACAGGTTTTATGATCAGCAAAAAGTAATAAATCATTTTGTCTGAAAAATCGCTCCAGAGAAGAAAAATTGATTGTACCTAAGTACTCTTACCCTAATTTTTCAGAATTTGTGCAAAAAACCAGGCTGATGGGCAATATTCTTAATAAATACATTGAGACGTCGATAATCTGCTGGATTATAACTTACGAATTATAACTATACAATGAGGGGAAGGACTCCTCTTCCCTATACAGTTTAAATTTTTCCCTCAAATTTTTCACACTTATCATCAAAATAATGGTGAAGTATCTGCTCATTTTTGTGGAAAGCCTTTAAAGAATTATAAGATTTCAATTCAGTCTTGTTATTTGTCACTTCAAGAAAAGGTAATTACATTATATGGAACTTGTTGAAAAATGAGTAGGTTCTGTTGCAAATCATAGGAAACTTTGAAAGGGTAAGAAAAGGCTAAAAACAGCTATGCTCTGTCAAGATGTTACTATGTAAAATCTCATCATGTTATTAATGTTTTTATCCTCAAAAAATTTCTTTTTACGCCCATCTGAATTGAAAGACAATGGCGTCCACAAATCTGGAAAACCTCGAAAAGCCTGGGAAAAATCTTTTCCGTCCAAAAATATCCTTGTGCAGTTTGTTTTTTATTTCATTATCTGTTCAAAAAAATCACTCAACTTTTTCGAAAATTAGTGACATCAAGGTAATCACTGCATTTTACCTCTATTTTTTGATACATCATGGATTTATGATGCGCTAACTATTTTTTACCATTGATGCATCTCATCCAGGTGAAATTTTATCAGCCACAATGGGAAGCAGAAAGTTGGTTCAACATCTTCATGTGTCATCAGAATCGCGCACAACGTGGAGTGCTTAAATATTTACCAGAGGAAGCCATCCCACCGTTCATTGATTTTGTTATTTGGGGTCATGAACATGAATCCCGTATAAGGTTAGAATTCAATGAAGTAGGACGCTTCCACGTAACGCAGCCAGGTAAATTAGTGCTTTTGGTTTCATTGGTAGGACGTCATGGTAATTACTGTTTCTTTCTTTTTCCCTCCGAGTAAATCATCAAGCAAAAAAGGAAACCAAAGGTTAGTAAATTAGTGCATGTTCTTCTCCGTTTAATATCCTCCCATTGTGCAAAAAATTGACTTTTTTCTGTAAGTATCAAATCTGAACTTACAAGAAGCCACTTACAACCTTATAATCTTTTTGTGAGCAACGTATTAGTACTGCAATGAAACTGGTTTCAAAGATCTTATCAAAACTAGAAAACACAAGATAATGGGTAACCAAGGCTAAAACAACAAATCAAAAAGCCTGGGATGTTTCCGGGTGGTACCTGGTTTTTACAAATTGCTATTTAGTCTTTTTTTTTTTTTTTGTCACAGGTAGTCCAGTTGCAACATCACTCTGTGAAGGAGAATCAAAACCAAAACATGTGGGGTTGTTGCAAGTTTATCACCCTGAAGGTGCCAAAGCCCCGAAAAGCCGATTTTTTCCCATCAAGTTGCGATCTGTGCGTCCGTTTGTCTTTGACACTGTTGTTCTTTCTGAGGAAAATCTAGATGACAGAATAGGAACTGTTAATGAAAATGTGAGTCCCATCATTAATTCCTGATATGAGTCGGAAATTGTTGTTGGTGAATCCCTGCCTGAGCCCAAATCTCAAATGAAGAATTAAACAGTTAACAGGAAAGGGTCACATCAAATCTAATGTATGGTAAGCTTCACGAAAATTTGTCCATTCAGTATGGCCAGATTAGCTGTGTTTTGACACCTCTCTATCCTTGGTTGTAAACCAGGTGTGCAAAAACTTCTAGACAACGCATCCGGGCAGGTTGTGTGTGAAAATGGGAAGGCCCCGAAAACGGTGTCCTAAAATGGGACTGCTGGCAAAATCGTGGGTTTCTTCTCCCGAACTGCTGTAAAAGTAACATGTTTTTCGTAAAGCCGTTGTAAAAATCACCTGTTTTTGCAAAATTGCAGTATTTGATAAGTACGGTCATAAGAAAGTCATTATTTGGAAATTTCTCAGGAAAAAGACTGGTCTTTAAAATGTGATGGCCGATTTGAAAAATGGGGAGGCTAGGAACTTTCTGCCTCCCGTTGTGAAATTTTTATCTCTGCTTTGGACCCTTTCACTAAAAATTGCCTAATTTAGCTATGGCTCACCTCTGTTCCAAATTTGTCGTAAAAAAATCTTTCATTCATTCAATCTTAGATGGTAGCAATAATGAATAAATTAAAGTTTGCATTACAGTTAAAGAAAAATTATGGACTTATTTGGTTTATGTTGTTAGTGGTTCAACATGACACCTCTCATCTCTTACGAGGCCGAAAAGCAAAAGTGGACACACCCTCCTGTTGGTTTCAGTGTTGTTAACTTTATAAAGCTTTGGTTATGATTTTCGACTAATCATCACCTTTGTTTGAGTCGTCAATTTTCATTTCTGTTTTTAACTTGCAGGTTGAGGCTTTCTTAAAAGACAAAGTTGAAGAAATGATTGAGATAGCACAAGAACAGATAACAGGTTTGTACTTGTATGGTATAGACATTCAACATTGCTGCAATGGATCCCCTCCTCTTCTAAAGAAAATAACAAATGAGTTTGTTTCTTGTTCGCGCTAGAGTTTTGCAGAAAGAAACGCTCATGTCTCGTTTTTTGACAAGGTTTTTCCAGTCTAATGGGAGTAATTTTGTGAAAATGAGCTGGTTGATAGAATATTCCCTGAGTATATAGGGCTCCATAAAATTAAAATTATAATTTTACGGAGTAAGTCAGAGAGATAACATAGCTCCTGTAGAACAGAAAATTCATGAGCTTGTGAAGGTTTGTGAAGGTCCTCTTAACGTTTTTTTTTTTCCAACCAAAGATAAAACAACCTTGATAGCGTCTGATTCTTCTAAAGTTCTTTGCACAAGTGGCACCTTTAATGAGTGAGAAAATTTTCCAAAAAAGAGGTCATTTTGAGGCTGAAAATAAGATTATGGCTGATTTTTGTTCCAAAGAATTTTCTGTACCTTTGACGGAAACCATCTGCCTTTATTAAATACTTTTTTCCACTTTTTTACTTTCATGACTATCATTTCACACTGTCTTATCCCATTTAAAAAGTAATTGTGTAAGGTTGAAGAATATAAAATGTAATAATTGTAAGAGGATGGTTCCTGTAAGTAGATCGATATGATAAAATACTCTAATGGCAGAAGATAGATGTGCTTTAGAGTCAGCCAATGGTAAAGCCAGAAATTCCTGCAAGTTTTTATTGATGTTGTCCAAAAATTGTATTATAGGTTTAAATTTACCTGAAATTTAATCTGGGAAGTGTGTACTTTCCTTTCTAATTTCGTCTTTTATTCCTGAAAATTATAGGTTATGATAAACAACCAACTTTACCTTTGATTCGATTGCGAGTTGAATGGAGCGACGAAGAGCAGCTCTTAAATCCAATGAGGTTTGGGCAGGTTTACTACCAAGGTTCTGTCGCAAATCCTGACAACATACTGTTATTCCGGAAAGAAAAAACCAATCGGAAGGTAAAAGAGGAAGCAATAGACAAGGACGTCATAGAGGGTATTTTAGATGAAGAAATCGAGGTAAGTCCCTCGTGGAACTCTTCTTCCTAGGATCATCTGCCAAGATCACATTGCATGTTCATTTCTGTGACTATCCAAAAATTTATGCGATTGAATATGATACATTTTAGTATTGTATTCGGCAGTTTTTATTTTTGTTGGTTCATAATAATTAATTCTTTCAGTTATCTGACGTGGTTGAAATTGAGTTTTTGGTCTTAAACAAGCTAATTGACAAGGAGATACAAACCTATTTTTTTTTGGCAAGAATAGAATGTGCATGTAGTTTTTTGCATTTTTTTTTTTTATCAACTGAATCACAGTGTTTCACAAATAAAATTGAAAATTCACCACGCTGGCAAAAACAGAGCCTGAAATGGCTATTTTTCAGTCTTTCTTTGGTAGTTTCTATCGTCCAAATTTTTCGATATTTGCCGTGGCTCTTGCTTCAAATCGCCAGATAATAGGAGCATTATTGTGTTTATTTTAGTATTTTCATCAGGATTTATAATGATTGTGATAAAACAATGTTGCCATTGTTCTCAACATCTAGTATACAATAGTTCAACGAAAGGAGTACAAAATCTCACTTGAATTTTTCAGGATGTACAAAGTGTAGTAGAAAGATACTTCACAGAAGTCGATCCTTCTAAACAGTTGAAAGTTTTGTCCCTGAAGGGTCTAGGAGAGGCTGTATCACGCTTTGTGGACAAAAAAGACAGAACTGCAGTCATCGATCTCACCAAGTAAGCATCTATTATTTCAAATGTGAGTGAAAGTGAGAAACAACGTATCGCCATTTGCGATGTTGCATAGTTTCTGTCATACTTTATTTTTCCTTTGGAAAGCTAGTCAACGTTTTCTCTTGAATACTCTCTTGATTTTTCTTCTCAGTCAGCTGAGTATACTGTATACATCTCAAGCAATAATGTCGCATTGTTTCCTTCCGAAAAGATAAATAGTTGTGAAAATTTTGAAACATAGCAATGGAGATACATCATTTCCAACTTTGGCCATCAAAATATATTGCAAATTATATCTGTAAACCTAATAGAAAGATTTAAGTTTCAAAGAATTGACATAAAATAAAAAACAGCGATAAAACGACCAACAAAAAAACCAAACGTTTCACACAGGGTGCAATAGTAGGCCCAATAATATTTTATGAGTATCAACACAGGATCTAAAGAGAATCTACGATCATCTGTGATGGCCTGTCAAGCTTTGACACCTGACGTCTTGAGGAAAGCACACTCTGTGGAAATCTTTTCGGGAGAAAATATCGGTGGTTAGAAAATGCTTAAGTTAGCAAGTGCGACTGTGTCGTGATGTTTCTCTGTTTGATCGCCTACATTTATTCACGTTCTTAATTAATTTTACAGTCATCAGATCAACAAAACGGTTAAATTCATGAAAGAACGAGATGATGTGAATGAAGAAAATCTCCTTGAAATGCTTGAAGAGTACAGACTGGCTAGATTGGCAAGAGCCCAAGAAGAAATGAAAGAGGTATGTAAACAAACTATTGGGACTGTGCAAACCTTGAATTTTTCATCTAATCCTGAACAACGGTGCAAATCTTTTGACTTAAATGAAAGGTTTTTATTACACAGATTTAATTAAAAATTTGAGAATTTGTCCATAATATGATCTTATGCAGTTTGCTGATTTAATGTATCGGTTGATCTAATGAGGAAGCTTTAATAAATTGATTACATTAATATTGGAACAGCATTTCAAGACCCAGAACGAGACTGAAATTGTGAAGACTCCATGTACCATCAGATTTTTTGTGTATTTTGTAAGTGAAATCAATTCTTTTATCTGACCGAGTTGCTGACCCTCTAAAGAGCTTGGATCAAGCAGCTCAAGGTATTCATGAAATTAGTGATTACACTTCAGAATTCTTCTCACAATCTGCATACAAATGCAACCACTTTTACCATATTCAGGGAATACAAAAAGTACGGATACTTCTTGATATATTAAAAATGGTCGCAAGCATTGATATGGAGTTTGAACGAAACTTCCTCAAACAAAAGTGGGCAAATATTTCGTGAAGGGTTGTGACCTCCCTGCGGGGATCACAACCCAGGGGCGTATAGACTTTCGAATAAGAACCTTCATCGTATGATATTTCATTGGAAAGAACATAAAAAATAAAACATTTTGTGCAACTTTTTCCCAAATGGCGGCTAGTTAAAGTAAAAAAGAAAATTTAGCAAAATAAAACATAATATTTGTATTAAAATATAATCTCCAGGCACAAGACATGTTGGATGGTGAGGACCGCACAGTAGAAAACTTCAAAATGGAGAGCGATCATGAAGAAAATGGCAATGATCTTGACGTGAACGGGGATGATCAACCTCATATCATCGTTACGCTGCCGACGAGAGGTCGTGGAAGTAGAGGCAGAGGACGCGCCAAAGCGGAAGTGCCAGCGTCAACTGGCAGAGGTCGTGGCAGAGGGCGAGGCTCCCGAGGTGGTGCGACAACTCCAAGAGCTGCAGTAAGTGAAAGTTTCGTTCCCTCATTAACTCAATCTCAATGTTTGCTCAGGGTTTATGATGATCCGAAGAGTCCTTGAATTTTTTTTTTCTAATTTTTAAGTCTTTACATTTTTCTACAAAGATGGTATTTTTCCTGTGCAAGATAGAGACCTCTCTTTATCCCTAATGTCCAATGTGCAGAGCAGGGGGGTTTATTTAGGAATAGACCTTTGGTGAGAGACTTGCTGAAAGCGTACCTCACACCCTCTGTATAATTTCTTTGCCCACTCCAAACTCTCTTCAACCAAGATTCTCAAAAGTAAAGCAATGCTTTACCGAAGAATCTAAAAATAGCATAAAAAATGAAAAATATTGATCATAAAAATACTTCGTTTTACCATAGAAATCCTTGTAAGTCCCCTGCCCATTGGGTTTGAAAAGCTGTCATGAGCCCTATTGCTTGATTTTTAATGTAAATGCATTTGAACTTATGCCAGAGTATGAAGTCAAACGCAGAGAACATCAAACTTTGCCAGTAAAGAACAACTGAAAATAAATACTGCAAAATTTTTCTTGTTCAGATAAAACTGGCCTTCCTTAAGAAAACTTCAGCATGCTTTTTTTTCATTGTCCTGTTAAATGTAGACAACATTTCCCAAAATCGATATTTTTCCCGTACCTTCTAAAATTACTTTGAGCTTTGTGGAAGGGAACTCATAGGTTGAAAAGTCGAGTTCCTTCTTCTGTCTAATCTTACCAGAGAAAAAAATGTCTAGTGAAACTGAGCATAATGGAACAAAATGTAGCCTGTTTACAGTAAAAACTCATACCTAACAGAAAAAATGAGCATATGTATTTTGCTATGCCTTGAATGAACCTGTTCATAACAAAATCTTATCGCTAAAGAAAAAAATTCATTTGCCCCTCGATATTCTGTTATGACTTGCTGGCTGTGTAGGTATTTGGATGAAAAATTTGCCACTATTGTGGAATTCAGCTTGGAGATTCCGTTTCTTAGCCCTGTTTTTCCTTCATCTCATTTTCATGAATCCTCGAAGTTTCATTGTACAAATACTGCAATAATCATTTGTCATAAATTTTCAGGCAAGGGGGATCCCCAAACTAACGCTTACTAGGTCACCACCAATGCGATCTCCAGTAAAATCTCCAGTGCGATCCTCTTCCAGAACGCCGAGCACAAGAATGTCCAACCGAGCGCGCATCACTTACGATGAATTTTCCGACTCTGATTAATGCACTCACTCGTCAACTTCTCAATTAACCGTTGCTGCAACTCTAAAAAATTTGGTAGCGTTCCTAATAGCACATCTTTACATTCAGGGTTCCAGATATTCTATAAGATGGTTTCCAATATATACTTTGCAACCATTTCTGAATCGTTAAACTTTTTTTTTAAAGATCCCAGGAAAATTAATCAGTTTTAAGTGTGTGTGATTTATTCCTGAAAATTTGATCACACAGTTTGAACTAAACGAGTGAAGCTCAGCCAAAGTGGGAATGGTAAATCAACTGCCAAAATTATTCAAAATCAAATGAACTTTACTGTTAATGTTATTTTGAACCACTTGATTAAATTTTGTACTTTCATTGGATGTACCACAAAATGATCTAATATTCGTACGCCTCAAAGAGACAAGATGTGCTATCCAGGGAGCAAGAAAAATCAACAAGATCTTCCCAAACAATAAATTCTTGCAAGTAATGAGAACGGACGTTTTGTCCATTCAAAAACCCTTTGGATGATGTAACGCAACAATTATTTTTCAGGGAGTAATATTATCTAAGTTTTGACAACCAAATTAACCATTCTGTCACTTGTGCAAGTTACTCATTCTGCCATGAGAAAAAACACTGAGTGAGTCCTTGAATTTTCAGAGAATCTTATTTGCGGTCTAATGCATTGTTCTAAAAATGTCAAAGAAAATATTCCTTAGTTTTAAATTTTTAATTTTTAAAAAAAGCCTTTAAGGAATTTAAATTTTTTTTAAAAAATTTTATTAGAAGGCATTTGGCTACATTTGAATATTCATGCACTATATACTCCTTTTGAGAAGGCGACTATCTCAAGAATTATCGTATACTCATCTTTATTTTCGTAGTTACCAGTTTTGTATTCCGCTCAGCATCCACATTTACGAGAGCACAAGTTAGTCATATTGATCTGAATTTTGTTCGTACATGTTTACTCTTGAATGTAGTTTGAATGATGGTTCCTGTTTTAATTACTTAAAGATGTGCTTGTATATTTCCTTCCTTTTAGATCTTTTTCAGAAAAAGAATGAAAGAATGGTCTACTTTTAAGAAATTCTATTGTAGATAGTTAAGCTATTAATAATAGATAGTTCATCACGTTGATTTAGGTATTCTTAGGATTAGTCGGTAACTTAATGTTTTCATCCTCGTTTTCTTCAGTCAGACTTTTGTTGTCTCTATTCAAAAGATGTGTTGTTTAAAACAAAATTTCAGAAAATTTAATAATTTTAGGTTGTAATTTTGCTGATTTTCTCTCATCTTGTAAATTTAGATATCGTGTTAGAACTAGAGCAGTGTAAATATAAATAGCTTTCTAAAAATGTCATTTCAACATACGTCATTTTGAATTTTTAATTTAAGATTGGCATCAAGTTATCTGTGTTGTTCAATGTCAAAATTTCCGGAAAATATGTTCGTAAATAATCAGCTTGTTATGTTCTTTCTCGTACTATAAAGTAAACATCAAAAACAAAATCCTCCCGCAAATTTTCAGACACATCAACTACTTTCTAAATTTTATCTCAAAGGCAAGAAGTTGTATAGGAGAAAATTCCTGTTTTTTTCTTTCCCGATCAATCGTTAAGTTTTATTTATTCATTTATTTTTCTAGCTCACAGCCGAGTAAATTGTTTAATTTGCACACTTCTGGTAGTTACTGTTGATGATGCAAATGGAATCATTATCGTTGCTTCTAACCTGAGATTTTCGCAAACTTATTGCTTAAGTAGCTTTCCATATTTATGAAGCGAATGAATGAAGCAGAAAAATGAACACTGTTTACTTTTTTTGCAATTTACAAGGAATTAAATGAATACATTCAAATAAATTTCTTTAGTAGAGATTAAGACTCGCTGTTTAAAAGCTTTCAATTCATTTTCTTGTAGATCAGGATTTACAGGTAAAAACGTGTTGAATTTTCCTACATTCCCTGCAAATTTTTTTGATCATTTTGTAAAAAATCTCGGCCCTTTTATTTCTTTTTGTCAGTGAATCTAAATTTTCAGCATTCCTTCCAGCAAGAAGTAAATCTAGCCCTCTATGTATTGTATGTATTTTTCCTGAATAAAATAGACTTTTATTCAACTTCAAGCTTTAAATCCAATAATGTGACGCATCTTCGTTGATTCTGTGTTTTAACACCTTCCTTTCTCTGCTCAGCTAACTCAGAAATAATGGGAAAAGGCTCCTCTATGAAAAGAGCCTAGGAGGACAGAACAACAAACCCTTAACTCAGGACTCAGGACCATGCATATTCTATTACTTGAGGCAAAATCTACAGAAATTTATACATCACTCGAAATGTTTGTGGAGGAGCAGAAAACAATAGAAAAAAAGCAGTGGTAAAATGAACTGAGTTTTTGGTTGAAACATCAAAACATATCAGATCAATCTAAAATCAGATAAGTGCTCAAGAAACTCCTTAAGTAGCTTGGTGGAAAACATTCTTAAACTTTAACCCAAAATTTTTTCCTGAGTTTAGTGTTATCATAAGCTTCCATTTAATCCTTCATTTGATGGCCCGAAACCAAACGAAAGAAGCCTCTTTTCGGTTAGGTTCTATGTTATTGAGGTCTGCAATATGCTTGGGTAACTGTTGAACTGAAAATAGATCAAAATTAAAAAAAAAAATCCAAACATTTGTGAAGAACTTAAATTCTGCAACTTACATACACACACCCACCCATTAAAAAAAAAAAAAAAAAAATGGTATTTTGCTTTCAAAGAAATAAAACAGCCAATATGTTTGTTTTTTTATTTTTTCTTTTTTAATTTGAACTAGATTGAGATCTCTTTTCTTTAAAATGTTATTTATAAAAAAAAAGGCACGCTGTGCAAATTTTTAGAAATATAATTAATTTATAAATCTATACTTATAAATCATAAAAATCTCACCTCAACAAAACAGCAAGAACGTACCTCTCAAATTTATGTACTACTTTTAACTAATAAAGTAAATTTTCCTATCAAAAAATTTAAGAGAAAGAGAAAAAATAAACATTAGTTGCCTCCAATATTTTCAAAAACATCAACAGCTGATTATTTTACAATGATAAACACATCAGAATTTAAATACATTACACATCGTGTAATTGAACCTCTGTAAAGTGCCGAGGACTTATTGGACTCTCTCTGGGTAATCCAATTTATTAGAAATACAACATAAAATGCAAGGTCTGAGCAACATCATAAATCACAGAAGCTTGTTAAACTCCTTCAATCTGAGCAACTATGAGGCATTTATGTTACTTCAGCGATGATTGAGCTTACTGCTTCAATGATTTCAAAGTTTCATAAAAAAGAAATTTCATGAACTTAAGAGGTGGATTCAATGATCTAAAATTAGGACACTGGTCCGGTGCAACTTGTACTTTGACATCAAAACTGGGAATATGTCAAATAACATGACATGATAAGATACAACTTGAGTTCAAGTACCCATCAATCAGAATTGTTATAATGGGTCATCCTGACTGGAGGATGAGATTAAACTGGGTCTTCTTTTGAAAAAAACCAATAGCAAATTTTAAAAGAATGTTAAGGTGTTGTTCATGGATGATTGTCCTATTTTTTTTAGATTGAGTTCCCAAAACAGAATGAAATACATCAACAACTTCCTCAGATAACGGTGCTGTGTAGCTTTAGAATTTATTAATTCATCAATGTAATATTTGTTCGGCACCAGGTATGCCAACGTTGTATTCAGGGTTGCCACAGAATTTAGATAATAAAATCTCCGGATTGACATTTCCGGGACACATTTTGGTAAAATTCCTCGCCATTTGAGGGCACGCAGGGTGCTAGAAAAGATACAATTTCAAGTAGTTTTCTATGAAAAATTTGTTCTTTGAAACACATTCAAGAAGGCAAATGGAAGTGATTTGACTATTTTTTCCTTGTTGATTTCGTCATTTCCTAGGGTGCCCTCGTTTTTTACAGTTCCCTGACATTTCCTAGTTTTCCCTGAATTGCGTACATGTTCTAGTGGCGCTGGAAAAACACATTAAAAAGGGCAAACTTTTGAGAGCAATCAAAAACAGACTAAAACTAGGGTCAAAAAAATCTTGAATCACAGCCTGCAAGTAGTCGCTGTTAGTTTGCTGGCGCAAGTCTCGTAAGCCTGACACCGCGCAAGCGGAAAACCTTGGTGTCAAGCCCATGAGCCCAATGTGGACAGCAACATGCTATCACAACCTCAGACTTGTGATCTTGAATTTGACTAATAAAATGCACACTCTCACTCGACTCTAAGATGTCATTTTCAAAGACAACAATAAGAGCTCCAGGAGTCAGTACAAGAACTATCCCATTATTTTGCATAGTGGGCATATGTCTGGGGTAAGTTATTGCAAAGAAACGAACTTGGAAGATCGTTTATTTGGTAAATATTGCCATGATCGATCAACAAATTTTTAAAATCCTACCATGTTGGAGAAAAATTTGAGCTCTGTGACTTTGAGAGAATAGAAAGACAAAGGTCAATATTTCTTTTGAAAAAGTACAAAAAAAGACAATTCAATTAGTAAAAATGCTCATTTCGAAACGATACGGTATGATGGTCAAAAAAATAAAACACTGACAAGATAGCTTCCTGTGTGAAAAAGAGTGGTTGGTAATTTACACTCATTACTTGCTTTGCAGTGCATTACGCCAAAAGAAAAAACACATTAGTTGATCCTAAAAATTTTTCAAAATGCTCCATCTTTTTTTGTTGAAATGTAAAAATATTTTTAAGTATTAAGAATATAAAAATAATTTGTTTCTCCTAGATTTAAGAAAGCAGTACTTCCTTGGCATCCTCACGGGACGAGCCACTGGTACTGTAAATAGCTATTTGGAAATCAAGTTGAGAGCCTAGTGGAAATATTCCTACGCATTTCAACCTGCAATGTACTCTCTTCCTCAGGAGACTTCAACAGAAAAAAACACTATGCACGTTCACATAAATTACAGGCTCTTTTGCACGGCAAACTTCTGCAATTTGAGGAGTAAATATAAAGAATGAATCTTGAAGAATTAAGTTTTCGGGGCAATTTTGATCCACGTGGCTACCTGCACAGTTTGATTTCACTCAGGAGCAGAGTTCTGGCTTCACCCCAAATTTTAGGAGCCAAAAATATTTTTGAAAGTTTTTGCAAGAGGCAAAGATGCAATAGGAATCAAGACTGTAACAATGTATGAAGCATACGTATGACTGGCACTCTTTACTGAATACCTCAATTAGATTTAGCACATGAGGTTCTGTGAAGTTAGAGCATTGCTCAGGCACAGATCTGAGCAGTTCGATTGTATTTGTCAGTCTACCGAGTTAGTGAGCTTTTTTCTTGTAGTTAACTTTTTGAATGAGCAAAAAGTGCCTATAGTAATTTATCCAACAATACATCAAGCCTAATGAGCAATAAACGGAGGTTAACAGAAGAGGTAGGAACGGATATGATTGGTCAAGTTTCAATATCGGATGAAAGACTGATTCATATAAAAAGAGTGGCACTAGCCCGAATATGTATATAGACTCTAGCTTAGTGAGAAGGGGGAGACAGAGAACGCTGCGCTGCATGTGAAACAGCTGGGAGAGGTTGGCGTAGCTGTATATTAAATTAGTGACTAGAATGATGACTTTGATCGGCAGTTCAAATGGTTCGAATAGTAGGGGCAATAAAGAATAGTAGCCGACTGTTGATGTAAGAAGAAACAGAGATGCTTCCTTCTTCCAAACTATAGACATCAATCTGAAATGGTAAAAAAAAATTTCATAAGTTGTAATATTACATTCCTGAGACTGAAACTTTAATTTCCAATGTACTTTTTCATCATGAAACATGATGCTATATTTACCTAATGAACTATTAGATTAAGTACAAATTTAAGCATTCTTAGATATACTTCCTTCTTAGAATTTTTTGCAGAACATGATTCGCGCGACAAATAACGGATATTAACTTCAAACCAAGATAATAACGTTTTCACTTAGAATTGGTGACGAATACTTTGAATTTCCCACTCACAAGAAAAACAAGAGTCTACTTAAATCAAATCGCGCTTTACAACGATTTTGGGAGACTTTTCTATAAGTAGTGTTTCTTTCCTGCCATGTGTTGTTCAGAGTGTAAGCAACAGGCAATAGCTGAGCTAAAGCGCCAAGATTAAGGTTGCCATATTTTTATACCACTGAAACTGTTATGGTAACGTTTAATGTGCAATTTAAATCAAGTAGATTATTTTTTTCTTCTATGGGTGGAAAGTTAGAATTCATGCATAATAAAAGTTAATTTCTTTGTTAAGATTTACTTACGGTAATTATTTTGTGCACATCAAGTTTTATGTGAAATTTTGGAGAGTATCATAATGCTTATACATACTTGCACCTTGTCTGATATTTCACCTATGATACTGAAGTGAGGAAAAATTTAAAATTACGACAGCCACTAATTGTATCATTTTTGAGTTGAAACTTGGTGCTTCCATTTTTATTAATTTGCAATCAATTTTGTGTGCCCCATATGTTATGAATCCAACAATATCTTGAGTATCAATACTAAACAGCTCAATTTCACCACAATCAACGTTTCGAAGAAAGAAAATAGGAGAATAAGTTAACAACATTTTGAAACTTTAAAAAATAAAACTCAACATTCCTTTCAGTACAATCCTAGGCCTGGGTTACTGGGCCTTTCTTTGTACTTATTTTTGGCTAATCCGACTACATTTCTTGCTTGAAATTTTAACCTAATGTATTGCATGCGTGCATGTATGTGATTTTATGATAACAGGAATAACTGTGCCTTCACTGCTTATGAGCAATTCACAACAAAACAATTAAAAACAGAGGCGATTAATTGGAAGAGTGCACCTAGAGCTCAAGCCTTAATAGGTAAATGGAGGCCTAACTATCAAAGCACAAGGCTTTCAATCATTCAAAATGAGTATCCAAAAGTTTTCTCCCACGATTTTACAGCCAGGCAAGAAACCGAGAAGTCTTCTATCTCATGGCATTCATAGTGCTATTCATGAAAATAAGTTGCAAACAGAAATAAAAACCTAAAAGGTTCAATCATTCAATCAACTTTTTTTTATGATATTTGAATGGATGATTTTTACTTAAAGATAATACTTGTGGTAAACTTACGTCATGGGTACGATGACCATTAGAATAGCTTTCTCATGAACATGCCAGCCAAACATGAAAGAAGTGAAAGCACATAAAATTAGAGATCGCACAAAGTGTAGAGGATTCCCAGGACTCACCCATAATTTCATTAAATTCGGCTGAAACAAGATAGAGGTCATGCAGTTATTCCTTTCTAAGAGGATTTTGAAGCATCAAAGGCATTAAAAGTTGGTAACATTGGAGAAAGGATGAGTACCAAAGTAGTGATCACAGTCGGTCAGTTGACAGCACTGAGGGATACAGATACTTCACAACAACTGTCTGAAAAAGGTCATGATCGAGTGAGTCAAAATTTTTTAAAATAGACTACTAGACAAGGTACGAATTTCAGCATTCTGATACATGTTTCTTCACTAAAATTTCACGTAAAACACGATGCGTACAACGAAAATTACCGAAATCAACTCCTTCCGAGGATATTGATGATTCTTGGTGCGTGAATTCAAACCACCCGCTCATGAAAACTCGATGCTCTACGTGATTCATATCGCTCGTAAACGTTATCATGAACGTCTCTGCGATAAAAAAATCTGGCAACCTCAATCTTGACACTTAGGCTCAGCGATAGCAAATTACTTATAGTTTGAAAAACACATGGTGGGAAATGAACATTGCTCGATTGAGAAGATTGCTGAAACCGTTATAGTGCGCAATTTGACTCACGTAGAGCTTTGAGTTTCTTGAGAGCGGGCAGTTCAAATTCCTCGTAACCAATGTGAAATAAAAATGTTAATAGCTTCGTTAGGAGTTGGTTTCAGTAATTTTCGTTGCGCGAATCGTGTTCTACGTGAAATTCTGGTTAAGATGCATGTATCAGAATGCTTAAATTCGTACCTTGTCTAGTGGTCCATTGGTGACGAAGTGTTCTTTTAAACTGTTCGACAACTTGATATGTTTGATTTAGAGTCTCCGCTAAAAATGTATGCTAATTCTTTTCAGTACTTCATTTCAGTGTTTACATATCAAAAGACAAAAATCAATAAAAGGTCTAACTAACTTAATAGACTTTCAAAGACTACTTAAGGTTTCTCCTTTTTTTACCTCCTGCTTTCATTGGCATAAGGACTGTACAATATCCCTCTATATTTTCCATTCACAGGACTTATCAGGCCTCTGATTAGTCCAGAAAAGACAAGCTTTTTAACCAATCAAAAACCAGGATGTTGTCACAAGAATTTGTTCGTTGGGGAAAAATGAATGGAAAGTTCACTGCTTTCAATGCAGAAAAACTTGTACAATTTATCTAATCAATAAGTCTGTATTTTTCATGCTAGTTAACAGACAGTAATTCTATACCTAATAAGCGATGCATAAGATTAAGAGAAAAATGAGTCACTTACAAAGCTAGCTAAAACAGTTAAGATGAAAGTGATTAGAGGCGACACGTTCGGTAAAACAGCATGACTATATTCTTGAACTAACCCACCAGTCATTGATGCACTCGGACTGGCTGTGCTGTCAAGTAAATTTAATTTCCTACCTGCAAGGGTAACAAAAATATGTTCATAAAATGAACACTAAATAAAGAAAAAAACAATTGATTTGGCCTAAAAAATCTAGGGGAAGCTACATCATAACAATGCTAATCAGAAATAATCTCCTGTAGCAAAAATGTGTTTTTGGACAATTTTTGAACCAATATTCCACAGGTCAAGCATAGAATTCCAAGTCTCAAGAAATTCAAGAAGTGTGCCATTTGGCGTGCATTCAATCTTTTGAGCCCAGTTTTAATACGTTTTCTTCAGACACATACATTCTTGGGGCTCGAAAGATTAAGCAAACGCCAGATTGCAGTTTTCCCTGTTTTCCTCAAGACTTGGACTATGGCATTTGGGCCCTCAGTAGGGATACCGGTTTAAGTCTAGACATATTTAGAAGTAGAGGTCAAAACAATGGCTGAAGTTTCTTCAAGTTTGAAGTTAAATTGAGGTTTAAAGATTAAGGATTAGGCAGCGTTTATATTGTGGGGGAAAAAAAAAAAAAAAACCTTAAAAATGTTTTGTGTTTTCCCAAAATTATGAAAAATCTCTATTTTCACCGGACCTGATATCACGCCATTATAATTCTAGGTTGCACTTTTTGACAGTTTACTTTTCCAGAAAATGAAGTATAAAACTTTCTCCACTATAAATTTATCAGTGTAATACTTTAAAAAAATGTGTATGAATGGCTGATTAAACTGTTGTCAACAAAGTTCACCAAAAATTCAGTCAACTAAAACAATGATTTAACATGAAACATTAGCAAATTAACAGAGGAAATACCTGCAAAATATAAAATTTTATCTGCTAGATTGTAAAGAGCCCAAAAGTTGGGTGCCCAGTATGCATGACACAAGCCTCTCTTGAAAGGGAATAATCTTGAAAGCACCTGTAAAGTAGACAAATAGATGAATTAGATTTGTAATGTGGCGAATCTGGGTATTTTTTTCAATTTACGATGCTTCCAAGTTTTACTTTGACTGATTTCAAACAATCAATGCCGCAGCAAGTAGCTGTTCACCTCGGGAGTGTATTATAAGAGGTGCATATCGAATTTTGAGGCCAAAATACATCCAAAAAAGCCATAAGTACAACATATCGACGATGTAAGTCGGCAATCACATAACTCGTTTACAATGTCTGAAAATCTCCGCCTATATGTTATTTTTTTAAAGGAGAACAAATTGACTTCATTCCTTGAAGTTCATGCAGAATTTTCTTCCCATTGAGAGGAGAAATCACGGCAGTTTTAAAGAATTGCCGTGGAGTAGTTTAAAAAATAAAGTATGACAGGAAGTCTGAGACGTCGCAAACCGAGTTATGTGATTGCCGACTTACACCGTCGATATATATTTTTGGGATTGGAAGAAACTGTTTAAGAATAGTGAAAACTCACACAAAGTAGCACTTTCTCTCTGAACAAAGTTACCAATGCATTTGGTTGATGCATTTAAAATTCCAGTAAAAGTTTAAAAACCAACAAGCCATCAACCAATCCTCTAAAAACTCACATTGGTGCAGCATGTACAACATGCTTTAATTGAGAACAGAATTTAAACATATTTGTATTTTAAATTATTAGGAGTAAGTCACAATCTGTGGTTAATTATTTTCTTTTCCTGACAGTTACAAAAGTTAATTTTTACGCATGAGTGAAAGGTCGCCTGCTGATGATTTTGATAAATATTATTTTTTATCATGCACTTCATAACATACTTAAAAGGGAAAAAGGCAAATCCTTGCTTATGCTCAAATAATTGCGGCACTTACATAAAAAATTAGCTAACTTTGGGTAAAAAAGGAGGAGACCTAACTACCCGATACACCCTTACTCATGTGAAATAACTTCACAACTGCGCCAACATCATAGTGCGTTGATGATGAAAAGTGAAATTTGCCGAATAAACATTTAATATAAGTACTTTTAATTTGCAGCTAATTCTAGGGACAAAAATGGTCCTTGTGGACAAATATCCTTTGACCTAGTTTCTAAATTACTCTATAAAATGATGACTTACTTGAGAAAGCTGTCCTAGTAGTATAAAGGGTCCAAACGAAACGCTAAACACAGCTATCACAATAATACCGAGGCACATGAGCCGCGATAACTGCAAAGATTTCCCTGATATACAGTAATTCCTCAAGAGATAGATAAAGTAAGTTGGAGCAATGTACATGAAGATGTGCTTCAAGTTTAATAGTACAGCAAACCAAAATGCACCTTCTGGAATTCGCCCCTGAAATAATGTATTTATTAAAATACGAACAAGGAAGATGAACGAGTGGTAGACAAGAGATAGGACACTCAATTGGCAAGAGAACAGTTTTGTGAAAAGTAATTTTTTGAAAAAAAAAAAAACATTATTTCATACGGTCAATCATGAAAAAAGCAACGGATATCCTTTAAAATTTCAGGGATTTTCCTTTATGCTATCAGAAATTTTTTAGGCATGCACACAAAGAGATCACAGGCAGCTAAAGGAAATGTTGAGGGCAATTTTTAAATAGAGCAGTAAAGGACCCTGCACACTCCTTATGGGGTCGTGTACCATTTTTAATTTTTTAATTGTTTTAAATTCGGCTATGGATGCTGATCAAAAGTCATAATTGCGTCAACTTTCTACAAGCTACCGTTTTCGCACAATCCACAAATTTGTTTTCAATAATTCCTTGCATAAATGAAGGTAATGCTGTACTCAAGTACGATTTGGGTTGGTCAGATGAGTTTAAATCACGTAGATAGGAAAACCAATCAGCATCCCAGCGACAGTCTTATCTTGGATTTCACACGCCTTTTAATTTCATCATGCAAATCAGTTTTTTTCTCTCTATCCTACTCTATTGTCCTTATCAGACAGACACACACTGCGTTTTGATTTCAGCCGGCCTGTCCTGGAAATTAGTAAAACTTCAATGGCATATTGAGCAAAAACGGTGGCTTGTAGAAAGTTGGCACAATGATGACTTTTGAACAGCATCCATAGACGAATTTAAAGTAATAAAAAAATTAAAAATAGATCGTGGTTTACATCCCCATAAGGAGTGTGCGGGGTCCTTTGAATGATTCTATGAAAAATGAATCAAAAGTAAAAACCGTATACTCTTCGTAGTGCAAAATTTTTTCAAAACTCTCTGATATACAGCTACCCATGTCTGATAGAGAGATCATTTCTACTTTACCTTTATGACATCGATTTGCCAGTCTATTAGGCCTCACACTTAAAATTTAGACAGTTAAGAAAACATCTTTTTTCTATCATCTTTCAACTTTTTTTGATCTTTCTTCGTTTGTCACCAGAGACCCCTTAAAATTAATTTTTTTTTTTTTTTTTTTTTTTTTTTTTTTTACAAAGATGCTTCTAATAAATACAGTTCCATTTATGGAAGGTAATAAATTACACGAATACACACTAGATTTCTGGCAGGAGGTAAGGATCTGAGATATAAATTTCTTATGGATTTTGAGAGCTGAGTCCGAAAATTTTATTTTGAAAAAGAAAGAAAAAAAAAAATGGCGGGCAACAAAAAAAACTAAGGTCAGTCTCTGTTTCAGCGGCAAAAGGTAGGTACCAAAAAAAAGTCCTTACCTTGCCTTTCGCTTGCAAAACAGGTATAGGATCCCAACAAGTAAGAAGTATCCAATAGGATTAAAATAGGATAACATGAGCAGATTTTTTAACAGAGGAAGGAAACTTTGCTGTCGGAGAGAACAGGATAGTTCTGGCATATCAAAGGTGCACTCTTAAGTATCCTTAGCTGCTGAATTCAAAAATGACTTTGGTTTTTTCCAAGCATCCCATTTTTCTGGAAAAATTTACTTTCCCAAAAAATCCAAACAAGATAAGGAAGAATGGACATTGCTTCGTATTCAGCAGTAAAAATATTTGAGGAAGAGACACTGTCTGAAATCTTTTCCTTATTTTGACCTGCATTAGAGATAGATGATAAAAGTGAGGACACAAACCTGTAATATTCTTGTGATAGATACAAGCAAAATTCCAAATAAGAATCCATTATATTGAAAATGGATGTGGTCTACAAATAAAAGTCCAGCATTGATGAGCATTAAAAAATTAAGGACTGCGACAGGTGAGCACCATTGTGAACCCCACTTGCTACTTTTTTTCAGTCTATTAGAGTTGAGATATGATCCAATTCTGTAACACAAAGCATACTTGCTTTGAAAATCATTTTCGGATTTCTACAAAATTATTCACAGGGTTGCCACAGACTTTAGAAAATGAAATTCCCTGACATTCTCCTAACTCCCCGGACACAATTTAGTAAAATTCCCTGATTTTCATGATGCAATTTGGTCAAAATGCATTAAAATTTACATTAGAATTATTTATTATTCATTTAATTTATTCATTTTTAAACACTAGGGCTATGGGTTGTTTTATTATATCGGAGCGCTATTACACAGTGCCTGTGTAATATTTATTTCAAAAGGTCAACTTCTTTACTTCTGATTGACTGACCTGACAAAATTGTGCAAAACTCCTTTAGAGATGAAAAAATGGGGACATTTGAACTTACTCTTTAACTCCTATGGCTAGAACAATGTCCATGAAGATCACAGTCAGTCTTTGATAAACAACAGTGGCCCCAGACTTATAGTTGAGATTGGTCACATTCAACATTTGCTCATCAAAGTGCTTTGCCCCTTGGGACAACCCATACTCGAACCATGCAAATAATGGAGGATAGTCGAGCGTCCATTCTGAGTGATTGGCATGGTACCACTCCTTCAGTGGAAGAGAGTGAGTGATTGCGAGCCAGTTTCGATGAACCTCAAAATCTGTGGACAAACTGAATACGAGAATATTGAGTCAAACTAAAAGGTACTATTGATTCATGCAGGAGAAGCTGACACGAGCATCAACAGCCCCTTCGGAAAAGCATTTAAAAAATCCAGACGCTCAAATTTCCTTTGACAAACAATTCCAACTAAAAATATAAGTGACAGTACCTAACTGATCATTATGAATGGCTACAGTTTTCCTTTCAGGCTATAAAAAGGGAAGGCTCAATTGCACCATCCTTTATTTAAATGATGTTGGTACCAGTATAGGGATACAGAATTTTCAGGTCAGGATTTCTTGCCGGGAGAACCACCAGTCCTTGTGACTGAGTGGGAGGGTAAGGGGAGGAGCAGAGGTTTTTAGTCTGGGTCTGAACCCACTTGCACGCTGCTGACCATCAAACGAGCCTCAATCTTCTGTGTACTAAGTAAGGGTGGCCTTCTTGATCCCCTGTCAGATATTTGCGGCTGTCAGAGGGTGAGGCCGGCTTCCGTTCCTAGCACATACAAGCAGTGCTTGCCAGAATTGGTTCCCTCCCCACTTTGAATCCTCAAAAAAAGGGATACAGAGAGCCCCCAGTTGCTGATTGCCCACCACCATACAGCACATTTTCCTCTCAGTTAATATCCCTGTTTCTTCGAAGATTTTATCAAATGTCCTAAAATTTCTGTAATTACAAAACAAAATACATTACGCAAATACAAAACTTTTCCTACCAAGTCTCACTCGTTTCTAGCAGCAAGTTTTGGATTGACGGAATGGTGCATGGGGCCCATTTTCTGGCACCCCTAATCTGAGCAAATAAAAGGATTATCTTGAGATGCAGTTGATATCATTGAGGAAGGAAAAAGCACAGCTAAAATTAATGCTTAAAGTTGTAAGCTAAAAAATTTACAAGAAGAGTGAACAGGGCACTTACTAAGAGGGCATCAACAGCAACTTGAAGCAGGTTACAGTCAGGAAAATGACAAGGATCATTGTACTGGATTTTTAGAGATCGACACTGAGGGACAACATCCTGGGAAGTGTAAATCACTGGCAAAAATAGATTTTTAAGCACTTATCTATCAGAAATCCATGAAAATCTGGGCATTGTTGTGTTGACGTTCACTTGGCGGTTGTGGAGACGTGGAGGTTATGTTTAGATAAACAAAGCATCGATGAGTCCATGATGAATGATGAATGACGATGAAGATTGCCAAACCTTTGTCTATATCAAATTTTCACTGCTGAGTTCTAATGTGGATATTTTTGTTTTTTTCTTTTTTCCCCAGAACTGTTGCACCAGTGTTATCTAATCATTGCGTTTACTCATGTTTGTGTCATGATTCACCACCTTCACACTCACTTCTCACTTTACTGATAATTCCTCGAAGCAATTTTCTGTAGTTTAATCACTTTTGCGCGAAATTTTAGATTTCTTTGTCCAATTCATAATTTATTGTACTTTTCTGTCGGGTCTTTTGAGTGTATTGCCGATTAATTTTAGTCCTCAAATGGGAAGCACTGTCAGTTCTGTGATGAACTCGTCTAGTTCCACCGAAATCATGGATCCTAACATCGACGAAAATAATGGTTTAATCCTCAATAACATTTTTTTCCCGGAAGAAATGCTGATACAGATTCTATTCTACGTTGATCATGATACTCTCGTCTACAAGGGCCGACTAGTGTGCAAAGTCTGGAAACGGTTAATCGAATCCAGTGTTCTCAAATCTAAAGTTGATGAAGGAAGGTATCGCAGCTTATCAAATCTTAGTTCTGAAACAAAACATCGTCTGCACCTGCATTGGAGCATCTATTACTTAATTTGCAAGTTTGATCTATTTGGCAAGAACTTAATTAGAAATCCATCGGGAAAAGGTAAGTTCAAAGAATCTACAAACACGGTTTTAAAATAACGAGCATAACCATTTGCAAGGAGAGAAGACAAACTCAAAACATTGATCATCCTTTGATTGTAACTTAATGGTTGACAAGACTGCTCCAACTAACCTGCTGATAGTGAGGATATCATAGAGAAAAAAAAGGAGGTGTTTGATCTTGAGGTTTGTTTACCCTGTGACGTAGGTCGGTACAACCTGGCCAGCGAAATCCGGAATTCGAAGTATGAAAAGGAACCATAATGTCCCATTTTTTTGCTTGAATCAACTCATGATATAATTTCAAGCACTTTTTATGGAATGACTTTTTTTCATAAATTACACCATTTCCGAGAAAATTGATGATAAAAGTAGCTGTACCGACCTATGTCATCAAAAAAATCCAAGATGCCCGAAATGCAAATACCTCCTTTTTTTCTCTATGTAAGGATATTGCTCTATGTCACTGATTTAAGACTCAAAGTCACCAATGTAATTGTAACAGTTGCCAACCTAATCTTTAAGGCAAGCAGTTGTTTGGGAAGGGGACTTAAAAAAAGTTATGTCATGCTGTCTTTTTTCCTGCTTATGGCATAAATACAGCAAGACAAACAATGTAGAACAGAAACTGTCAGCCTCCTGTGGTGTAGTGGTGGTAGTGCTGGCCCTATGACCAAGAGGTTCCGGGTTCGATTCCCGGCCAGGTGATCCGAGTTTGATGGTCTCAGGCAATGGTCACCTGAGGCTGGGCGCTGGGGTAATAAGCGTGGGATTAGCCATAGACTATTTGAAATTGGTAAAAAAAGAAAAAGAGGTATGAATAGGTTAATTCAATGGCTACATTATAGATCTGTTATGCAGTTCGATGGTCCCAATGTAAACAGATACATGACCTCTAGTTCCAGTATAATATTCATCTCAATTTTATTTTCTGAATGCTTTTTTTCCAGATCTTTAAGTCAAATAGAATCCAAGATAGTTATGCCTGTCTTTATAGAGGTCCATTGAGTCAAAAGTCAGCTAAAAATTCAACCATTCTTAGATGAATATGAGTGACTGGAAGGTCCTAAAACTTTGGAAAAAAAAGTTTTGTACCTTCGCTAGATAGATAATCATCATAAAAGAAATATAAAAATTAGGATTGATTGAGCATCAGACTCTGTATGATACTTGTGAAATGATTCAACTATCTTGTCAGTTGACTTGACAACATTTGTGATCTCCATTCACTACACACTTGTAGTTTAAAACAGTGTTTATTCTAATTTTTCTTGCAGAGAAACTGAAACACTGGAAAATAACGCAGAATAATGGGGACAAATGGGCAGTAGAATCACAGCCTCATGGTGCAAATCCTATACCAGGGGAGAACAGGGACTTGCCATGCTTTGTTACTTCTTACCATGAATGCCTTAAGGAGCAGTTAATTAAACTTGCAGATTATGGATTCACATCCTCCATTATGGACGAAATTCAGCCAATCATATGCATACAAGAATTGTAAGTGGTTAATTTTTCTCATTATTTTTCTAAAGGTGGGTTAATAGTCTCGCTCTTATAACGAGGCTACTAGTTCTAAAGTGTACAATGTCCATTTTGGTCAAAATTGAGTTAGGATTTTTAAATAACAAATTAAGGAGGATTGGAAAATAATTTAATTGTGTGCCAAAACAGCCAAAATCCTTTTTAATTAGCAGTATTCAAATGGTAGGTCGCAGCAAACTCAAAACAGTTATTTGCGTTTTTGTGACAAACCACTTTCATGGACATTGCACACTTTGGAACCAGTAGCCTCAAATTTCGTCTCCATCAATGGAACATAATTAGAGTAAAGTAACCTGAGTACTGAGATTGGTCAGTTGCATCAATCTTTTTTTTTTTTTTTTTTCTTCATGTTTTAATGGGTCAGTGGCAAGGAATTTTTGCAGGGTTGTAGTATATTTTTTTCACATAAATTTTTGTGAAAAAATCATCAAGTCTTCTGAAAGTTTAAAAAATTCTTTGTACCTAAGGGGATGAGGAAAAGCCAATCGAAATGGCCTGGCCAGGCAAATGATAACATTCGGATTCCAGGGGGTTGATTCTCTATTCATTCTTGCAGTCAACAACTTCATCTGACTCAAAACAACCAACAGAAAAGCCTGGTACAGATAGTCTGAATCACTCTGTGCATTGATGTGTTTTGGCATAACACTCACATTGAAAGTTGGGTTTTGGTAACCCCTAAAATTCACCGTGACCATCAATGGATTGAAAGAAACTCTCCATTGACCTTTTCAAGTGATTTTGCTCATTTTGGTTTTTTCATTAAGTATATTTGTTCAATCTAGTACTATGATCAAATCTTTTATTTACTTCTGATCCAATCCTGTACTTTCTTCAGATCATTTTCATTATCAGCCTGTCAATTCGATTTTTCCTCATAGGTACTCCTCCCGATTTGACTGTGGAGCTATGTATCACATCCATGTTCTTTTACTAGATGAGAAGAAGGAAAAAGTTATTGCCAAGTTTGATAAGGATGATGTAGAGTATGATAGAATGGAGTGGCACCAGGTACGTAACAATCTATCATTTTAATTTTCTCAAAGAGTTCATTCACTAACAAGGGGAATTTCCCAAGCTGCCGCCTCCGATCGGGCCAAAAAAATTCATATGAACTCCTTGGAGGAATCCATTAGATCGGTGTTTTTTGTTTTCTCCAATGCGCCCTGGAAACACCCTAATAAAATCCTGAAACTTCTGTCTGAGCGGGCCAGGCATTCAGTGTGCGCTGGGAGGGCTGGGTGAGGCAAAGGAGCGCTACGTACCCTTGCCCAGCCCTCCTGGCGCACACTGGGTGTCCGGCGTGCACTATCCTCAGGCTCAAAAACGGACTTTTAAGAATTTTTTAGAGTGTTTCCAGGGCATATTGGTTGAAACAAAAAACCCGGGTCTAATGTATTCATCCAAAGAGTTAGTACGAATTTTTTCAGCCTGATCGGAGGCGGCAGCTTGGAAAGTTCCCCTTGTAAGTTAAAAAAGAACAGTTTTTGAGACTTGCACTGGTTTGCAAGTTGCATCTATCAGTGACTAAAATAATACTGATGCGAATATACTCAGATGCACCTTTTGCACCATGTAGCTTTTATAATTTTTATGCGATTTAATATTGTAACACCATGCAACACTGGTCTAACGAAAGTCTTGTAAACTCGGGCTTCATTTTCTGGGGTAACGTATTGAAGAGCGACTATCGAAAATGTGTATGATTGGATGACCCCTAGGAAGTGGACTACTTGAAAGGCAGTTCGAGAGAAAAGCCTAAAAGTGGCTCTGCCTGAAGAGAATTGCATTTGTCTCGTACTATTTTTGTTTTTATCAGCTTGACGAATCTTTTGTATTTATGTATCAGTGATTTGTATGTTGGCAAAGAAAAAAAGAAGAAGACCATATAGTGTAGTGGCTTTTCCATATTTTGTAAATTCCCTGATGGTGGTGCTTGGCACCAAAATGCATTGGCCTTTTCCTTGGTATGTTTTTAATCAATTAAATTAAAGTTGTTGTTCATGCTTCTGCCCATATTTTCACAAGTAATTGTATTTCAACCCAGCTTAAAATTTAAGTCTTAGAACTTTTATTCTCTGTGTCTGAGATGAACCTGTTTTTATGGGCAGCAACATTTATTAAACTCTTCTGTTTGCTATTGCTGCAGCTGCAATAAGTGCGTAACAGCAGTTTTTTTGAATTGTCTACTTCAAATGGGCAGCATTTTAGAGAAGAGGAGCAATTGAAATTTTCAATAAAATTGAGTTTGAAATTCTTTCAAGTCCTATCAGAAGTCTCTTTCAAAGAAGTAAAAGGCCACAAGGGATTTATTTTGATAGTAATTAGATGGAATTTTATATCCAGCTAATGAAGAATTGTAACTTCAAACCTATCTTCTTCTTTCTTAAAAGTCCTTGTCATTTGGTCTCTTTTCTCTAAACTTTGTACTTTAAGATTTTTTCCAAAAATCCTCTCTCATGTAAAATAAAGCTTATACTGAATTCTTTCTTTTGCACCTTTAGGTCTCTCATGAGTTTAAAAACTATGGCCCTGGTGTGAGATACGTAAAGTACTGCCATGGTGGTAGAGACACTCAATTCTGGGCAGGACACTACGGAGCTAAAATCACTGGATCTAGCGTAACATTACTCTATCCTCCACCAGAGGAATCACCTGAAGAAGAGGACGAAATCGATGATTCAGCGCTAGAAACGTGAGCAGCTGGAAACTGTGCGAACCTTTTGCTATTCAAGCAAACAATCTCACTCTCCTGTTCTCTCCATCTAATAAATTTTGAATCACATTTTGTAATAAGGAACCACTACTTCTGACTCATCGTAGAAACAGCACATGTGCCATCAGCTTACCCATTCAAATACGAGTATTTATGGATGAGCATAAAATAGTGGTTCAAATATGTGAAATGTAGCCCTTTTGAGGGAGACCTGTTGACATAGCTTCAAGTTCTAAGGTTATTGGCCGTGGCAATTACCCGTGGTCAAATTTGAGTCTTTATACTAAAGAAATCAATCAGATAGAAAAGTTGGTTGAACCTAAAGTTTTTTGACAAGTTAAAAAAAAATCAATGAATGAATACAGGCACCTGGTTATGAATCTTAAACATCATGTGCATCTAAAAAAATGAATTATTTCATAAGGTACATATCTCCTCTTTCTTTTCCTTTCAAATGGACATCTAAGACATTAAGACATCTTGAAATTTTTGCACAGGGGCCATTGTTTTTTTTAGTATTTTAAGTATCACTGTGCTTTGATAATGCATTAATAAAACTTCAGTAATATTTGGGAAGAAATCAAATGTTAAACAGCCCAGCCTAGTCTGTAAACTCTTCCTGATCAACAACAAACAGTGATACTGTTGTATATTCTTCCGCCACGGTTTCCGCTACCATATTGATTGTGAAGCATAAATTCAAAATTATCAAGCCTCATTTTCGGCCACCTTAATTTCTTACACTTTCAAGTGAACTTTTCTCCTTGTTGCTGTTATCATTAAAAATTGGGGAAAAAACAGAAAGCTTAGTGACACTTAATACTTTCGAATGACGCAAGGAAAAAAAAATGACTTAACTGAGCTATTAATCAAATTGTATGCTGTTGTTTTTGTTCAATTTTAACAAGTTTTATCAAACAAAAAGGCCCCTCTAAAATTCTTAATGCAAGTCGTGGGAGCATAATAGTATGAAAAGATAAAAAATAATGTATCAGAAAGTTTACAAGGGGAAGTTTGATACCATAAGAAATCATTGATTCCATAATTCAGAGACCTCTTATCCCTACCTTTTTAATTTCACTGTTGCCGTGTTGTTGATGTTATTTGTTCCTTTATTTATTTATTTTATTCGTCTTTCTCTAATTTAAATGATGATTATTCTTCGTCAGATTTTGGCCAAAAGTTTTTTCCCTCACTTTCAAATTTAAAAATGAGGAAAGGACTAATTAAAGAAATAAGGTATGAAGTTTTTTAATTATCTGTGACCCTTATAAGATTGACTTTATTATTTATTTGGAATGGCTGCGTTTAAATCTATTTTTGTTAACTTATATTAATGATTACCTCCTTCAAGGGTCTTTAAATTTTGAAGATGTTTTGGAGAAAATCAAAGAAAATATTATAAATGTAGCCGAAGTCCTGATGAAGTCCAGATATCATGGGACTGTCAATGGAATATGTCGGTGTGGCTCTGTGTAATTTGAAAACGTAGGCTTCCCTAAGGTCTGCAGGAAATTTAATGTTTACTCAGTTGTAGCAGAAAGGAATACATCTGTCCATTTGTAACTTTGTATGGCAAAAGGAACTTTAGTTCTCAGAGGCAAAATTTTCAGTAAAAAATTTTTTTTCAAGTTGAGTCGAAAAATCAGACTTTGAGACCTCAACTGAAAACTTTTTCATTATCATCAAAAATAGTTAAGAACATTTTAGCCAACTTTTGTGCTGGCAGATTACAGGTGCAAACCGTTTTCTTTGGAAACTACTTTCGCAAACTGTAAATTTTAGACTATCATTACTCAGGATTGCTATGACCTTTTAGAGGGTTTTTTGTCCAAAAATTTTCGTTGAAGAAACCTCTTCAGCCCGATATCAATAACTTAGTGTCGAGCTTTTATGCACTGAAGATTACTTCTCCCAATGATGGACAAACTCACCTACCTACATTCTTTTTTCTAAGATTAAGGAACATTTTTTAGAACAAGATAATTTTTTGAAATGTTCTCTGAGCAATCGCAATTTTTTTTTTTTTGTGTGTGTGTTTGAGAAAATAAATACCCAAAAAGTGCCTGTGAGCCATCTGGAGTTGTAAATTTATCTTTCAACCTCCCTCCCCCGGTCATTCCATTTCGTTGTATTATTTGTCAACCAGTTAGTAAAAATTTGTGCTTTTCTCGCTGATACAACCTTAGCTTGTCAAATAAAGCATAATTATTTTGTTTATTTTAATTTTTTTTCCATTAATCCTCCTGAAAATTTTCTCCCACCAATTTAATAAACTTTCATAGCTCTGAAGATTTCGGGTACCTAAATGATACGAAGCCCAAATTTTTTCAAAAATTTTGTGGATGAAATTTTTTTAAAAACTTTTGGTTTAAAAATATAAAAAGTAATTCCATCTGAATTTATGAAGTTTAAAAGTTCCGCAAAATTGTTAATTATGATTTATCATTTGTAACAAGAAAATTGTTAATATTTTTTTATGATCTGATAGCGAAGATTTGGCCAGTACCTATACTCAGTCGCAGAAAAATAGCAATTAAGTTCCTCTAAATGGTGCTATATTTTTAGAATTAAGTCTTAACTTTTTTTTTTTTTTGCAAAATGCAAGGTGTACTTGGGAACAGTTCAGTGGCAAATTGACAAGTTAGAGCAGGAAGCTGGTCTTCTAATGGTCAAAAAATAATTGGTAAAAAAACAAGAATTGAGGGCAAAAAACAAGAGAGCAAGGTAGATAGCTTTACTTTTTCGGAACTTCTGTTTGATTTTAAGGGTTGCAATGAATCTTACAATTAGTCTTAGAAATTTTCCGGCGAACATCCCTCCCCCCTCCCCCCGATCACGATCACCCGCGCCGGTAAACTCACCACACGCGCGCCCTTTTTTAAATTGCGCCTCCCCCCTCCCGCCATCAGTGGTCCATGTCGGCCAGTCGTTGTACACCATCCAACCAATCCAACGTTCTCATGTTTACAAACATTGCGTGTGCGACTTATGCCACTTGCCTCGCAATTTCCTTGTGAAGTTTCTTGTCAGAATTGCACTGTTTAATTAATTTTTGAGTCATGTCACACTATCTTATTATATTTCTCTATATTTTATTTGATATCGCAAATTTTGATCAGTAATCAACATCGCTCAGCTGGAAGTTGACTCTTCAAAATGAGCTTATCAGCTGTGAGTATTTTCGTATCTTTTATCATTGTTAAAGGTATTTGAATTGTGGTTTTTGCATTAACAGGCCTTTTCTTTCTGACTCTTTCACCTCTGGAAAGATTCATTAGGGTTCCTACAGTTCAACTTACCAATCTGTACGTACCATACCAAAAGCAGATTTGGTTGTACCGTTGACTCGTAGCCATCAGCGGTGTAACGCACTGTACAATTCATCATAAGCTCTTCATCCCAGATTTGCCGTAAGTGTAGCAAAGGAAGCATGCGCTAATCAGGCAGATCAAAGCTTATGTGTCATACAGAAGGAGGTAAGAGAATTGATGTGCAGCTGTCAATCCCCATCAGGGAAAGAATCAACTGCCTCTGAGGAACTCCCAATTTTAAAGGCTTAATATCTACACACTTAGCGTGTTACTACAAATCGATGGATTAACCCAATTTTCCAGACTATCTCAAAGAAAGTATCAGTTTACCCCACTGCGTCACAAGGGCTTTTTTATCTATGGAATTCAATGGATTGGGCTGGATCCGGGAAAGAAAAGATGAGACGTACATCACATCAGAGAACAGTTCCATTCAACATAAATTTAAGCGGTAATCAATGGGCCAACTGGCATAGAGAAAATACAAAAGGTGGTGGCAAGGCAGTCATCTTGAAGATTTGCTGTGACGTAGAAAAGTGCACGGACTAGCGCGCCGTTAAAAAAAAGTACATTTCATGATGGAACCTGTATATTTTCAGTTACAGTGGAACATTGATAGAAAAAGTCATAGTTACGTGTTTTTAGAGCTAAAGTAAGTGGGAACCTCACAACCTTTCCCGCTCCCCTTTAACTTTCAAAGAGGTCTCGATTTTCCCGCGATCCTCTCGACCAATCAGAAGGGAGACTTCATTTTTAGCTGTGACGCAGAAAAGTGCATTTCTCCGCTTGCCACGACCTTCTGTATTTTCTCTATGGCCAACTGGCAATTGATGCATTCAGGTTGATGTGACATATATCTCCTCTTTTCTTCCCGAGGTCTATGTGTGGTTCAAAGCAGTTCTACTTATTGAGGTTAGGATTTCTCTACTAGGGAACTTCTGCAAACATATCTGATGCAATGTCTCAATAATTAAGAGCAATTTGAGGTACATTTTTTGATCTGGAACTCCTTTTGCGTTGATTCCAATCCACAACAAAAAAATGTTATCATCAAAAACACCGAACTGCTCAGACTTCCGAAACCTTTCTCTCAGTTCATTCCAAAAGTGATACATACAACATGTTGCATTTTAAATGACATAGTGTCTTGTTCCATTCAAAAAAGTTTGATGTGATAGATATGTCTGTCCAAAATTAGTGTCTATCTAGGTTTGAATGTGAATTTAAGTCTGTGTTCTGTTTCCTATTATAGCTAAATCACTTGAAGTCTGAACTCCAGCGCAAAAAAGAAGATGCGGAGAAAAAAAAGCGGCCTATGGAAGCTCATCATGTGACCCCTATGGTAAAAATAGAGCAAGATAAAGAGAGTAGCAAAGATACAAAGAAGCTACCAGAATTAACTGCAGAAGAAGCGGAAAAAGCAAAAAAAGCCAGGTAAGAGATGAAGATTTATTTAATTTATATTTGAAGGACTTGAAGGACAAGGTGTATGAGTGCAGTCCTTGGAAAAATTATGATATCAATGAATTCAACTGAGACTAGTCTTAATTTATAATCTCTGAAAAATTCACTCCTAAATTCCAATTTTCAAGCATCAAAAGTGGGTTTGAAGTTTCTCTGCCGTGAGGCTCCTTGTAACTTTGAAACTTGAAACACGTATGTCTTGAAATAGTAAAAACTAAACTAATGTGCCTTGTCCTCCAAGCCCCTCATTTGTAGTCCATTACAATTGTATTAAGTTTTCATGAACCCTTAAAATTAAGGTATTTCTCCCCTTCCTGATCAGGAATATCTAATCTGTACCTGGTCTCAAACATTTTGGGATCATTGAAAGTCCTTTTCTTTTCCATTCATATTTTCAATACCAATGTCAAAAAAAAAAAAAAAAAATGCAGCGCACGTTCGCCAATTTGAAACTGCTGTCAGGCAGGATTTCTTTTTTTTTTTTCAAATTACCTAAAAGGTTTTTGTGTCAACATGATTTCATATTAGATATATGGAGCAGCTCAGAAAAAAATTTGGGGAAAAAAAAGTTTTTTAATTTAATTAAGTATACATTGACAATCAAACTAAGCAAAAGCAAGAACTCCATGTAAGTCAAGAATAGCAGTGTCTTGAATCTCAACTGATCATGGACATGGCCCCTTTATGCGGATCTCATGTTTTCACTCTATTTTGCTATCCTAACCTTCAGTCAGTTCTGATAGCCCAGGAGTCCTCCTATCTAGTTTGTACAACTTGAATGAGTAACATCATCAGAATAATATTCAAGGTTTCATGACTGGCAGGATTGTTGTACGTTCATTGTTGATGTCAAAAGTTTATTTCTTATGATCCTTACTTATTTTGTTTTCAGAGATATTTTGGAAGCAAAAGCAAAGCTGTATGATTCCCTTGCAGAAGGAATACATTTGACCAAGAACAGCAATCTATACCTGGTCAACTTTGAACAAAAAGCTGTTGAAGATTTTGGAATCCGCGTCTCTAGCAGTGTTTCAAATCAGGACCGAATTATTGATCTTGCTAAGGATATAAAAGACGAAAAGGAAAGCGAAACAATGTAAGTAATATAGATTTTAACCCCCCGTCTGAAGGCCTCACATGGTCAGGTGTCTCTGGGGCAGAGTAAGAAGGAAATAGTCCACCCTCCTTGTCCCATGTTTCCCCTATTTAGAACCCTGTTACGGAGATATTGCAGGGTTCGACGAATATTGAGTCCCGTCTTTCTTAGCTCCAGAAACTTGAGTCAACGAATCTAAAATTAAATGATTTTCATTTCAATACCTGCTTTTAATGAGCCCGGAACAGAGTTAAAATAAAATCATGTTACAATTAAAGTCAATATTTCCTAATGAATATCTCAAATTTTTGGATGAATTCCACTGCTGCCCCCCCCCCCCTCCCCAACAAAGTTCTTCAAATTTGTGAATTTTGTCATCTAATCTTTAGTTCCTACATATTATACAGCTTGTTTCTGTTTTCTATTTCTAAGCCAAGCTATTGTAAAGCCTTGGACCTTATCCCCACTAACTCCTTTTGTTTCAGCAATTTACGACCAGCCTAAATATTATTTATTTTAAATTGTCAGTATCTTGTCTTTTCTTGATTATGGTTCTCTCAATTCTTTTTTTTACAGAGCAAGCAATGGATCTGTTGCTGAAACTTCAAATGCAACTGAAGTCCCCAAAACAAGCTCTGATAAAGAATTGCTACAGAAAGCTCGAAACTTTTCTTTCTCTGATTTACCTTCAGAGAAAGAATCAAAAGGAACTTTCGAACCAACCATGATCTCTCCTGCTATGCAGCGAGAAAAAATGCGTCAAAAGTGGGAGGAGGACGAAAAGCTAGCCCGCTCGAAAGACGACATCCATTATCAGGATATTTTATTCGATGGTAAGTGATCTCACCATGAGAAGTACTAAATTCAAAGAAAATTCCTTGAAACTCTCATAGTGTGATATCATTTTGATCATTTTAAGGAATGCATTTTACCACGTAAATGAAATGTTTTAAAGTTGACACCTTTTTTGGAGCATTCAGTAAGTATCTAGATAGATTTCATCCAATCACCTCATCCTAAAAAAGTAGGCAAGTAGCTGAGTTTCATTAAAGAGTGTTGAAAAGATCTTCTTTCATTTTCATTGTGAGTAGTGAGGATTGGTTTTGTAAATCCTTTTGGTGGCTATAAGTAAAACAAAGGAGTACATGCTCTACAAGTAATGCTATGTATTTTCTTCTCTGATTTTTTCTTTTTATGTTCCAGAGGTTCGCAGTCATGGCACCGGATATTTTGCATTTTCAAAGGATGAAGATGAACGCAAAAGACAGCAAGCAGAATTAGAAGCACTGAGACAGGAGACAATCAAAAAACAAGAAGAGTTCAGGAAGATGAGGGGTATAAGTCACTTCCTCAACATACTAAAGATATTCAAAATCAATTATGATTTCTTTATTTATGGTTTATGGTTTTCAATTAATTATGGTTTCTTTGGAATGCTAGAAAGGCGAATACTGAGATTTCAATTTTTTGATGTGTCTCAACAAAACTCCCCTTCCATTTTCCTCCATCCACCAACATCCTCTCTCCAGTTGTCAGTTAGATTATTCGGTTAGATATTAATTACACAGTGATCACTTGATCAGTAGTGTCTCACTCAGGGAGTTTAAATTGACCGAAGTAGCTCATGAAAAAAAGTACCCACCAACCTAACCGTTTGTAATTTCTAAAGTAAGTATGGGTTTCAATCAAGTTTTTGGTTGGCCTGGAAAGTCCTTAGAAAACAAAAAATGTCCCTGAAAATACCCACTCAATATTCACAGAACTTTTGAAGAAGGTCCAGCTCCCTCACAAACGCACTATTCATACCTGTTCATTGCAATTTTTGGGCAATGTGGCCCACTTTTTTCTCAGGAACTGAAGTTAAAACTGGCCCTCTAATTTTAAGCCTCGTTTTGCAGGTGATGCCAGTGATGAGGGGACCTCAACTGAAACCCCTGATGAAAATTCAACAAATGAAGAAACCGTTAGAGAATTGACTGATGAAGAAAAGTTGAAAAAAATTGAAGAAGCTTTAAGAGCAATAAAACGTGAAGTCCATGTTCGAGAATGGGATAAAGGCAAAGAAATCCCTGGTAAGTTCCTATTTTCACCTTTCAATTGTCCACGTCTAGTGTAGGACTACCAATTCACCAACTATGTATGCACCAACTGAAAAATGAGATCAAAATTTCAATGACAAAAATGAATTTCCTCCCAACACTTCACCTCATGGACAATGGTATACAATCAATGATAATTGAAAATACAATTAATTTATTTCATGAGACACCTAGACAACCTTCAGATAAAGATGTAAAGTCAATGATTATTGGAAATGCAGTGAATGTATTTCATAAGAATTGGCCTATTGGAAACGGTAACTAAACCGAAAAAATTAGTTGTTCCTTGTAGAATATTGCTGCAGAATCACAAGTGGAAAGGAAACAATATCACCTAACCTGAAATCTGCACAAGAAATGTTTGCAGTTTTGAGCTCTCTACCTCAAAAACTTCTGGAATATCTTTATTGTTTTTGCAACCTGTGTTCGCATTAAGTCATCGTCTTTTGTTTTTTTTCCAGTTATGTCGCAGGAGGAATGGATCGAAAAGAAAAGAAATGAACGTGATCAAGATTTTGCTCCTCCTGAAATTTATTTTGAAAATCCAACACCAAATAGGAAACATAAGCGACCTATTCAGCTGCCTCCGAAGAAAACTCTCTTCCAAAAGAAACCCATAAAGGAAGATGAAAAATCTGCTGCAGAAGCTGGTTCCCTTCCAAGTCCTATCGATTGTCCCACCGGAACTCAGACAGAGAGTACTCCAAAATCTGAATCCAGCAATCAAAGTGATGATTTTAAGATAGATCATGCAAGTTCAATTAAGAGTGTCAAAACCTCTAAGAAATCTGCAATGGCTTTACTAGAGCAACAACAAAATTTAAGTTTAGATGGTGATGAAATCGTCTCATCTCAAGATCAAAATTTAAGTAAAGAATTGAGTTGTAATATTAGAAATATTCCTCTGCCGCAAGAAAATAACTTATCTACAAATCAGTCTAGCTCCTCTCTTGACTCTATACCCCTCCCTTCAGAAATTCCTATTCCTCCTCCAAATGCTCCCTCTGTATCCATTAAACCTTTTTTCATACCATCAAACTTGGTGCCTAGAAAATTCGCACCGCCTTCTAAAAAAGTCTCCACTCCGCCTGTTGTAACTCCTTCAATTGATTTGTCATCGACTTTAAAAGAGATGGACGGATTGAAGAAATTGAAAAATCCTCTCATTGATCCAAAATTGTCACATTACTTCAAGGAGCCAAAAACCCAAGAGGATATCAGTATTCCTAGTGATGAGGCGTGCACCGCGGAAAGTAATGAAATTAATGTCACCACCTCCTCTAGTCATGACCATGTGCCAAAAAGTGTGCAAGACAATAGTTCCTCTACAAACGAGAGTTCTAGAATTAAATTAGGGAATTTGATTAGAAATCGACCAGCACCAAAATCTGGTATGGCTTTACTTGAGGAAATTAAAAAATCAACACGAGATTTCGGACCAGAGGTAGAGACACCGCATAGCTCTGCAAGTACCTCTCGAAAACGAGGTGCTGAAATTGCTCCACCAGAGTGTTTATTACACTCAACACCCCAGTTACCTGTGAGGAAAAAAGGCCTTTTCTCTAAAAAGGAAGAAATCGCAGACTCCATCTCAGCCGGTTTACAGACTCTAAAAAAAGTAGATGAAAAGAAGAAGAAGAAGACTCGAGAAAAGGGTTTATTAGATATTTTATGAAGAGTGAGAAGAGGTAAAGGAAAGATTAATTTCTTTGCCGTTCTTTGCCATTGTTGTCACCGAGTAGAAACACTTTATGTTCAGACATGCTCAAGGTTAGGTTGATGTAGTTAACGACAATTAGATTATTTTTGGCCTGATCAATGTGGCACTTACTCTGGCAGAGGAAGATCAGGCAAGAAAGAATCTTATTGAAACCATATACAGCCTGATGAGGATACAATTAAAAATGACAAGTACCTCTCATCCGTTATAAAAAACCAAAAGAACCACGCATGTCGTGTTGTGTGATACAAATCAAACAGAACTCTGGTAATCCATTGAAAACAAAATTGCCAAGCTGACTTGTTCCAGTCTTGAAAACGCGTCCACACTTGATGCAAGATTGTAATCGGGGACTCCCTCCTCCAATCTTTTACATCAAGAATGAAATTTTTGGAAATGTGATACCTTTCCTTAGATTACAAAAATACCATGTTTAAAGTAGGTATGTTGTGTTCTTGTTTTACTTGTTGAAGTATGTGAATAAAAGAGTATTTTGATACATCTTTGAATTGATTTCCAATTTAAGTGTACCAATTTTATCCTCTTGACTTGTGTGTCGCACCTGAGAAAAAACTTATAATAATTATTGTCTAATTTCATTTTCTGCTTCATTTTAAACAACTCTCTCTAAATTTTTAATTTGGATCCATTATACAGGTAAACTTTGGCCCCTAAAACTGTGTGGTAATAAATTTTGTAATGATTACTTCCTAATCAAAGCTATTGAAGATGAAGATCCTGCTTCTCAACCATGAAGATATTTAAGTCACTTGAAAATTATTACCATTTGCTGTCTCTACAAAGTTGGAAATAATCATAGTTGGTTAGTGGCGTCTATTTTTCATAATTCATTTTCTGAAAAAGCAGAGTGAAACAAGTTTCTAGGAATTTTTCAAATTATTTCTAGCCCCAAATGACAAAAAAACTCTGTCTCAAAATTCCAAAAATGGAACCCATTTAAAACAGCATTTTTGAGGGACTCTGATGATATAGCCAAGCTGAACTCAGCATCAGGAATCGCCTAGCTACGCCAACTCGACTGCCGGCTTTTGATTGGTCCGATTTTAATTTGCTTCTTCTCCCCTTGAAAATTTTTTTTTCATTTTTTAAAGGAACTTGGTAGTTTTTTTTTTCTTCAAAATTTATCAATAAGAAACACTCTACTTCAACCATGAAAAATTCCTGGACACTGCCCCATTCCTTTTTTTAATGTATCAAAATATTACATTCTTTTTTAATGGCCTTTATCCTCAAGAAATAAGTTGAAAGCTATTTGGTGCTTTCCTGGCAATTGAGCAAAATGTTTGCTCAATAAGTCTGGTGGCATCAGTCCCAAATGTCATAGTAAGAAAGAAATTGAAGAGACTAAGAATTTTCTGCGCAGTGTATTTTTTTTAGATTATTCAAGCATTAATGACAGTTAGTTTACATAATAAATTAGCACACAAAACGAAGTTCATATTAATATTCAAAAGTGGAATATGTACATAGTACAACTACCACTTTTATAATGTTAATGCTGTCCAGCTTTGTTCCATTGGTCAGTGGGTTGTCCTCTCACCTCGAAGCCCATAATAAAAAAAAAATAAAACAAAGTATAATTTAATTAAATCTAAAAAATAAATTAGATTATGACGATAGACTAAACATAGTTAAAATAGAAAACAAAAGTCAAATTACAAGTTTAATACAAGTCTTGGAATTAAATAAATACATAAGATTTAAAAAAAAAAACAGTCTGATATGATTTTGGAATAATTTCATATGGCCAGTCCAAAGACTGAAACAATACAATACATTGTTTTATTCTCCCAACGGACAGTACAACTGCCATCTGTAGCATTGTCCCAATAACATGAGCTTGAGGTGTGTAATCCAGCGCCGTTCTTTTGCATTATTGTACAAGTTACTGCAAAAAAAAAAACAAGTCATTAGTGGAAAGAAGAAGGAGGGCAATTGTGGAACATTCAAACGACTAGCTTAAGGGGCGAGTCACATGTAAAAAATGTTCGAATTTTTCAATTTTTAGTTTATACGTCCGTTAGATCAGGTATACTCTCAAGTTTCATTCGACACTAAGGTTTCTTCATTTTGACAAATAGAAAGCTATCAGCTGAGATTTCAGGAGGCGTAGTCAAAAGTACTAACCCTCTTTTGAACCCTCTTTTTTACTGGTTGTGAATTTTTAAATTGAGCTCATGAAAAGTTTACCTTTTGAACACTCAAGTACCTCTTTCTCTGGATCTATTCAAGATATTTTCAATTTTTCCTCCCTTTAATATTCCTGATAGACAAAAGCGTTTTTTAAATTGTGTACATTTGTAATATTTAGAGGTTGCAAAAGTCTAAAAAATTTCAAAATTTTCGAAAGCTGGTTTGTCTATTTATGTAGGAGGCTATTTCCAACAAAACAAAACAAAAATCGTTCTAATATCTTCATTGTTTCCTGAGGAGAAAAAGGTACATGAAGTTACAAAGATTTACATGTTTTATCATAGGACAGGGGACTCCCCTCAAAGAATTACTGGGTAGGAACAGTGATTATAATAATAGTAACAATGATTTTATTTATTCGAAACCAAGTGTTTAGTTCTCAAAGGTTCAAGACCCCCAGAAATCCCTCCTTAGCTTGAGAATTTGAGAATTTCACTCCTCATATTAAAGGGAGGTAGCCATTTTTCATAAATTTTGGTTCGTAGTTGTTCCCAAAATCCAAAAAAAAAACAATGACTCCTCTGAAAATTTTAGAGGATTTGCAGGTCCTGGAGACATATTTGAAAAAAAAAAAAAAACTTATCGAAGAAAGTTCTCATTTTGATCCCAGAAACTTGCTTTTGCAGTATGGCCTTTTAACTCAGGGACACCCTGTATAGGGCTCGGCCAAACAGGGTGGCGCCACAGCCAATGAATTAATACTGTTGTAAGAAATTTTAAATTATAGGCTTACCTATATATTTGAAAGATTTTTCTAATTTTGTTAAGGCAGTTAGACAGGATACAACTACTGTGGAGGTCCACTGGTTGACTTTACTTTGTTGGTATGCATTGCCACCAATGGCATCCTCAATAGCTTGTTTAATAATGGCACTTACTTCATCGACGACAAATTGGCTCTGTAAATAAAAATAAGTGATAAAACATAATCAAATACTCTTAGATTTGTGGAGGCAAATGCAATTCAAGATGGTATTGAATCTATCCTAGGCAAATGTAGCGCCTCCTTGCAACATTTCTGCCCATATCTGACTCTTTCCTATGGAATTAATTCTTTGTATTAATACAGCAACTCAAGTGAACTTTTTTGAGGTATGCTAGTCATTTTCTTCCCTCAGATAAATTGTACACTTAGCGTCGATAGACCAGCTTCGGCAAATCTACCCCTAAGTGCCCACTTAGGTGGTGTGCTTACGAGCTGCAAAGTTTAAAAATGAAAGGCTCCATCAGTTCATGATGGAATGGCAAAGATCACTAAAGCAATGAGGTTGATGACATGAACATGATAAACATTTTATACTGAGTTTTCCAAACAATTCTTGGACTATTTAGATCCTAGCTATCTAACATGTAGCATCAACGTTGCGATGAATGGGTCAATCTATTGCTACTTGTAGTATAATTTTGTGAGTTTCTTCTACTGTACATATAAGAAATATGGGGGGGGGGCATGTCTCACAGTTGACATCTAATGGGTTGAATAAATTCTTTAAATAGCTGCGTCGAAGAAACAATGAGGCGTGCGTAAGCACCGAACAGGATAAGATAGTTTCATAGAGGTAATGAACTTGACTCACCTCTTCGCCTAAATCACCCATTGTCTTCAGATGATCACCAATGATATCTTCAACTAATTAATTATAAACTTTATGGAGAAGGAGGTAATGCAAAGTTCCAGGAAGTGAAAATTTTGTTTTGTTAACCTCACTTTTCGGTTGGAATGTTTTTTGATAACAGGTTAGCCAATGTTGTTGTTGTACAAGCGACAAAATTGCCCTGCAAAATTTTCGCTAATGGAGTGATATTATTTCAAAGTCTCATCCGTCTTTGCCGATTTTTTTCCTCTATTCGTGACAAAAAATGTTTTCAGAGGGTAAGAAGAGCATTTCCAGAAATCTTTTTAAACAAACAAAATTTGTTGCCATGGTGATTGCTCAGGTGGATTTCCGAAAAGTTTGGCAATCTAGCATCTCAGTTTTTGTTTTTGTTTTTATTGTGAAATCGTGAAATGATAACGGTGATTAAGTGATAAGAAATGTAAGAAATCAAGCTGTTCTGTTAAGGAAGTTTCCCTTGCTTAAGAAACGAAAGTATCAATCCACTATAAAATTATGTTTTTCACTCTAAGTAGATGAAACTTTAGCACCGACTCCGGAACTGCTTATTTCGCGCCTACTATCGTTAGTTACCGGTGGTAAGTACATCACACGGCCCTCTCAACACTCAGGTATCAGTGCAACACAGAACCTTGACTTTTCATCCTCTCACAATATCTTGAGGCAATTGAGTCTAATCACTATAATTATAGTACGAGGAAGATGTCTTATGCAACCCTGGTTGTGGTGAATGCAGCCTAATTTCTCAGCTTATGTTTGGTGTCTGGAAAAGGTTTCCACTCCTTCCCTCAAGTCGACTTTTAGCGAGTGCTAAAAATCTTGCAGGTATTATAAAATGTCATTCAAATTCTCCAGTGGTGAAATAAGGTCCGAGTCAAAATATTAATAATGCATCTTTGCTTATTTATTGTGTGTTCTCTGAAATTAAGATGAACCAGCAGCTGCATTCATGTGAGCACGTTAATCTAAGTACCTGTAAACCGTGTTTCATGATACAAATTGAGAGATGCGGGGTGGAAACCTTTGAATAAGCACTTTATCAACATGCTTATGTTACTGAAAACAGGTTCAATATGATCCAAATTAATGAGCGCATTGTACCTAAAGATTCATATGGAAAATAATGTATAAACGATATATCCTGATCCCCATGCGAATTGAAGCGTATTTTGACGGTGTAAGTTGGCAATCACATAACTCGGTTTGCGATGTCGCAGACTTCCTGTCATACTTTATTTTCCAAACAGATAACTGCTCAAAGGCAATTTTTAAAACTGCTGTGATTTTTCTTCTCTGTGTAAAGAAAATTTTGCATAAACTTCAAAGAATGATGTCAATTTGTTCTCCTTTAAAAGAATAACATAGAGGTGGAGATTTTCAGACACTGCAAACAAGATATTTGATTGCGGACTTACGCCGTCAATTTGTCTCTTTCGCACCCTTCCATCGATTTGGAGGGAGTACAGTGAAAAGTTTGATTTCTTTGGCTTTTTCAAGTGATTTTGAGTGAAAATTTATATTTAAATCTGAAAAACGTCCTATAAATTTTATTTTCTAATCTTTCAGATCATACATCACAAATCTTTTTTTTTTTTTTAAAAAAAAATGCATGCACTGTGCCATTTTAGCAACATTAATTTTACCAAACCTAGTTTTTACCACAAAAATGAAGCTTAAAATATGTTTATTTATAAATTTGACTGCTGCTCTAATCACTCATTATTTTGGTTCCCAAAAAAAAAAAAAATTTACATTACTGATACATACCTACTTTCAGTGATCTGTCAGCCAGATATGTTCAAGACTCAAATATTTATGGAGATTTTTTGAAGGACAAGTACAGCTGTTTTAGTGATTCCACAGATCCAGAGATGCATTTTTTCAAAAATCATCAAAACTTTGACAATGCTTTTCCTCAAAAACTACCGAGTATTTTGGTCCAATACTTGGATTTTTTCTGACTTTGACCCAAAGAACAAGTGAAAATAAAATCATGCAATCTGAGACGGGTAGTGAACTGGTCCTTCTCATTTGACATGGAATAAAGACTCCCTTCAGTTAATTTTCTGCACCTCCCCATAATTTGTTCAATCTTACAGTTCTTAGGTACATCTTTCTTAATCTTAATTTTTTTCATTTTTACAGGCCTCTTGACCAAAAATATGAATCCCACCCCCATAGAGGTAGACGGAGGACTAATTGAGGGGGAAATACTAATAAATGATCTAAACGATGAACCCTATTACAGCTTCAAGGGTGTTCCCTATGCTCGCCCACCTACTGGATCTTTGCGCTTTCAGGTAATTTCAGTAACTAACTTTTTAGAGTTTCAACCAGATCTGGGTCTGGCTGGAATTATTTTTTAAGTTGCTCTGATTTTTACGGTCACAAAGTATGTGCATTTGTCAATTTTTTGTGTATGTCAACGTCCATCAATTTGTCAATTTTTAGGCCCTGAAATTTATTTTTAATCAGAATAAAAGACAAGCTAAATGAGATCGATATATCTCATTCAAAAAAAATGTCTTTACTGTTCCAGGACAAAGATTTCTTCGGACCCTCTTGAAAAGCTCTTTTGTGCTAGGTTGAAAAATAACCTAATTTGTAATAATAAGTAGTTAGTCGCTTTTTCAACCTTGTAACAATGCAATCTATGAGTTGCACACCACTTGGACAGATACATAAAAGATTACCACCACCACCACCACCACCATCACCTAAAACTTACCATGAACAAGACTTAAAGATAGTAATTTTCTTTTGCATCATTTCAGCCTCCAAAAAGTGTCAAAGAATGGGAAGGTGTTCGTCAGTGCATAGAAGATGGAGATGCATGTTGTCAAAAATTGTTGCTCAGTGTACCTCCGCCCACTATTGCTGGATCTGAAGACTGCCTGTATTTGAATATTTACTTCCCCGTGGTAAGAGTTATTACTGTTTGCTACCAGATAAGAATTTTGCAATATGAGCTGATGTGCTCATTTCAAATCTCGAAATCCCTTTGAAGTGTGAAATTAAAAATGCAAAATTTCATAACAAACTTTTAAACCATGACTTAAATTTAGAAAGTTTCATAATTTGGAATGATCACCATCAGTAAGTTTAAAGAAATGTTTTCTCTTCTTTTTTGCAGTCAAATCCGAGCAAATCTTTAAGACCAGTGATGGTGTTTATTCATGGTGGTGGTTTCCAGTCAGGAAGTGCAGACTCAAATATTTATGGACCTGACTTTCTGATTACCAAAGATGTTGTTTTAGTTACAATCAATTATCGGCTAAATATTTTTGGTGAGTTCTTTATCAGCAGCACATGCATTTCTGCTTGAATCAAGTCACTTTTTCCTGTAATAAAGTTCAAATATTATGCTAAACGTTATTGAACACGGATACTAGGACTTAGTAAATTTTTCGACTACCGCTCTCTTTTTGTCGTCGTCACTCGATTTAATTTGCGATAGAATTTCGTGCTTTTGAAAAATGCCATCAATTATGATATGTTTGAGTACCTTCAATCTCGCATGATACTGTGCAACAACTCCGTGGTGAAATAGTAGCTCGAAGCGCCGCGGCACGCCTGCGCTGTCGCGAAGTTATCGTACACAGGAATAATCTAAGAGCCTTTAGCTGATAAAAATCGAAAAGGTTCATCCAGTATAGGTAAAACGAGATGGGATTTTCTGGAAAGATAATTGAGTCCTGTTGCACCAAAGAGGTGTGGAGTTTTAGAGAATCTTCCCTTATAGAATTGGCGCTCCCCTTGACAAAACAAATAAACTAACAAACAAGTAGAGTCTCATATATTGGCTAAGGTCATGTGAGTAAAGCGCCACAGCTTATCTATCCAGCCATTCTTTTCCAATTGGCTGTCTAAACTATTTTCCGATTTTCTTCTTTTTTTCATTTGTATTTTATGAAGCTACCTACTACCATCAATTTTATTTGTTTTTTTAGGGTTTTTAAATTTAGGAATCGAGGAATGTCCCGGGAATTTTGGTTTATTGGACCAAAGAGCAGCTTTAATTTGGGTGAAAAAGCATATTAAGAAGTTCTCTGGGGATCCTAACAATGTGACCATTTGTGGAGAAAGCGCTGGATCTGCCTCTGTCAGCTACCACTTACTCTCTCCACTCTCCAAAGGTAAACATGCATACGTAATTACCAAGACAGGCAGTGTGAAAGTTATAAACCTGCTCAATGTTGCTTAATTGAAGACAAATTAATTTTTTAGCCCCAATTTTTTCAAAATGAATTTTCAAAGAATTCTTAAACATTTTTCTTGCTGAGAGGGTTGTAAAGAATATTGTATTAAAACATTTTCTGTCAAGCTGGTCATAGAGACTGTTCTTTTGGTTGTTCACCCAGGATTGAAACGGTTATAGTGACTTTTATTTTAAACAGCCTATCATCATAATACTATTGTCTGATAGAGGAATTTTCCACTTGCCCTTCATGGAACTATTGGAAAGTACCAGTTTCCCAAGTAATTGAGTAGAGGATGAGGTGCCAGCATCATGGCAATCAACAGAAATTGTTTTTCAAAGCTTTTGAAATCCGCTCTTGTTTTGCTTGTTCTCTTGGCCTGACAGGAAGAATCTTGCAAATAGATGACAGTAATCGCAGTAGAAAATAAAAAAAATTGGCCAGCTCTGCATATCTTCACAATCCAAAAAGTATCTGTATACAAAAAATTTAACTTGGGTTTTAATCCTACATCTGAATACTTGTTGAACTTAAAAACGAACAACAGCGTCTCAAGAGCCTTTTCTCAATAAATTATGCTCTTTGTTTACATATTGATATATATTAATTTTTTAGGTCTGTTTCACAAAGCAATCAAATCAAGTGGCTGTGTTTTCGATCCTTGGGCTTATATGGACCCTAAAATATCAATTGATCGAGCTTTTCGTATTGGGAAACAACTCGGATGTGTTACCAATGACGTAAAAGAACTCCATAAATTTTTGATGTCCGTGCCTGACAAACAGCTTCTCAAAGTCGTTCTCACCATAATGACGCCTGAAGTAAGTTTTTCGTGTCCTCTATTACAGTTTAAGTATCAAGTATTCATAAGATCCCTGAAGTATTTTAACAAGGTTTCAACAGTGTTAGGTGCCAGTGCTTGACAGCATTCTTAATTTTGGAACAGGTTCTGCAACTAACAGGTAAGTATCAAATCACAAGATGATAAACATGTCAGTTTACAAGCTCTGATCTTGTAACTCTACAAAATATACCTGAAACAGAATTTCTAGTTCTCGTTCAAACATTCATAAAATTACGGCCTTTAAGTAATAAATGAGCAAGGACATGATTTGAGGATGTGACAGGCACTGGTACTGGCGCTTGACAGTCTGAGGTTTCTTGGTCACTCTTGCCAAGAGCTGCCTCAATTTCCAACATGTGAGGGGACGACGATCAGTTATCTAAGACATAAATTTTAGTTGGTCAAGAAAGAAATTCACAGTCTGCGAATCTCAAACTACTTTATAAGGAAGCCTAAAAGTCTATCCTTTTTTATTGTAATTTGTAAGTCTATGCCTCCTTGGTCGTGCTAAGCAAGAATGTTGACTCTCCATTACAGGTTTTGCAAGTTTTTCTCAAATATATTACCCTAGAATAATGCAACTTTCATACCCACTGAATTTGCTACTTCCAGATATGTTCTATAGGGTCTGAAGTGCATATCTTAAAAGACTAGAAAATGTACATGCTTGGAATATTATTTTATGAAGCCTTTTGTCTAAAAAAAGACTCTCAAAATATGGTGTGAAATTCAGCGGTTTTTGCCTAACGCAGCTCTCCTTTTTTAAACTGACTTTAATCTATCCAAGTTTATGGCTGGTGGTTTTTTATGCCTTGTAGGCCCATCCGTGACATAATTTTCCTGCAACTGGTACAGTATTAGAATAAAGTTCAATCCTTTACTCCACAATTTTTTTTTTTTTTTTTGCATTTTTTCTCAGAAACTTTGAAGCAAAATAGCATATATGAGTACCATAACTGTGGCCTTTGCTATGAACTTAATGCGTATTTTACAACTTATGAATCCTCAATTTAAAGCCTCAATTAAAAATTATGTGATAAAATATTTCTCAAATAAATTTTTCGGTTTTTCTTGCCTTTATATTTTCTTTTATCATCGTCTTTTTTTATCTTTTTGTTTTCATCTTTTTAGGACTTACACACTGGATTACCGTTTGCATTTGTCCCTTCAAAAGAAATCTGTGGATCTTATGAGGATCGATTTTTACCTTCGGATCCCAAAACTCTTCTAAAACAAGCTCCTGATGTGCCTGTACTTGTTGGTTTGAACAGTTCAGAAGGACTCCTTATTTACTTAGGTAAATTATAGGTTTCTCTGAGCTTTTACCTTCATGGGCCTGTTTGTCAAATAAAACGAAAATAAGGATAAGCGCTCATAAATAGTCTGAAATCCCCTTTTCGGCATGCAATTTGCTAAATTTGCAAATTTGCTGCATCTGCAGGCTGTTTTTCTTAAGCAATGGTTACCAGATTTACCAGATTTTTGACCTAGGAAAACCCAACCTAAGTATAAAAACGAAGTCGCTAACGTTTTAATTCGTATGATACCAGGTGTTTTCAAGTGCTTGTTGCCTTCTAATTTTTTTTTTTTTTAACTGTATAGATTGTGCATTAAAAAGTAGATTTCAGAAATTCTTGATGAGCACATCATGCTTCTTGTGCGTAGTAATTTTTTTCTTTCCTCGTGTAGAACAAGTAAACAAATACTGTCTCAGAAGGCTTTGTGCATCTAACTTGCTGCAGCTCCATTGGTCATTTGTTTATATTTTTACTCTATCTAATGCTAAAATTAGATTTCATAACTGTGCTGAATTATATAGTGATTCGTTTAAATACATCTTGGAACGATGCCACCTGGTCACTGAGAACCATGCTATAATCATCATTGCAGCTTAATAAACATAAAAATGACAATGATTGGGGGAGGGGGGGGGTAGTGAGAGAATTTAGATGGATCGGTCTTTTTTACCATCATGCAGATCAAAATGGCTAGTAAGGTAATGGGATCAGTAAAAACACATTAGAATATTTGTACAAGGCATAGGAAAAACTAAATAATGTATATAACAAGGCTGAAATATCAAAACACCAGATCACTAATCCCAATTTTTACTCATACAATCATCCTCTTATCAGTTTTGCTACAACCCCACAAAAAAACACTAATTTATCACATGTATTAATTTATCATATTTTGTTTTAATGCAACGTAGTTTTTGTCTTTCTGTTTCCAAAATTTAGAAAACCCTAGAATGTTGTCCAAAGTTACCGAAAATCCGGGCCGAGTGATGGACAGTATGTTTCCCCATGACCTTAAGAGTCTGTCAAAGGATCACTCCAAAGTGGCTCTCGCCAGAAGTAAAGTGAGGCAGTTTTATCTAAAGGAAGGAAGTGCCCCTGAGAACATTCCTGCCCAAAAATTTGCAAATGTATGTTCATACTTCCTCATTCAGTCAATTTCAGCCTTGGATTAGTTTCTAAATTTAATTTTATCAAGTTTGATTTTAAAAATTGTACTCTGCTTTTGACGCTCATTTTTTTAGAAATTCGTTAGTTCAATCGGACATTATTTTTTATATCCAATAAAAATGAAATCCGAGTAAATATGACTAATTGGGTGCATTTATATTCACAAAATACACGGTATACTTATTTTCCTTTAAAACATTTTTTTTTCCATCAATATAAATGAGAATAATCCATGCAGAGTGTGCAAACATTTCAAAATGATGAGTTGAAAAACGCTGGCTCCGCGAGTTTAAATATTAGGGCGTGATGCCAGCGCGACACACGCATTGGCGCCTACAAACCTAACAGGGATACTTCACGCATTGCGCAATGCGTATCCCTGTTAGGTTTGTAGGCGCCAATGCGCGTGTCGCGCTGGTTGCCCTGGAAAAGTTAGCCGCGGCGTGCCACGGCGCTTCAAGCAACTAGATCGCAACGTTTATGCCAAAAAAAACTATCTACAAAATAATTAAATCAAACGACACTATACAGCACTCACATCCTGTGTACATAGTTCCTTATACTTTGGTTAATTTTTACGTCTTTCGTTGTAGCATGAAAACATCCATTTTGTCATTTTGCTCACCTACATGTTTAATTTGAACGTGTTAATGGTCTAAGTGCAAAACCACATATCTATAGTTGTGGTATTTCAAAATTTTTGCCAAAAATAGCACATGTTTTCTCGAAAATTGCTCTCCCGAGCAGTGAGGTCTTATCTTCTGTGAATGACTTCTCAGAAAGATCCATTGTTCAATCATCATAGTGTTTCAGAGGATCATTTTTGTTGTAGAATTTACCTATAAGTAAAAATGCACTTCATGAGAAAATCAATTGAATCTGTATCAAATGAAAGTAGATTTGGTAGAGGTTTTTTTAATAATAAACTGAAAATTTGTTTCAGCGTTTCGGAGACTGATTGTCCCCTTTCTTAAGGTATTGTACACGAGATGACCAACGCTGATTGAAACTCAGAGACAGAAACAGAAAATAGATAAATGAAGGTAAAAAAATCAGCAACAACATCTCAAAACCGCATTATGGCACTTAGCAAGTAGGTATCTTCAAGTTTCGACCAGTTGCGCAGTCAATGTTGGTCATCTCGCGCATTGTGTCTAGAGAAAGGGGATAATCTGTCTTTAAAACACCGAAAAAAATTTAATTTCTTTGTGTTTGAATAGTGTTATACAGTAAGTTCACTCTCCTTTAGTACAGGTTTGGTCCATTTTCTCATGAAATGCGTTTTAATTTATACTATCATGTATTTATCAATGTCTTTTTTTTTCTCCTAATGGTTCATTGTCGGAGATTTGTCGCCTGTGCTAATGGGCAAGCTTGAAATGGTCTCTGATGAAAATTCATTTTTTCATTCCTACAGTTTTTTGGTGATATTACCTGGTTGCGCGGAAATTATCAATGGTTGAAGACTTGCCTGAGTTTTTCAGCCCCAAAACCAATATCTCTGTACCTGTTTGATTTTGAAAGTGATATGAGTATAATTAAACTTTTACCAGGAGTGCAAGTTCCTGATCATTCTTCAGGTATGCTTCAGGCATAAAAAGCCGTTAAGCACCCTTTATTATTATTATAGTTACACCTATGTCTTTACGAATCCTCTCCTTTCTGTTGATAGTTGTAATTTGCCTGTGCGAGCCTCCTTTTTTCTCTAAATTATCTTAGCTTTGGACTGATACCAGATTCTTTTTCAAAGGCTCCGAAAAATGCAAAAATTATGCTCTCTCCGGGAGATTCTTTTTGTCTATCCATTTATCAAAATTGTGTATGGATACATTTGGCTGTGTACACGGCTCTCGGTGATTGAATATTTTGCTTTGTTAGTAGTATGTTATACTTAATGTCTTTTTCTATAGCAAGATTGGCATGGTTGTATTGCCATGGCAACTAGGGAACTGCCGGAGGGCCTATGGATGCACTTTGCATCACTGAGAAAATATGTTTTTCTTGCTATGCCTTTTCGCTAGTGTAATCGTTTCTTGTACCCTCATTCCTTCAAGTGTCATCACCAAGCACAAAAATGTCATTCTTTCACTAAAAGCTTTTATCACAAATAATCAAAAATATTATTTTTACTCTTTTTTCCTTTTTGACAGGTTCATGTCATGGTGATGATCTCCTCTTTCTTTTCAACTTTCGTGTTTTAAGCGATGGTATGTTGGAATCAGATGCTTGCAAGCAAGTAGTGGAAAATATGACCACGGTTTGGACAAATTTTGCCAAATTTGGGTAAGGTCTTGTCCTTCTCAACTATTACATGTCTTTAGTTTTTATGCTTCAGAGTACTTTTTTTCAAATTATGAAACACTGTTACAATCAGTTCAGGCTTGTTTTATTGCTAGAAAAGTGATTGTTAATTTTACCGGAAACTGTTTAAGATCGTTCAAGAATGGTACCTCTTGTTTTTCAAAAGTAAACTGACAAACTTTTTATTGGGAAAAAACATGTCTCCCAAAAGAAACAAAAACAGAGATATTCTTAAAAATGAAGTAGAAAACATATACTTCATACCATTCACTGACTGCCGGGTATTCATCACAAACACCGTTAGGTGCAGCTCAATTCGTTGCTTCTTAGACAGAGAAACAAAGCCCCATTCTAAAGTTTTAAAATTGCCTCAAATAATTCAATTTTTTACAAGAATATGATTGTGAGTTTTATGTCCACAAAATGTCTGATTTTTGCATTGAATACAAAGAAAAAGTAGTGAAATTTTTTGTCCAAAACTTCCTGTAATTTCCTAGTAATAATACAATTCGCGAGTGGAAATTTTGCAACGTTAAAGTCTAGTCACATGTTTTCATCCGGGAATGACGAATTGCAGTCTGTACCAATATTTAAGTCCTTCTGTACCTATTACTTGAGGTTTTTAAAATGCTGATTTTGGTTTGGATATCCAAGATGGAAATTTTAAATCACAGCAAATCACATTGGGGATGATGTCTGATATTAGAAGGGAGGTTTACGTTTATTGTTGAAGTACGTTTTGAAAATTTTTAATTTTTTAAGTTTCAACAACTTTTCATGCTTCTGCAAGTGTGAATAAAATATAAAAAGAAGAGGTATAAAGTGCTGCAGTCACTCAGTGACTTGATTCATTTTTCGCTCCGAAAAGGGTGAAGCTAAAATAAAATTCTCCTCTTTGTTTTTGAACAGTGTTTTGTAGTTTCTTAGCAAAAACTTGTTCAAACACTTATAAATCATGCCAAAAGTTAATGCAAAAACTGAAAAATCATCTGTCAATCAACCGCTCTGAAACTATTTTGGTCGGCCTCCTATGGTGTAGTGGTTGTAGCGCATGCTCTATGATCGGGAGGTCCCGGGTTCGATTCCCGGCCAGGCGACCCGAGTTTGATGGTCTCAAACAATGGTTGCCTGGGACTGGTTCTGTAGGGACGGAGGGGGGATGGGACTTAAAGCGTGGGATTAGCCCTTGAGGGCTATTTGAAGTAGAAAAAAAAAAAAAAAAAAAAAATTTCACCGCTAATCACATCAAAATCAGAGCTGACCTTTTCCGAGCCTCTCCTTGTTAGTAGTTTACATTTATGATTGAAATTTATCATACATTTCAGATATCTGAAAATTATGAATAGCAATAAAAGTGGTGGTGATTGTGGATTTAAATCTTTGTTTTAGGAATCCAAAAGGTCATCTGAAAGTTGATTGGAAACCTCTCTCCTTGGGTCGGCCAGTTCACTGTAAAATTGGACAAAAACTGGAAACTCAACCTGGTTTAATCTATGAAGACAGGATCAAATTTTGGAGCGATCTTCAGCTGTCCATGTTAAGTCAAAGCAAGCTGTAAGATAGATTGATAACTGCTATTTTCTTTCGAAAGGTGCATTCCTGAGTTTTTAATAGGTCTCTGGTGTCGTTTAATAGGGAATTCCTCTATTTTTAACATTTTTTTATATGCTTCATTTATTCATTTTTTATTTTTATAGACTTTTTTTTACTCATGGTTAGGGTTACAGGAAATGCAGAATCGGCATTTTGCATTAAATTAGGAGAGCTTCCTAATGTTTAGGAAACAAAAAATTCTCCGAATTTTCTAGTTTATTTTGACAAGATTTTTAATATTTTTAATACTTTTTTTCTTAATTCATTTCAAATATCTCTAGCTTTTCAGGAAAAAACACTCAAATCTCTTTTGCAAAGTTACTAACTATATGTGTGTTCTTTATCATTTTTGGGGAGAAAATTCCTAAAATTTAGGAAAATTTGGATGCTTTTGCCAGGGGTTTATCGAAAATATGAAAGACTATTTTTTTCTGCATTCCTATCCTACAGCCTGATTGTTGAAATTTTTTGTGTGTCGGGACGACATAGATGAAAAAGGTTAAAAGGCGGAGCGTGATTGGTAGGCTATGTCTTAGAGCTGCTTTGTCGTGCCTTTGTCAGGTGTAATGGATGACATACTGTCGGAAACTTAAGGGGTGCTGTTAGCTTGTCGTGAGTTCAACTCGACAGAGGCACAACCAAGCAGCAATGAGACATAACCGACCAATAACGCTCCGCCTTTTAACCTATGTCATCTATGTCATCCCGACAAACAAAAAATTTCAACAGTCAGGCTGCAAGCCCTCATTCACCTCAGATATATTACATCCTACTTCTTACATTATGCCACAGATCACTGCAATTTGGATATCTGTCATTAAAAATGCTTCAACAAACCATCATTTAGAGTTAGAATCAAGACACAAAGTAAATGTTTCCCCCAAAAAATGTATCCCAAAATGTAACTAACGTATCAAAAATTTCAAAATTAAACTCATTGGTGAGAAATTATCGTTTTCGGTATTTCGTCACCTTCCAGGCAAAGTATCACAAGCGCCATGCGACGTTTAAAAATTTCCGCCGCCATTTTATTTCTTTACTGAGAAATTCTTGGTTGAATCTGTTTGGAAATTTCACTAAATTTTATCGGCAGCACAAAGAAAATTCAGTGAAATTTTCGGACAGCTTCGTTGAATGATTTCTCTGTAAAAAAATAAAATGGCGGCGGAAATTTTTAAACGTCGCATGGCGCTTGTGATACTTTGCCTGGAAGGTGACGATTTGTCAATTTAAACTCTCTGCATACTAAAAAACAAAAGTTTGCTTGATTCAAATAGAGCTATAAACTAATTTTAATGTATCTCAAGATAAAATGACTTACCAAAATACAGTATGCTGGATGTTTTGTTTCAAGTTTTAAATTACCATGTATCATTATGTAGAGAAGAAAGGAAATTTGTGTTAAACCGAACTCATTATATTTTCTAAACTCACAAGTTTTTTTTTCCAATGAGCGATTTGATCAAGAACTATTTTGGTTTTTTTTCCACAAGCGATATGTTTAAATGGACTGATCTTAGTATAGACTATGAGTACTGTTCTTCATGTATGAATTGATTTCGGAAATGTTCAATTCGTTTTAACAATTTTGTACATCATTTTGTTGCGGAAACATATGTTTTGGTACTTCTATTCTTTTCCTGTGCAGTGATCAAATTAAGTGCACAATGCACATTTATATATAATGGGGGAAAAAGCTCTAAATCTTTTGGAATTTTTTTTCAATTTGGAAAGACAGACTTGCTGTCATTGTCAAATACAAACTAAAAGAACTGGACATTATCTGTGATAATTAGTCATAAGGATTACTCTTATGTTTTGCAAACCATTTTTACTTGTTAGTAAAATGCAGGGAAATTTGGACTGTCTTCCAATTTTAGAAAAGAGTAGACAACTCATCACATCTTGTACCTGATAATATTTTTAGATTTTTCAAGAACCGGGCTTAAAAACCAGAGATTTCTTTTGGAGATTTTTCCTTAGATTTAGTTTATATGTATACAGCTAAGTTACATTGTTACAAGTTTTTAGGGTATTAAATATGTTTTAAAATGTTGATGCGTCTACAGCTTGGTTTCCACACATGTTCCCTCAAATTCAGTCAACCTTCCCCCATTTTTAGCCCCCAATTCATGATTGCATCCTTCTGAAGATTACAAAAAAACACCCCTTTCCTGAAAAAATTAGATTTTTTTCAATGCTAAAGCGCTGCGCTTTGCACAAGATTTTCCCTTTTTTTACAGGGGCTCCCCCAGCACACAACAAGGGCAATCACATGGTGGGGAAGTATCTGCACTCCGGGCAAGCAGAGTGTAAGACACATGTACCTATTTGATACTCCGTTCGTGACTAATGTAGATAAGAAAGTTCATGAAAAAATATATTATTTTTCCTGCAGAATCTTTACAACACCTGATAGCTCATAGGATACTTTGCGTTTTTTGAAAAAATATATTATTTTTCCTGCAGAATCTTTACAACACCTGATAGCTCCTAGGATACTTTGCGTTTTTACTCTTTACGTACAAAAGATAATGGAGTATTTACCGTCTTTTATTTTTAATGGAAAATCTATTTGCTTTTTGGACTTGAGTTGATTAAAATCAGTAAGATTTTGTTCATATCAAGTAGAAAATATATCATCCTTTACAACCTTCCATGTTGGTTTGTTGTTCTATATTTTTGGTAATTTTTCACTAAAATGTAAGATGATAAATGGCATTTTTTCGTTATACCTATATTTTTCTGGTAATATGTTCTGCATAAATTTAACTGCAAGTAGTGAATGTGACCGAAACTAAAGTTAAGACCAGTCATAATTCTGCTAAGGTAGTTTCATTGTGGTTGGGACACCTGATAAAAAAATCAAGTCAACAGTAGTAAACCATGAAATACTAATATAATTGAAAAAATAAATAACAATTTTTGGGGAATAAATTACAAAAGTAAAACTTACAAATGAAAAAACATGTTTCAATCCTCGGCGTGTAATACTAAATACATTCACTGTTGATTTCATGTGAAGCCATGAAACTACTTTTAAAGTGGCTACTTCTGAAAATGACTCTTCGGCTAAAATAAAACAATCCTGTCTTTTAACACCTGCCTGGTGGTTAAAATGTTTACCGACACTTATTTTTCACATTTGCAATGGCGCTGACATGATGGTAAAGACTGCGGACATAGAATTTGCTGCTGCTAGTCCTATCATATGATGAATTATCATTTACAAACCAACCATTCATTTGGTTTTTTGTATGCTCATGTATATCAAGCGAATAAAATTGCTAAAATAAATGCCTGAGCAAATTTAGTAACCACCATGGTTTTATATCAATGTACTTAAAGAATGCAGAATGCGTAATTCAAAAATGAAGTGGAGGGAAAAAATGATTGGTTGAGAATAAAATGGTAAATTGTAAAATTTTTTAAAAAGTAATAACTTTAAAACTCTGTGGCACTCAATATAGCGAAATTCTTTTAAAATACTCAGAAGAATAGAAATCCAAAATAATATCGTTTGAAATTAGGTAAAGTAAGTCAGAGTTAGGGTTACCACTAGCCAGGTGAACTTATCACTCTCGAAAATAAAGTGGGTGACCGGTGTCAATGTAAAGAAACTTCAATACATACATTTATTTTTTAAGCCGGACAGCTACTTCTTTCTCGATCTCAACATCTTCATTTCTCAATTATCGCTTCAGTTTCAAAGTGAGAAATTTTGAAACATTTCCTACCCTTTGAGTCAATATTTTGCAGGAAGATCGATTTCTTATGATCAGATATAATTTAAACAATACACAATACTTTTTCCTAAGTGTCAGATCCTATTTCAATACTCACACCTCCCTAAAGAAAACATGGAAAAGTTGGTGTTCAAATGGGAACCCTTAGCATTAAATTGACCCACAAAAAAGGGCAGACTCAGTAATTAACAACTGAGACAACAATACCTGACAGCAATGGCCAGAATAAAATCAAAGAAACACCAATAAAATAGAGGGGGAAAAGTAGGTCAGAGATGATACAAAGGCAATTACAAAACCCAGAAGTAAAGGAAGAACACAAAGACTGCAATACATCCTGCTGCAACTTTAACATACACGGACTTCATGTTTAAATAGGTTGCATCCTTTTTATACTTCTGCGAAAGAATTGACAGGTGTTGAGCTTTGGAGTCGAGATCTGTAAAACAAAAAATTACTCACGTGAGAAGCAGTTTTTTAAAGAAATTTCACAGGAGAGATTATGGTGCCATGGTTTTAAAAGGGTAATCCGGTTTTTTTCCACAGAAAGCAATCTTCATGTTAAATTTTGTTGAAGATAAATGGCACTATTAAATGACTGTCTAAATAGTAATCCAATCTTAATGGACCACCAGCTATTGAATTATATTCTATATTTCTACAATATGGATAGGTCTTAATTGATTCATTAAGTTCTTGTGATTTAAAAATACTCTTAAATATTTGAGCACTTGATTTCCTTACAATATGTAGATGGAAGCATGCGCAATTTTTTGGTTCATAACAGTTTGATTTTACAAATCGTCACCCTCCAACCTCAGTATCACAAGCACCATTTAGGCTCACACACTACCTTGCCAAACTTCTCAAATTTGTCGATTTTTTTCCCGAGAAACAAATGAACGGAATCACTTGAAGATTTCATTTATTCATTTCACTAAACACATTTTTTTTAAAATTTTGTTTAATTTTACCTGATATTTTTTTTATTATAAATATTAATCCGTAAAATTTTCATGCAAGTAGATGCTCAAGTTTTAAAGAAACATTGAAACAATATTGAGATGTCCAGTGATATTACATCAAAACGTAAATGGCAGTTGAGATACTTAGGTCGGAGGTTAACAAAATATTCAGAAAATCACCCTATCTTATCTGGTAATACCCATACCAGTGGCGTAACTACCGTACCTGCCGCCACCGCCGGGGGGGGGCGCAGCGATGCGAGGGGCGCAAAATTTTCAGAAAAGAACAGGAAAAAGAAGGAGGAAAAGAAGAAGAAGAAAAAAGAAAAGAAAGAAGGAAGAGAGGGAGAGAGAGAGGCAGAAAAGATGAAGAAAAGGGAAAGCAAGAACTTTTCATACTTTTTTGGGGCTTGAATTTCCTCTTCACTTTTCTTTCTATTCTCATAGCAATACCTCGATTTTCTTCCATTTATTCAGATTTGAATGACTAGACAGGCAGGGGGAGGGGGGTGCACCGCTCAAAACTTTTGATATAAAAGGGCGCAGCCTTAGATCGGCAGGGGTGCACGAAGATTTCTAGTTACGCCACTGACCCATACTTTATTGTACTTGTTTTCAGGAGTATATTTAAGTATTCAGCGGCAGCTAGAGAGGATGCATATTGAAAAAAATACTGACCTGCAAGAACAGTTCCACGTTGTAAAACTTCATCAATATTCTGGACCATTATTCTTTGCACATCTTGCAGCTCTGTATTGAGAGAATTTAAATTTCTTCTCACTCTAGAATCTGTGAAAGTTTTTCTTGCCTTTTGAATGTACGTGTCTAAAAAATTTAAGGAGAAGAAAATGTGTTAACGGTAGTTGAGAGGATTAAAAAAATTATGAGTAAACCGATAGGAATGGATTTAGTGGCACGCATTTTTCTTTTGAATTAATTTTCTAAAAATATGAAGTGAACTTAGCTCCAAGGAATTTATCAGGTTTTCCTTAATCCTGAATGGCAATGATTCCCCCATTTGACAGGGAAATGTGTAAAGGTGCTTTGTTATTTCATTTGTCATCTTAAGATTGGCTTCTGCTCCCCTTAGAAATGATTTAAACTTTTTAATTGACTGATGGTTTTTTTATGAAATTTAACGAGAGAAAACTAAGCTAAAACCCTGCAAAAATTCCTTACGCCTTATTTTTTTTCTCTCTCTCTCTAAAATAATTTTACCTAGTCCTTTGGTTTCACAGAGCGGAAAACATTACTTTCCGAAGACAAAAATGATTACAAAGACAAAAACTTACGAATACTTAGCATCACAAAGATATTCTGTTGAGAGGTTAGACTTACCAAACTCGATAAATGTGTAGGGCCTAGTGACTGAGCTGACTCTTTTTCCATAAATTGATAAGAATTCTTGAGCAATGTCTTCCAAGTAGGAGAAAGCTAGACGCTTGGAGAAGTTATGTTCACATAATACCAAAAATACTACATCTCGTTCGATGAGATAGCTGAAATAAGGCAGAAGTAACTTGTGAATGAATTAGAAAAGTTAAACATGGGGTAAAAGATAGTAATGAATGGAAAAGTGGTTGCTGATTTAATTGCAAAGGACCCCGCACACGCACACTCCTTATGGGAAAGTGCACCAAAATCGATTTTAATTTCTTTATGGCATTCAATTCCTCTCAAGATGCTGATCAAAAGTCATCATTGCGCCAACTTTCTACGAAGCACCGTTTTCACAGAATACGCCCGGAAAGTTTCAATTATTTGGCGATAAAGAGTCAAAAAGAAGGGATAAGAAGAGTCGACAAAGAAGGCTTTCCAGAACAGGCCTGATGTGAATAAGACTTTCCTGTTCTTGCGCTCCTCATGAGACTGATTGGAATGGTCAAGCAAAAAGACAGGTGGAATCCGAGATAAGACTGCCGCTCGATGCTGGAGTTTCCCTGATTTCCTTGTTGTCACACAGCCGACCGTTCACTGGAGTGCTGAAATGAGGAATCTTTCTGACTCTTTATCACCGAATGAATGAAACTTTCCAGGCATATTAACAGTGCATTGTAGAAATTTGGCACAATGATGACTCTTGATCAGCATATTGAGAGGAATTGAGTGCAATAAAACAATTAAAAATCGATCGTGGTGCACTTTCCTATACAAAGTGTGGGGGGTCCTTTAATGGCCTTGAATTTCCAAGTTCCTATGATAGAATTATGATTCTAGAAAGTAAAGTACCTTCGAGCGATAAAGTCTGTCTGAGATTGGGTGCCTGAGGAGGAAAAAAAAAGGTTCAATTAAGCGATAAGAGCGACACCAAGAGAATGAGAGAGGGAGGGTTGGGAATGGGTGCAGAATATATTGTGTTAACGCACTATAAGTGCTGGCTTAAAGTGCATGATGAACCTCCTCCTTTTTCTTTTTCTTTCAACTTTCAAATAGCCTGCTGACTAATCCCGTTCCTTTTTCCGTGCCATTTTTTCTCTGCAGAGTGTTTTATAGCCTGACTGCTTCGGCATACTCTGAGTTCCTTTTAACCTGCATTTCTGTGATAAAAATTGTATCAGTCTGTTGAAGGCTTCAGTTTGTTGGTTCTTTTACAACTTTAACAAAGCCTGCTGGCCAGTACTGTCCCTGTTTCCAAGACGTTTTCCTCTCATCTGAGTCTCAAAAACCCCTTGTAGTCCAGTCATTCTAGCCAAAAAAAGGGCCTAACCTCGGACAAATTAGCACAAACTTCTCTTGTGTTTTAAAGCGCTCCAAAACATATCTAGAGCCTCCCAAAAAAAGTTTACCATTAGCCCCCCTCGGGAACACAGTCAAAATTGCTTATAACAAAATGGCGGCCGTCTGAAATAACGCATAAATTGATTGTTGACTTCGTCACCGTTTTCCCGATTTTGCGTGATTCTAATGCATCCAGTGAAAAAAATCATTCTCATTGCTCAATCATTGCTCCTATCTTCAACTCTAAACAGTCTACCCTTTCTCCAGTTGCTCAGTACATCTCCAATACTTACCCTCATTTTAAATGGTAATTTTTTATTAAAACCCATCTATTCAAAATTTTCTAAATTACAAAATGTAAACTTATTGTACTCCCTAATCCCCTTGAAAGATTATACCATTTGTGTTTCCAATTTCTTGTAGTCTTTACATTATTCCCTACCATTAATTCAATTTCATCCACATTAAGTGTACCCTTCGTGTACCCCTAAGTGTGGTACCTTCATTTTTATGAATATATGAAATTGGCTGAGTGAACTGACTCACGTTTCTCTAGAATAGAATGATGATATAACTTACTGAAACAAGTAAGGGCCAGTCTCGATTGTGCATTGAGTGGGACTTCTATCGTTCAGCCGCCGAAAAAGCATTTTCGCCTGATTTTGGTAGTCCAGTATATTTTTTCCTTTCTGAAATAAATTAGAGAAAATAGAGTATTTAAATTTTGGAAATGTTTGGTGCACAGGTTTTTTCTTGATGCTAAGATAAGAAGGAAAAGTGTTTAAACACTCAACGTGAAGTCAAACCTCAAAACTGAAAAAAACAATTTGATGTAAGATTCTCACCACACTTCGTGAGAGATACTGAGCGACTCTTTTTCAGAAACATTAAAATAAGAGAAACCTATGACATGCATATTGCACGCATTACACTTTTTATTAAATCCATGGTGATGCAATATGTTCAGATTGCAACAGGAAATTTTGGAACCCTCTCATCAGAAAGATTAGTGAATCTGATACTGCTAATGAGATCCTGTAAATACAGAAATTAAAGAAGAGTAAAAATGTACTGAAAATGAATTCTAGAAGAACACTGATATTCCTTCTAGGAGTTTCCAGATAGTTAACAAAATATGTCATACCTGTTCGTCATCCTGAATGGTGGCAGCTAGTGGAAGACCATCTTGTAAGCGTGCTATTAATGTCATTAACACCATGATGAATTGGAGAAAGTCAGCTCAATGAAGAATCCACGAAATGCTTGAGAGAAGGAGATGTACTGCAATAAAAACTAATGTTGCGTTTGAATGGTTGGCGAGTTGAAGGAGATAATCTACCGCAAATCATTTGCCTCCAAGAGAACGAAAATGAGTTGGTTTATTTCACCACATGCAAAAAGTCAGCAGTACTTAGAGTAATTCAAATGGCATCAAGAATACAAAATATAAAATAACCACAATAAATTACCTGAAGCTAACACAACATTCACTATTCCCTGTACTTATTGTAATCACTTCGCTAGTTGTTGAATTTCTAATAAACCTAACCTAACTTTCTGACGTAAACTTACAACTTGTCAAACAGCTGATTTTGACACGTCAGACGAAAATTTGGACCAAAATTTTGGAACGTCTTTGAGCAACGTTGTTTTTGATAAAAGTTCATGCCGTGCTTTAGAGCAAAATGGAAAGAGAAAACTTGATAATTTGTGTGAATCTCTTTTTTTTCGTGATGTTCTGGTTCTTGTTTGTAAAGTTGTTGTGTTAAGCTCAGTAACTGTTAACGTTGCTACGTGGTGCAAGGAACGCAAGTTCCATTTCAAGGTTCACCTCACGAGAAAGTCAATGGTCTCTGGGTCCCAGTTTTGAAGAACTCACGAAGCCGATGGCTAGTTCTTCATCTAATGACGTGAACTAATTTCGTGCCGTTTTATCTCAGTTTTTAATCATCATACAAATTCAGGGTTTGCCACGAAACGAACTTCTTCTTTCCTCTCGCCATTCATGTCATATTGTGCCTTTGTGGATCATGTTTTGGGCAGAATGAATAATCCATCTGTGATCTGAGTGTTGATGTGCCACTTTTCAAACATGACACAGTCTAGCTCTTAATTGCTAATGTTTTGATCTTGTCCAGGTAAATTGTTTGCTTTAGTATTCCACACTTCACACCAAGCTGCTCAATAATTTTAGGCAGTTGAACTTGGGGCTTCCCAACTATGTCAACATTTCTCTACTGATGATAGGCTCTGTCAGTCGGAGAGTCAAGGATTACTAACTCTTCCTTTGGAACTTAGTCATTACTTATGGATAGTCATTGTTATTGAGCACATTGAATAGAAAATCAGAATCTTTGTGGTTGAATCTGGGAATTACTTTAGAAAATGTAGACTGTAAGAAAGGATGTATTTGTAACGGAAAATAATGGGTGCTTTAACCGCCCAATCATGGGGCAGGCGCAAGAAAATGTAGAGAGACTTGATATATGTACAAGTAACAGAATTATAGTTATTAAGGGTCAAAAGTTCTACATGGCTCTGTTTCAGTTTGTGTAAAGATACGCAACACCAGAACCTTGCCGCAGCAATATTTTGGCGTGTTCGGAATAAATTGTGAATCATTCTGGGATGAGATGCTAGTCACCAAGTTTGTTTCATCTCCATCATTTCTTGCCTTTTCTTTTGATTAGTTGATCGCACTAGAATTGAGAAAAAGGTAGACCAATTTCCCTGCCTTCCTTGTGAATGAAAGGAAAATTTCAGTATCCTGCAAAATATCCGCCTCTGAATGAAAAGCTTGCGCAAAGTATACAAACAAAGAACTCTGAAAATCGCACCATATGCAATTTCCTTCTTTAGTTTAGTTTTATCTGCTATTACTTACGATGTAAATGTGGAAACCTGGTCAAATGTTTGGGACTTCATCTGTTAAAAAACGACCTACTATAAAGTTCAGGATAAAGGGGCCATTATTTTCCTTTTTTTTTCTTTCTTTTGATAGATGTTCTTTCAAAAAAATATCTTTTTTTTTTCTTTTCCAATTTTTCTCCCTCCTACATTCTGTCCTTGTAGAATAATATTAAAAGAATGAATGAGTCCTATTTTCCAATGTACGTACGGCCATGCATAATCAAATGAAAGAAAAGGATTCCACCAGCTTCAAGCGATGTAGTAGCTTACAGAACTGAGCATTTTATAAGCTCTCAAGGAAACTCTGTCCCTCACTTAATTCTTTTGCCTCTGTTCTTTCAGATGTTTGGAGCACCAACTGACCAGTACCATTGGAATGGCAAGCAGCCTGTGTCGGCCTCTGGAGGAGTACCTCTCAATCCTGCTGCTTCTGGGACTCCTCATTCCAATGATTACCAAGAACCTGCAATGAACCAGAATAAGAAGGTTTGCTGAAATCCTGAAATCTTTCATTTCTCAGTGTTTTTCAATCATAAGTATTTTATTCGTATCTTGTGAAGCAGCCGTGGGCATTTTGCCTTAAGGTGATTTGTCAAGTTCAAGTGACGTGGTGGAACTGGCATGCAATATATCGCATCTTCCAGGTCAAAAATCTTGGCAGATTTTGAATTTTTAGCAAATCAAAGGACTATAGCCCCTGTGCATGAGCCTAAAGAATCATTCTAAACCCAAAAATCGGCAAAATTTAGAGAAATGAAAGCAGAATAGTGTTTGGAAAAAAACTCGCAAAATCAATAGCTGTATCGAATGAGAGATTTTTTCTGAACACTATTCTGCTTTCATTTCTCTAAATTTTGCCGATCTTTAGCTTATGCGCAGGGGCTATAATTCTGTAAATTCAAAATCTACCAAGAATTTGGACCTAATCGATGCAATATATCGCAATGCCAGTTCGACCAAGTCACTTGAGCTTGACGAATCACCTCAATTAATGGTAACCCGCCAATTCTTCAAAAAATCGATGCTTCGTGTAGTCAAACCGCATTCCTTCTTTTCTCTTATTCCTCCAACTCTATTTGTCCAAAAACAAGAAAATGGAAAGCACCTTGTTACGCTAGAGATACAAGTTGTCTTGAATACACTCATTTTCATTGCCTGTTTCAAGTAACAAATGCATTTCATTTTGCAAAAAGGAACCAAGAGCATTCCAATGTTGCTAGGATTGTGCAACTTGCATTCTTTGCAATAAAATTATGGGAATCATGTAAAAATTTAAATTGACCAAGGTACCTAATTTTCGTCAGATTAGGAGTAAAGATCAAACTTGTTTAGATGATCAGTTCATATTTGCAAAGTAAAATCATTTGCCTAATCTCAGTGACATTTGAATCCTCTGGTTCCTGTTTGCAAAATGTAATCAAAGTGTGAATCAACTGCAAATAGATAAGAGACCACTTGATTTCTAGATATTAGTTTCTTTACTTTATGGTCTACACTACTATAGTTCTGTAATTGAATATAAACCTTAAAAAAAAAAATGAATTTTTGTTCAAGTTTTTTTTTTTCTTTTCCAGATGCAAGGTGCTTTTTTTAGCGATTTTTATGGTACTAAACAGAACCCTTTATCCCAGACTCATGATTTGGGGCTTGCACCAAACAATCCTGGACCTCCCCCTCGTAATACATATCAGCAAGATTTCTCACCAATTCAAAGAGGAGTAAGTACAAAGAAATTTCATAGTCCTCTGTTTACCTTTGTCTTAGAAGACAATTAGATTTTGATAAGTTTATTTTTAATTTTCCCTAACCAGCTGATGCCAGTTTAGATTAATGTAATTGTCACAGGCCAATATGTAGTAAAATCAGGTCGTTGGTCAAATTCCTAGGCAAATGCTCGCTTTTATGTGAGTGTCACAGTTGCAGGGAGAAAAGCCAGAGACTGCTGAAAAAAGCCTGATATTTTTGAGAAGACGTACAGAACTCCGCAGAAATGTAGGAGATTTTTTATTAACCTTGATTAAACGCCTAAATTTGTCAAATTTCCCCACAAGTGTACCTGAATCACACCATCTTAGCGACCAATTTGCTGCTGACGCCACAAACAGATTGAGGTTAGGAAAGGTTTTAGCGTGTTCTTCTGGAGATGTGGCTCATCTGAAGTCATATGTGTATAAAATTCTCTGCACGATTTCAGACCATTTTAAAATTGCTCAATTGATATTTAATACTTAACATGTAGCGTTCCGTTGTGTTCTTGCATCTATTCTGACAGCACCATAACTCTTGGAATTTTCAGTCATTCTTGTCAATGTTTTTAGCCAACTTAGCCAGCACGCATAAAATTGGGTCCTGGAGGTTGTCAAAACTGTTTTGTTAGGGGATGTTTATGTATTTCCAAAGAGCCAATAGGATGGTGGAAAAAGACCTTGTTTCAAATTTGCATAAATTTTTATCCTTTGTTGGATTCCCAAAGACATGAAAGAAAAACTCATAAAAAGTTCTGCTTTCTTTTGAAGCTTGTTGCTTTCTTTTGAAGCCGTGCCAGGTCTGGATATGCACCAAGACCCGTTGACCAAGAGCCTGGTACCTATTGCTGTAGGACTGTATTTTACAGCTATTGACTACAGAGCTCTAAAGCCCTCACCAGTGTCACGAAAATCATTACTGCACAGCGTGCAACATTCTAAAAAACGGCTATCTCAGAATATTGCAGTATATTTTGTAAATTGTTGAGCATGCAAAACTCTGGAAATTCATTTGGTCGGAAACGTTTGTAGTGGTGGAATTACAGAAAAATGGATAGTTCCTCAAACGCTGCTCTTTTTTTAGGTATCGAAAAATTCAGAAATCTGGAAACTTTCGTATATCCTGAAAATATGAATATTTCTCCAGGCTTAGGCCTGATGGCTGTTTCCTCGCTGCAGGTATGGAAAGATATGTGAGAAAGAGGTCAGCTATCGTGGTGTATTTTATGGTGAAGTCACTATTCTTAAATATAAAATTGCTTTTCGTAATGATATTCCTCTGCATTACTTAATCTAGACTTCCTGTTGTATTCCATATTTTTAAATTGTGAAATTGTATTTGTGGAGTCTCAATGTAAAATAAAAAAATAACTAAACTTATTCGTGCCTGAATCACATTTTTCAATTTATTGTTCATTTTCATCCTCAATAGGTACATCAAACATCTAATCCTGATTTCTTTGGCTCAAAAGGGAGCCAACAATCTGTGCCAGATTATGGATATGCAATGAATAGCCCAAATGTATTGTCGCAGCAAAATTTGTATCATTCATCCACCACAAATCCCTCAGCCTCGTCAAGAGGAGTAAGTATTTTTCTTTTTTTCCCCATCAAATGAAGAAGTATTTATTTCAGATAGAAGAAGTTTAAAGATATTATTTTAGATGAAAGTCATGTAAAAGAAACTAAGTCCACTCTCAAGTCTCATCCGTATTTTAACCTAAATTATTTTTATTTTGCACTTCTCTGGGTCCTCAGGGGTGCAGAAAATGCCCAATCTCTGCTTGGGTGCCTGAAAATGTAAAATAGCCAAATGTGGAAGGGGGAACATATTGAGGGGCCAAAAGTCGAAAATCGATGGAAAACAGAAGAAAAACGTCATCTTTTTTTTAAATTGGTGGGAATTTTTTTGGAAAACTGATGAGAAAATTGTGGAAAGCCGGCTGGCGGGTGCGTGAAAATGTGGAAGCTTAAAAGATTCTGCACCCCTGGGTCTTGGCAGTCCAGGAAATCTCATGAGAAGATCACACGGGAAGGTTTTACACCTATAGTGTTGCCAACTTTTGTGAAGCTTTCCCCATTTTATCTACCATTTTCTTATAACTCCATCTTGTGAGCAGTGACGATTCTTTTACCTTCACCGACCAAGACTCTTGTTTAGACTCTCTCTGAAGCATGTTTGTTACATTAGTGTGTATTGTCAAACATAAGCATGTCTTAATTGTCTCACAATGACATGTATTTACTTCCTTCCTTTTTTTCCACTGTCCGCACAGAATGCAGTGCAATATCAGGACCAGTGTCAAGACCAGTTTCCAGATCAAAATCAAGACCTTCAAGATTGGAATGAATGGAACGATGAGCCATTTGTCCCTGTAACTTTTGATCAGCCACCACCAACATTCACTCCAACGGTCGCCCCACCTCATCCAACAGTGTCCGAGCCATCCTCTCTTCCATTTCAGTCAGAATCGATGACTCCAACAAGAGGGGTAAGCTAACATTTCTAATTTTTTTGCGTTAGATTAAAATGCATTTGAAATATTGGCGATCAACTATAGAATGGGCCATTCATAAAATATGTACAGCCAAAAATCGGATTTTTTACTCCCCCCTCCCCCCTCCAAAGAA